TTTTTTCACATTCCCCGCTGTATCTTCGTTCCTATTACCCTTGCGTAACGATATCGAAGTTATGTATACCTTATAATCGATCAAGTGCAGTCCAAAGGCATTGTACTGATATCAAAATACACGAAAAACGCATTAGAAATCAAATACCTTACAATATTAACAATTTGACATGATAAGAAGTGGAAAACGAAAAAACTTAGTCATTGCCCCGGCGACCTTTGTTCACAGACGTTTATTTTAAATTATTTTTAAACATTTAATTAACAGTCGTGATCACTGATAATTAAATGTTTAAAGGCTGCTGGAAAGCATCCCGAGTTAGAAATAATTTTCAAATAAGTTTAACTAATACATATCGCGTTATAAGCCGATAAAGTGTTTTATTTAAATGTGTACTACTCGTCTCCCCGTGACCACGGCTGCTGCAAAGCATCCGAAACGTCGGGCCGAAGTTGAAAATCATTTTCAAATAAGTTTAACTAATATATCGCGTTTTAAACCGTTAAAGTGTTTTATTTAAATGTAATGAATGTTCATGTAGTCTTTAGTTCTTTACTTATTGACGTTTTATTTAGTTACCTACGTGAATAAATAATTGTTAACTTTTGTTTTTAATACAATTACATATATAGTAAAAAAAATAATTAAAACACTGAGACATGATATTTCTAGACAAGTAGATAAATATATTGTAAAAACATTTAAAATGTTACACTTTAATGGTTTAAAATACGATATATATTATTTGTAAATTATTTTACCCAACGTTCAAAGATAGACTGTCGCGGAAATTTTGTGAGGTCATTTAAAATCATTCTTTTATACATATTTTTTGGTTTCATAAACCGATATCGAATGCGCATGCAAAGAAAGCCTCAAAAATAACAATTTCCCCCGATTATTCTATATTTCCATCTGTTAGTTCGCTCCGTCAAAAAAAACAAAATTTAAAACGAATAATTCCTGAGACACGATACTTGAAATAGGTCAGAGATTGTGCGTTACGACACGCGTCATAAATCCGTTTGATATCAATTTAATGACAACATAAAAAAATTACGCTTTATGTAAACTGTCAAATTTATACATCGATGTCATTAGTCAATGACAAAATCTTACGATTTGTCCGTCGGCTTATTTTGGCTTTGGATATTCGAAAATCCATAGACTGGCACCGAAACGCGTTTAAAATTTAAACGATTTTTAATTTGTGGACGTTCGGTGTAGTTCCCGAAAGAAATTTAATATCCAGATTCCCAGACGAAGTCCAAAATGTTTCAGAATAAATATTATATTGATTATTAGCCCTGCTATCAGTATACCAACAAATCCGTCTATATTAAGATTACAAGATGTGACAGACGCGTTACGTGACAGATGGTGGTGGGTACTTCAATAAAAAGTTATTTCATTAATGCCCTTTGTTCAAGATACGCGTAGATTTCAACTATCATTAAACATAAAACATATTTCCTATTTCTTATCGTTATTATTTTATCGGTTGATTTACAAATCACAACCTTTCATTACAATATAATCCTCATTTAATACATATTAATTAGATATAAAGTATATACATTTATCACATTCCAAGATTCCAATTTCCTTCACTAGTCACTGTCTAACAACACTGACTAATGTAATATATTAGCTGTACCCGCGACTTCGTCCGCAAAAATTGTGACTTGGGGTAGAATTTTTAATTATTTAGGCTGTTTATTAACTTACGTAAGGGCGCATTTAAGGCAGCCAATCTATGTTCGTAGTGCTACTTTGCCGCAACATTTTGACCTCACATCACTCCTACTCTAAATCCCACTCTCATTCCTACACTCATTTCCTCTCCTATTCCCAAAAAGCCAAAGACAAAAGTTTCATTGTTCTAGCTTCAAAAACCACTAATTTCCATACAAACTTGCATTTTTGGCATTAAAAAGTAGCCTATGTCCTTTCTCAGGCTCTAAAATATCTGTGTACCAAATTTCATTAAATCAGTTGAGTAGTTTCGGAGTTAAAGCCGGACAGACAGGCAGACAGAGTTACTTTCGCATTTATAATATTAGTATAGACGAGCTGTGTGTCGTGAACGAAATCGTCGCGAGAATCGTTATTTTGGGCATCCGAATTCGTTTTTTCAAACACCTTCATCTTGCAAGTCAATCTTAATAGATAGACATAAAGCGACGCGGCCTTTTTTTAGATCACTTAAAGTGGAATCATTCTTTCATACATATTTGGGTATCTTGAACCGTTTTCGCAGCGTACGCCTGGGATACCCATAATGATGAACAATTTTCCCATGTTTCACATTTTTCGCTGTATTTTCGTTCCCATTAGTTGCCACGCGGTATTTTACGCGCCTTACTCGATAAATGCTCTAACCGACACAATTTTTTTTTAACTCGAACCCTTAGTTCCTCAAATTAGAGCGTTTAAACAAACAAACAAACTCTTCAGCTTTATATATTAGTATAGATAGATTGGTGAAAACCATGTAATTAATGTTTAATAATCACAGGTCGTGGGTTCGACTTTTACGAAGGTCTAACATGTTTCTAATGAATATCACAATTCCGTAAGATCACAAATTGAATCCAGACTGTGAAACAATGAAGCGGATATAAAAATATGTCTGCCCTATGTCCCACGAAGGGGAATCGGGGCTTAATTGTTACCTGTATTAATATACCAATAGTAATTTGTTAAACGTTTAAAATGTAATAAAATATAGTAATATTTCTTTTAGTGACGTCATACAATGGCGCAACGTTTACGTCTACTTAAAGTGTTTATTAAAGAACATATTATAAATGATTTCAAATACCACGCGGTGTGATTATTTATATTGATATTAAACGTTTCCCCGAACGGCATTATCGATAGATAATATGAACTTGTAAAAACATTGATTTTCGCTGTTCTACCCTGTAATCAGAAATTATTTCCAATCTTATCTATTTTCACATAATCGTGACGTTTATAAGTTTGTATGGACGCTCGTTCGAATGGCTCGTTGGTATTTAAGAATAATAATCAACAGTCGTGGGATCGATTCCCACCATCCATCCAAATGTTACTATACTAACTGTTATTTTTTAAGACTTTGGGAAATTGGTCCAGGTTACAAGCAAACATCCACAGATGAAAAGACAACAAAGTTTAGATCCGCGTTTCTGTTTCAGTCCGTGAATTGATCAATAGCTTCTGAACTAAGCTTAAATAGGCCGACAGCGCATCTTGTTGAAATGTTATATGACTGTATTGAACCTTCAATCATGAACGTCAAGCTTGTTTGTCTGCCTGTGTGATTTTACACTAACTACTAAAAACATATTTTTGTTTGTCATTTGTTTTATCGCTTTGACAAAATTAATGCTACCAAGTAGCAGATACTTAAAATAGCCACCGGTTTGGACCATTTTAAAACATGTGGACACGGTAGGAATCGAACCCACGCCCAACAAGTGGAATAAACGGGATATTTGTAATCATGATTGTAATGTTATTGCTATGATAAAATCTACACATGCACTCAGCTATAATCGAAACAACATGTCCCACATAATGGAAATCTTTTGTAATTATTTGTATGATAATCATTACAATTTACATTATTAATAATGTTTAAAACACAGACATTGAACTATGTTTTTGATTAGATTAACTTGTGTAGCTGTGGCAGCAACTTTTGGATTAAATTTGTCGGCCAAGTTGGTCCAATGGTCCAAACATTGAATGTGTTTCCGGGTTGTGCATCACAAACGGAAAAGCATTTAAGTGTTTATTTGGAATTTTTCCTTCCATCAAGTTTATATAAAAATGTAGATATTAAATAACATTATTAACGCCGCCAGAGCTTAGTCGTTTAACGTATGTAACTTAAATAAGCACGGGATATCTTGGGTTCGAATCCTTAAAAAAAAACCCTAATATTTTTGCTGTGATAGACGAGGATAAGCATGGGGTATACACGATGTACTGTCGACTTGTTTTAGCTTCGATTCGGTCGGATGGGGCAAAGAAGTCTAATCAACCGTTGAAAAATAGATCAGTGAAACGGACATAGAAAAGTGTTCGCCTCATATTCTACTGAGGAAAACAAGATTTATTTTTTCACCGTAAACATATAGTTCAAGGCATATAAACCGTATCTCCTTCAGAGGAGATACGGTTTATATGCCTTGAACTATATGGAAGAATTCAGATTCTTCTTTAATAATTAGTTATTATTGTAACGATCCGGCATCGTCAGCGTTCGCAGCAGAGCAACAGCACGGAACGCTGACGATGCCGGTTCAAGTCCCGCCCGAGTCGAAAATTTTTTAAATTTATTTTCGATTTTTAAATTATATAGTGCCTTCATGTGCAATAACATGTAAAAACATAATTAAGTTTTCAAATTATCACATACTTAAAAAAACGACCAAAATCCAAAGCACAATTTCGCCAATCATATTTCGGCATAACATGCGTAGGCGCATAGATATACATCTGAAAATAATTAGAAACGATCGCATTGATTACTATAATCATTGATAATGATAACATTTTTAATGATATTATTCCTTTTATTATTGCCGCTTCTGAAAGTGATTTTAAGGCAGTCGGCTTTTGTGTTTTAGAAGTTGAAGAAGTTATATACTAAACATTGAGAGGATAAAAATACATGTTATAAGTATAAAAGTGTTCTACGATAAACATTTTTCAAATTACAGATATTTAAATTGTCTTTAATTAAAACAGTAAAATGTACTTGTTATTTGTCATCATCTGAGGTCTAAAATAAATAAACTAAAAACCTTCGTATCTTTCTTCCTTTCGGCTCGATCAAAAAGAGATTGCAAATTTGATTGATTGAATTCAATCAGAATGTAACGAGCATCTAAATGTGTACTTTATTCCTACATTATTAAGATTGAAATTTGTTTATTCATACTAGAACTAAACAATTGATAAAAAACAAATTAATTTCCGCCTAATCCTATAATTCTCTTTCAGATATGCGCTTGCTCTTAATACTTCTAGTAATAGGCACAAGTTGGGCAGGGACACTACGTAATGGCTGCCCCATTGATTTTAGTGTACATCGCTTGTTAAGACACGCAAGCGATTGTACCAAGTTCTATTCATGCAGCAATGGAACGCCAATTTTGATGTCCTGCGGGCCTGGTACTGCGTTTGACTTCGAACTTCAGGTAGTTTTGATGATTACAATGTACCTACATTTTTGGGTTGCAATCAACCAGGTTTACAGCTATAATTAATAGTAGAGGATAAACGTATCAAAAACTATTAAGTAAGTATATCTAAGGATTCATTTTATTATAGACATGCAATTGGCCATATCTTGTTGATTGTTCAAATCCAACGACTACATCAAAACCAACTACAGAACAGCCGACAGCAACTACAGAAAAGCCAACAACGACCACAGATAATCCAACAACAACCACAGATAAGCCAACAACAACCACAGATAAGCCAACAACAACCACCACAGAAAAATCAACAACACCCGAAGAAGTGACAACAGAAGAGGCTACAACACGAACTCTACCAACAACTTCTACAACACCGATTGTACCGCCAACTCCACAGGAATGTCCATACGATGTTGAATTTGGTTTCTCGGAAAATTCGGACTGTGAAAAATTTAAACACTGTTCTGATTATATCAAATTAAAGCTCAACTGTCCTATAAGCATACAGAGAAACAACTATTCGATGTTCTTGGAAATTAATTATGCCAAGAAGGACGTTAAAGTAAAGAAAATTACGAAAATATATGCTGTTCCTTTATAGTAATTGGAATAGAAAAAAAAACATTGTTAGACCAAGGACTGGGGCTTTTAACGAGAATTCTGTTTTTATTATATTATTCAAACACGAAATTTGTGTTATTTGTATTTGCACTTTCATTATAATATTTTTGTTAGTCTTTTAATAGAAATTGTGTTTATGTATTCCATAATAACTAAATATATATTAAACATATAAGAATAAAATTTAAACACATGTGTATTTGCAATGTTTTATTAAGTTTTTTAAAAGTTTAAATTACATAAATGTTTTTCTCTTTAGCTTTCTTGCTTTCTTAAACCTTAATGTATAGTTGTTTAGGTCGAAATTAGCGTGAGAAGTGCATGTAAAAAACTGAATAAGGAAACCCACAAACGAAATACTAGCTCAATCGGAACAGTTTCTGAGAATGCCGTCTGTAGTTTGAGTCCGGCCTTTTCTCCGTCAAAAATTATATTTTAAATTTGACAAGGTCTCCATATTATATCAACTTAATAAATTATCATTTGAGGATAATTAAGAACTACAAAATGTATCAAAGTGTAGTCATCTAGTAATATCAGCATTATCTATTATTATCAAATTTCTATTACGAAATCTAATCGTGACGTTATCTACTGAATAGATTTTATAGAAATTCTTGGTACTAACCAACCAACAGAATAGTAAAAATATAGCTATATATAATGTTATTGCTTTTCAGATGCAAAAAGCACGTGACTATAAATAAGAAAATGTACTTAGATTGGACATTTTCAAACTCGGGCGAGTTTGAACCGGTATTCGTATCGTGTCGTGCTGCTGCTCTAACCAATAAGTTAGAGTCGGTAGCTCAATTAAAAATAATGTTTTTCAAATTAACATGATTGTCTAATCTGTGTCTCTTGCCTCCTTTCTCATGTCTCTAAATTCTTATTACATTGACATCATGAACTGTATACCTAATTTACATATTTTAAACGAACGAGCGTTTAAAATATAATTTTTTTTTGAGCGTTTCGTCACGGGGAGACCACGGCTGCTGCAAAGCATCCGAAACGTCGGGCCGAAGTTAAAAATAATTTTCAATTTAACTAATATAAACATTAATATTTTTCACATGTTATTGCACATGAAGGCACTATATAATTTAAAAATCGAAAATAAATTGAAAAAATTTTCGACTCGGGCAGGACTTGAACCGGCATCGTCAGCTCTCCGTGCTGTTGCTCTACCAATTGAGCTACCGATGAAAGGAAAGCTGACGATGCCGGTTCAAGTCCTGCCCGAGTCGAAAATTTTTTCAATTTATTTTCGATTTTTAAATTAACTAATATAAAGTTAAAGTGTTTTATTTAAACATTCGTCATATTTTTAATGTTAGGTGAGTGAGCCCAAGGTTGTCTATCTTGGGCTTCACTTGTTGATGTAGGTTTAAAATGGCCCAGCCATAAAGCATTTGATTTATATGCGCTATCGACCTATAATATTATCCTTCGTCTTCGGGAAGTTCACAGACTACAATCTTTACGCAAATCTACGTAGACCGTTTGTACGCCTTTACCTCCAGATATGTGTACGTATTCAAAAACAAAAAACAATTCAGAAACATGCTAGACTTGGGGAAATACGAACCAACATTTGATAAAAATCACGAAAATAACACAAGGAGGGATTAGGGGCGTATAGTAAGATATCTCGTGTATTTATTTTTTCGTCAAACGCACGATTTTTAAACAAATGGTGTAGACATTTTTATTATGGTCCTTAATTTCAGAATAAAATAAGATTATAGTTTATACCTGTATTTATTTTAAGATAATATTCAGAAAATTTTAAGATTCTTTGTAGGTACTAAAAATACACGTTATGTTGAGAAGGGGGGAGGGGGGGGGTGGTCTTAAACCTCACTACGTATTACCAATGGGGGGAGGGGGGGGGTTTAAAATTTCTAAAAAAAGGTCACGTGATTAATGGACATCCCCTTATAAGTAAAAAAATAATGTTAAGTGTCTGTCGTGTTTAGTTTTAATAATTGTATATTACACGTAAAAACTTGTAATTGGCCTTCCTGTATCTACGTATTGTTTGTATTTTCAATTGTAGTGGCCGTAAGTTTTTTGTAAAGGAATAAAATAAAATATTAAAATTCATAACAAAAGTGTTAAAGTTCACGTGTCTTTAAGAGAAGACAAAATAAGTCGACAACAAATCTTTCAAATTCCAATTCCTCAACCACACGCTTGACCTCCCGTCAAAGAAAAACGATAGTAAATAAAAGATCTAATTCTACATCGGTTTCAGGAATGCATCTTCAAAGACACTTTGGATTGTTCCGAAAACGATCACAACTATATTGACAGTGGGGGGACGGATTGTCTGGCTGATGAGCCTCACGAAACTGACTGCAAGAACTATTACCGCTGCGAGAACGGTAATAAAGTCCTCAGCAGCTGTGAACCGGGATTCCGGTTCAACCCTGAAACACGGGTAAGAATTACAAAGTGTTATCTAAACTAGAATTATTTTTAGCTAAAGAGTTTGTGCGTTTGAACGCGCTTATCTCAAGAACTACTGGTTCGAATTGTAAAATTCATATTATGTTGTTTAGAGCATGTATCAAGGAAGGCTTTAGGCTATAAAACGCCGCGACCAATAGTAGAGATAGAAAAGGTGGGAAATGTGGAAAAACGGGGAAAATTATTTGTCTTTGAGGGTTTCTGTTGCGTGCGCTACAAAAACCGTTAAATTATAAATTCCTCTTTAAATGATATAAAGAATGTCCCCGACAATATTTGTCTATCTATGAAGATTAATTGCAAGAACGACGGGACGCGAGCGACGTCGTGGGTAACAGGTATAAGTTATAAAAATGAACTGGAGGTTTGGAAAAACAAATTTTAAAGTCCAAAATAACTATTATACGAGAACGTCGCTGCGGGCACAGCTATTTATTCTCTCTACAAAGCAGACCTAAACAATCCTGGCTACTCTTTATTCCTTACTAATATTATAAATGCGAAAGTAACTCTGTCTGTCTGTTACTCTTTCACGTCAAAACTACTGAATGGAATTGAACGAAATTTGGTATACAGATGAGCCTAGACCCTGAGAAAGGACATAGGACATATATTTTTAATTTTAAAAGGGTTCATAGGGGTTGAAAAGGGGGATGAAAGTTTGTATGAAAATACATGGTTTTTACAAGCTAGAACAATGAAAATTTCTGCTTTGGCTTTTTGGGAATAGGAGTGGAAGTGGGAGTAGGAGTGATGTGAGATGAGACTGTTGGGGCAAAGGAGCACTTATCATAGATTGGCTGCCTTAAATGCGACCTTACATAAATTAATAAGCAGCCTCAATAATTAAAAATTCTACCCCAAGTCACTATTTCACGCGGACGAAGTCGCGGGCACAGCTAGTAATTAATATATTGTTATTTTTATTTCAGGTTTGCGACTATGCAGCGAAAGTCGAGTGTAAGCATGGGATCAACAAGAGGTCAATATCTCTTCAGGCACGATGCCCCACCAATTCGTGGACTCAGATGAACATACCCCATGAGACAGACTGCGCCAAATATTACCGATGTCTGAATGGAAATAAAATATTAATGATGTGCTTTAATGGAATGCATTACAATGCGAGAACACAGGTATTAGAAAACTTTACCATTTATCACATATTGTTGCGCACGATGGCACTGTAAATGAAAAATCGATTATTAATAATTCAAATACGACCTAAGCAGGACCATCAGATGGTACTGAAATGTTTATTAAACTGTCCGTTGTTTACGCGAGTAGTTTCACATTTAAATAAAACATGTTAACGGTTTATAACTAATATATATCGCGTTTTAAACCGTTAAAGTGTTGTATTTCATTTTTTTATTAAGTTATATCGGTATTATCCTTTCAGAGCTGTGACACAGCACACAACGCCGGTTGTGCGTCAGGAATAAATAAACCTGAAAATGATTGTCCAGTTGACACGTTTATACCCAAGTATTTACCCCACGAATCCGACTGCGGAAAATATTACGAATGTTTCCGGGGAAACAAAAGATTGCAGTGGTGCATGAAGGGAAAGCATTTTAATTCTAAAACTCAGGTAACATGCGTGTTTACATACTGTCTGTAGTTTACGCGGGTACTACACATTTAAATAAAACACTTTAACGGTTTAAAACGCGATTTATATTATACGCTGCTGCAAAGCCTCCGAAACTTCGGGCTGTAATTAAAATAATTACCAAATAAGTTTAACTAATATTGACATTCGGACCGGACGAAGGACCGTCCACAGATGGGAAAGCCGTGAAGTTCGCGTTTCGGTGTTTAGTTAATGGATTTCCGAATATGAAAAAAAAAGTCGGCAGCGTATCTTGTTTGGATGTTATTTGGCTGAAGTAGAAATACCGCAGCCATAGGTGAAATCTTATGAAGAGCTTGTTAGTCTTCCTCTAAAAAAAATACTGACATACGTTAAATCCTGTTGAAGCCCGACCCGTGTCGTCATTTTTCTGTCCATTTAGAATTAAAATAAAATCTATTTAATTTGAAATAAATTTACGACAATTTAATTTAATCTAAACAGATGTTTTATTAAATTGAAAATGTACAGGAATGCGACACAATAGCAAGAGCCGGTTGTCAAAAGGACGAATCTAATGACGGAAATGTTTTACCAAACGGTTGTCCGAGAGATGGCAGTAAAGTCAAGATGTTAGCACACGAAACGGAATGTGATAGGTACTACGAGTGTGTATATGGGAACAAAATACTGTTGCCGTGCGATCCGGGGAAACATTTTAGCTACCAACTACAGGTAAGTTCCTTTCTACAAATCCTATTAATGTCCTAGACCTACCTATAACGCTCCAGATCGGTTTGGTGGGCTTTTACAATTATCACCAGTTTCATAATTAGTGACGATAAAAATCAAAAGATTATTAAGATAAAAAAATACGACACGGGCGGGTCTTGAATCGGCAACCACAGCGTTCCGTGCTGCTGCTCTGACCAATTGAGCTACGGTTTCCTACAGCAATGCTGCTGGGTGGAGCAGCAGTACGAAACGCAGAACGCTGTAGATGTCGGTTCAGATCCCGCTCGTGTTGTTATTTTTGCTTCAATCAATATAATCATCCAACATGTGAAAAATATATAAATTATAGTGAACATAACCGGGATAAAAGGCTTAACATGCATTTTCCGGGGTAAGTGTGTTCGTTTGTTATTCACACCATAAATAACCTAATAATGTGATTAGGAAGCTAAGAAATAAAGGTTTCAATCCAAAATATCTCACTAGAAAGCAGAAAGTCAATCATAATAATTTTCATATCTTTATTACAACGTGCATTCTAAAATCAATAAAACTGGCTTATGTTGTATTTTTTATTGTCTGTTTTTAATGAAAAACTATTGCATACAAAGGTGAGTTTTAATTTTTCGCTGTTTTGTCAAATAATTTCGTTGTAGTCTTTTAACACAAGAAACATTATAAAAAATGATCTCAATGCGACGCAACGGTCGTATCTACAGCTCGAAAACCCAAAATAAAAAAGGCCGCGAAAAGCCTATTATCATAAAGCTGTAAAGATTGTCTGTTTGAACGCACTAATTTTAAGATTAATCTCTACTGGTTGGATTTGAAAACATATATTAGTGTTAGTTGGACCATTTACCAAAGAAGATTCAGGCTGTAGCCAAAAGGAGCAAAGAAACAGAAGGCTTCCGTGGCGTCCGCTGCGAAAGCGGGTTAAGAAACCAAAAACTATGATGAGAATGATTATTCTTTCATAGAGTTACAGTCACAAGTTAACCTTAATAGATAGACATATACTGTTGGAGACATTTATTTAAAACACTTAAAGAGGAATCTATTTTTCATACATTTTTTTGGTATCTTGAATCGTTTTCGTAGCGCACGCCACGGATGAGTTTTTTTACGTTATTTTCACATTTCCCGTTTTTCCTTCGCTCCTATAAGACGCATCGCAATACTGATATCCTTCCTCGATAAATGCTCTAAACAACATATCAATAATTTAAAACTCGAAAATAACTTAAAAAACAATTTCGACTCGGGCAGGTCTTGAACCGGCCTCGTCAGCGTTCCGTGCTGTTGCTCTACCAATATCTACTCGGTAGCTCAGTTGGTAGAGCAACAGCACGGAACGTTGACGATGCCGGTTCAAGTTCTGCCCGAGTCGAAATTGTTTTTCAATTTATTTTGATTTTTACATTATATAGTGGCCATCATGTGCAAAAACGTGTAAAAAATATAAAAGTTTTCAAACATCAATAATTTCTCATTTTAAACCAAACAGTTCTAGAGATTAGCACGTTCAAACAAACTCTTTAGCTTTATAAATTAGTATAGAGTATATATTGATAGTCGCAATGTAGGCTGTTGTCAATGGAGCTACATTTATCTTTAGTAAAACAACATTTAAAATGTCGTACTGTCAACCACAACTTCCGCCACACAGTCAGACTTTTGACGCATTTATTGTTATTATCAATTACCGACCGTCAATGCCAACGCCAACAACTTCCTCCATACAGTCTCATTGACATCTTAAATCTGATTACAAACACAACATACATTTTAATAATTTAAAATAAACACACTTAACAGCTATAATTTAAACATGAGGGGGAGGTCTGCAAAAATAAATATTATAAAAATAACTCTTCCGCACTTAACGCACGAAGTCGCGGGCACAGCTAGTAAAACATATTAACCTAATATAATAAAAGGTTTCTATATTATAGCGATGTGACCGCCCCGACGTAGCTAAGTGTGGCATCTCTGAACTGTACCCAACAACGGTACAGCCAGTACGGGAAACACCCAGACCGGGGTATTTTCCTAATGGGTGTCCAAGAAACTACAGGATCGAGCAGCTTTTACCTCACCCCAATTGCAATAAGTTCTATCAATGCGTGCATGGAACTAAACAAGAAATGCCCTGTCCAGGAGGATTACATTTTAGTTATGCACTACAGGTAAATTGTGAACAATAAGAAAAGTCAAATGTATGTGTTCTAGTGTACTAACTAATTAAGTTTTAAAAAGTTGATGAGCTCGTTGTTCTAATGGTAATGCCAATGTCTGGATAAAAATTAATTGGTCGTGGGTCTGATTCCTACCGGGTTTATTACGTGATATAATTTATATTTTTTTTGAAACATGTTGGACTTCTAAAAATCTGGATATGAAATACGAACATCGAGATTATGTCCGGGTTACAAACCACAGTCTACATGAAAATTCGGGTTCAGTTGTTGGGTTTCCGAATATTCATTGCCTCCTCTATCATATAAAAAGGTTTATAAAATAACTTATTAGGCGTTGTTACATTATAAATAACACATTTTCAACGGTTCGAAATTCAAAATATTAGTTGAAATTTAGTTATTATTCCCAGTCGTAGTTACGCGATTGATGTTGATTATACAAGAATGTCGGGATATAAATAAATAAGTTTTGTTTTATCGTATTCAATTGTAACTTATCATTCGTTTGATTATCAGCAAAAAAGCTAAAGGTTAATTATTTGTTTGGCTCCACATCCATTTAATTTCAATCAGATAAAGTTTTTCGTAGAATTTAAGAAAGTTTCGTCTTAATAGTATAACTTAATATGTTTTACAGCGCTGCGAGTGGCCACGTATTGCCGGTTGTGTACCGGGGTCTACAACAACAAGACTTCCAACGCCTCCATCATCATCAACAACAACAAGACGACCACCATCACCGACAACAACAACAACAAGGCGACCACCACCTACTACAACACTCAGGACTACCAGCACTACGTCAACATCAAAACCTCCAAGCACCTCTAATCCAGATTACTTCCCGAACGGGTGTCCAAAGGACTATAGAATTGAACAGTTGCTGCCTCATCCTGACTGTACCAAGTTCTACCAGTGCGTACATGGAGGCAAACAAGAGATGCCATGTGCTCCTGGAACTCACTTCAGTTTTGCTCTGCAGGTTTGTTTACTATAGGTACTTACATTTGTTTACTCATAGCTTCAGGAGAGAACTCTGATTGTTTGATTATTGTTCAATCTGCAGTCGCGAAATCGGGGACATTAGCACAGTAGTGTGAAGAAAATCATAAGAAAAAATCAATTAACTTTCGATTTTTAATTTATATAGTGCATTATGTTCAACATGTACAAAATATCAAAATTTTCAAAGATCTAATAAATAAGAAAATTAATACGATATCAAATTCTCTTACAGCGATGCGACTGGCCCAGTGTTGCTGGTTGCGTACCAGGATCTACAACAACAACGACAACCACTCAACTACCAACGACAACATCAAGCAGTACAAGTTCATCAACAAATCTTCCGACAACAACAACATCAACTACTACAAGTTCGACAACAAATGATCCAACAACAGCGTCTACACCTACCACACCGAAACCTGGCTTATTACCAAATGGATGCCCAGAGGATTTTAGCGTACATATGTTGTTACCACACGAATATGATTGTACTAAATTCTATTATTGTAACTTCGGTGCGAAAGTCGAACGGGAATGCAGTTCGGGCCTATATTTTGATCCCGTTTTACAGGTATACTATGATTTAATACTATTACATATAATATATGATATAAGCTAGGCAACTTAATATATTCATAGAACAAGAAACAATAAACCGCACATGGAAAAAGATAATTCCGCCACCCATTCGTGAAACGACACAAAAATAAATTGTTGTTTATGATGATTGATAATTTTTTTGGTACCCGATCGAAAATATTAAGTTTCCAGGATTCCAAATCCAGGAAATCACTAGATAGCGTAGTAGTCACACTGATATTTAAACGAGGTTTAATTTATTGTTTTTGGTAGGTGTGTAATTGGCCATGGAATGTTAATTGTACCTCAACTACAACATCATCCAGTACCACAAAACCAACAACACCACCATTCACAACAACTTCTGCTGCAACCAGTACAGACATAACAATATCTTCAGAAGCAACGACATCTAAAGTAACATCAACAGAATCATCTACGACTGAGAGGACGTCTCCAGATATTACAACAACTGATGAAAGTACATCACAATTTACAACTGATGGAAAAACACCCACGATAACGACGATAACAGACACAACGACGGATCTGACGACTACTGAAAGAACAACCCCAGATCTAACAACAACTGAGTCGCCAGCCCCAGACACAACTACGGATAGTGAAACTACGCCGGATCTGACGACTACTGAAAGGACAACCCCAGATCTAACAACAACTGAGTCGCCAGCCCCGGATACAACTACGGATAGTGAAACTACGCCAGGTCTATCGACTACTGAAGGGACAACCCCAGATCTAACAACAACTGAGTCGCCAGCCCCGGATACAACTACGGATAGTGAAACTACGCCGGATCTGACGACTACTGAAGGGACAACCCCAGATCTAACAACAACTGAGTCGCCAGCCCCAGACACAACTACGGATAGTGAAACTACGCCGGATCTGACGACCACTGAAGGGACAACCCCAGATCTAACATCAACTGAGTCGCCAGCCCCAGACACAACTACGGATAGTGAAACTACGCCGGATCTGACGACGACTGAAGGAACAACCCCAGATCTAACAACAACTGAGTCGCCAGCCCCAGACACAACTACGGATAGTGAATCTACGCCGGATATGACGACTACTGAAGGAACAACCCCAGATCTATCAACAACTGAGTCGCCAGCTCCAGACACAACTACGGATAGTGAAACTACGCCAGGTCTATCGACTACTGAAGGGACAACCCCAGATCTAACAACAACTGAGTCGCCAGCCCCGGATACAACTACGGATAGTGAAACTACGCCGGATCTGACGACTACTGAAGGAACAACCCCAGATCTATCAACAACTGAGTCGCCAGCCCCAGACACAACTACGGATAGTGAAACTACGCCGGATCTATCGACTACTGAAGGGACAACCCCAGATCTAACAACAACTGAGTCGCCAGCTCCAGACACAACTACGGATAGTGAATCTACGCCGGATCTGACGACTACTGAAGGGACAACCCCAGATCTATCAACAACTGAGTCGCAAGCCCCAGACACAACTACGGATAGTGAAACTACGCCGGATCTGACGACCACTGAAGGGACAACCCCAGATCTTACAACAACTGAGTCATCAGCCCCAGATACAACTACGGATAGTGAAACTACGCCGGATCTGACGACTACTAAAGGGACAACCCCAGATCTATCAACAACTGAGTCGCAAGCCCCAGACACAACTACGGATAGTGAAACTACGCCGGATCTGACGACCACTGAAGGGACAACCCCAGATCTTACAACAACTGAGTCATCAGCCCCAGATACAACTACGAATAGTGAAACTACGCCGGATCTGTCAACTACTGAAGGGACAACCCCAGATCTAACAACAACTGAGTCGCCAGCACCAGACACAACTACGGATAGTGAAACTACGCCGGATCTGACGACTACTGAAGGGACAACCCCAGATCTAACAACAACTGAGTCGTCAGCCCCTGATACAACTACGGATAGTGAAACTACGCCAGATCTATCGACTACTGAAGGGACAACCCCAGATCTAACAACAACTGAGTCGCCAGCCCCAGACACAACTACGGGTAGTGAATCTACGCCGGATCTGACGACTACTGAAGGGACAACCCCAGATCTATCAACAACTGAGTCGCAAGCCCCAGACACAACTACGGATAGTGAAACTACGCCGGATCTGACGACTACTGAAGGAACAACCCCAGATCTAACAACAACTGAGTCGCCAGCCCCAGACACAACTAAGGATAGTGAATCTACGCCGGATATGACGACTACTGAAGGAACAACCCCAGATCTATCAACAACTGAGTCGCCAGCCCCAGACACAACTACGGATAGTGAAACTACGCCAGGTCTATCGACTACTGAAGGGACAACCCCAGATCTAACAACAACTGAGTCGCCAGCCCCAGACACAACTACGGATAGTGAAACTACGCCGGATCTGACGACTACTGAAGGGACAACCCCAGATCTAACAACAACTGAGTCGTCAGCCCCTGATACAACTACGGATAGTGAAACTACGCCGGATCTGACAACTACTGAAGGGACAACCCCAGATCTTACAACAACTGAGTCGCCAGCCCCAGACACAACTACGGATAGTGAATCTATGCCGGATCTGACGACCACTGAAGGGACAACCCCAGATCTATCAACAACTGAGTCGCAAGCCCCAGACACAACTACGGATAGTGAAACTACGCCGGATCTGACGACCACTGAAGGGACAACCCCAGATCTTACAACAACTGAGTCGTCAGCCCCTGATACAACTACGGATAGTGAAACTACGCCAGATCTATCGACTACTGAAGGGACAACCCCAGATCTAACAACAACTGAGTCGCCAGCCCCAGACACAACTACGGGTAGTGAATCTACGCCGGATCTGACGACTACTGAAGGGACAACCCCAGATCTATCAACAACTGAGTCGCAAGCCCCAGACACAACTACGGATAGTGAAACTACGCCAGGTCTATCGACTACTGAAGGGACAACCCCAGATCTAACAACAACTGAGTCGCCAGCCCCAGACACAACTACGGATAGTGAAACTACGCCAGGTCTATCGACTACTGAAGGGACAACCCCAGATCTAACAACAACTGAGTCGCCAGCCCCAGACACAACTACGGATAGTGAAACTACGCCGGATCTGACGACTACTGAAGGAACAACCCCAGATCTAACAACAACTGAGTCGCCAGCCCCAGACACAACTAAGGATAGTGAATCTACGCCGGATATGACGACTACTGAAGGAACAACCCCAGATCTATCAACAACTGAGTCGCCAGCCCCAGACACAACTACGGATAGTGAAACTACGCCAGGTCTATCGACTACTGAAGGGACAACCCCAGATCTATCAACAACTGAGTCGCAAGCCCCAGACACAACTACGGATAGTGAAACTACGCCGGATCTGACGACTACTGAAGGGACAACCCCAGATCTAACAACAACTGAGTCGTCAGCCCCTGATACAACTACGGATAGTGAAACTACGCCGGATCTGACAACTACTGAAGGGACAACCCCAGATCTTACAACAACTGAGTCGCCAGCCCCAGACACAACTACGGATAGTGAATCTATGCCGGATCTGACGACCACTGAAGGGACAACCCCAGATCTATCAACAACTGAGTCGCAAGCCCCAGACACAACTACGGATAGTGAAACTACGCCGGATCTGACGACCACTGAAGGGACAACCCCAGATCTTACAACAACTGAGTCGTCAGACCCTGATACAACTACGGATAGTGAAACTACGCCAGATCTATCGACTACTGAAGGGACAACCCCAGATCTAACAACAACTGAGTCGCCAGCCCCAGACACAACTACGGGTAGTGAATCTACGCCGGATCTGACGACTACTGAAGGGACAACCCCAGATCTATCAACAACTGAGTCGCAAGCCCCAGACACAACTACGGATAGTGAAACTACGCCAGGTCTATCGACTACTGAAGGGACAACCCCAGATCTAACAACAACTGAGTCGCCAGCCCCAGACACAACTACGGATAGTGAAACTACGCCAGGTCTATCGACTACTGAAGGGACAACCCCAGATCTAACAACAACTGAGTCGCCAGCCCCAGACACAACTACGGATAGTGAAACTACGCCGGATCTGACGACTACTGAAGGAACAACCCCAGATCTAACAACAACTGAGTCGCCAGCCCCAGACACAACTAAGGATAGTGAATCTACGCCGGATATGACGACTACTGAAGGAACAACCCCAGATCTATCAACAACTGAGTCGCCAGCCCCAGACACAACTACGGATAGTGAAACTACGCCAGGTCTATCGACTACTGAAGGGACAACCCCAGATCTAACAACAACTGAGTCGCCAGCCCCAGACACAACTACGGATAGTGAAACTACGCCGGATCTGACGACTACTGAAGGGACAACCCCAGATCTAACAACAACTGAGTCGTCAGCCCCTGATACAACTACGGATAGTGAAACTACGCCGGATCTGACAACTACTGAAGGGACAACCCCAGATCTTACAACAACTGAGTCGCCAGCCCCAGACACAACTACGGATAGTGAATCTACGCCGGATCTGACGACTACTGAAGGGACAACCCCAGATCTATCAACAACTGAGTCGCAAGCCCCAGACACAACTACGGATAGTGAAACTACGCCAGGTCTATCGACTACTGAAGGGACAACCCCAGATCTAACATCAACTGAGTCGCCAGCCCCAGACACAACTACGGATAGTGAAACTACGCCGGATCTGACGACTACTGAAGGAACAACCCCAGATCTAACAACAACTGAGTCGCCAGCCCCAGACACAACTAAGGATAGTGAATCTACGCCGGATATGACGACTACTGAAGGAACAACCCCAGATCTATCAACAACTGAGTCGCCAGCCCCAGACACAACTACGGATAGTGAAACTACGCCAGGTCTATCGACTACTGAAGGGACAACCCCAGATCTAACAACAACTGAGTCGCCAGCCCCAGACACAACTACGGATAGTGAAACTACGCCGGATCTGACGACTACTGAAGGGACAACCCCAGATCTAACAACAACTGAGTCGTCAGCCCCTGATACAACTACGGATAGTGAAACTACGCCGGATCTGACAACTACTGAAGGGACAACCCCAGATCTTACAACAACTGAGTCGCCAGCCCCAGACACAACTACGGATAGTGAATCTATGCCGGATCTGACGACCACTGAAGGGACAACCCCAGATCTATCAACAACTGAGTCGCAAGCCCCAGACACAACTACGGATAGTGAAACTACGCCGGATCTGACGACCACTGAAGGGACAACCCCAGATCTTACAACAACTGAGTCATCAGCCCCAGACACAACTACGGATAGTGAAACTACGCCGGATCTGACGACTACTGAAGGGACAACCCCAGATCTAACAACAACTGAGTCGCCAGCCCCAGACACAACTACGGATAGTGAAACTACGCCGGATCTGACGACTACTGAAGGGACAACCCCAGATCTAACAACAACTGAGTCGCCAGCCCCAGACACAACTACGGATAGTGAAACTACGCCAGGTCTATCGACTACTGAAGGGACAACCCCAGATCTAACAACAACTGAGTCGCCAGCCCCAGACACAACTACGGATAGTGAAACTACGCCGGATCTGACGACTACTGAAGGAACAACCCCAGATCTAACAACAACTGAGTCGCCAGCCCCAGACACAACTACGGATAGTGAAACTACGCCGGATCTGACGACTACTGAAGGAACAACCCCAGATCTATCAACAACTGAGTCGCCAGCCCCAGACACAACTACGGATAGTGAAACTACGCCAGGTCTATCGACTACTGAAGGGACAACCCCAGATCTAACAACAACTGAGTCGCCAGCCCCAGACACAACTACGGATAGTGAAACTACGCCGGATCTGACGACTACTGAAGGGACAACCCCAGATCTAACAACAACGGAGTCGCCAGCCCCGGACACAACTACGGATAGTGAAACTACGCCAGGTCTATCGACTACTGAAGGGACAACCCCAGATCTAACATCAACTGAGTCGCCAGCCCCAGACACAACTACGGATAGTGAAACTACGCCGGATCTGACGACTACTGAAGGAACAACCCCAGATCTATCAACAACTGAGTCGCAAGCCCCAGACACAACTACGGATAGTGAAACTACGCCGGATCTGACGACCACTGAAGGGACAACCCCAGATCTTACAACAACTGAGTCATCAGCCCCAGATACAACTACGGATAGTGAAACTACGCCGGATCTGACGACTACTGAAGGGACAACCCCAGATCTAACAACAACTGAGTCGCCAGCCCCGGACACAACTACGGATAGTGAAACTACGCCGGATCTGACGACTACTGAAGGAACAACCCCAGATCTATCAACAACTGAGTCGCAAGCCCCAGACACAACTACGGATAGTGAAACTACGCCGGATCTGACGACCACTGAAGGGACAACCCCAGATCTTACAACAACTGAGTCATCAGCCCCAGATACAACTACGGATAGTGAAACTACGCCGGATCTGACGACTACTGAAGGGACAACCCCAGATCTAACAACAACTGAGTCGCCAGCCCCGGACACAACTACGGATAGTGAAACTACGCCAGGTCTATCGACTACTGAAGGGACAACCCCAGATCTAACATCAACTGAGTCGCCAGCCCCAGACACAACTACGGATAGTGAAACTACGCCGGATCTGACGACTACTGAAGGAACAACCCCAGATCTATCAACAACTGAGTCGCAAGCCCCAGACACAACTACGGATAGTGAAACTACGCCGGATCTGACGACCACTGAAGGGACAACCCCAGATCTTTTAACAACTGAGTCATCAGCCCCAGATACAACTACGGATAGTGAAACTACGCCGGATCTGACGACTACTGAAGGGACAACCCCAGATCTAACAACAACTGAGTCGCCAGCCCCGGACACAACTACGGATAGTGAAACTACGCCAGGTCTATCGACTACTGAAGGGACAACCCCAGATCTAACATCAACTGAGTCGCCAGCCCCGGACACAACTACGGATAGTGAAACTACGCCAGGTCTATCGACTACTGAAGGGACAACCCCAGATCTAACATCAACTGAGTCGCCAGCCCCAGACACAACTACGGATAGTGAAACTACGCCAGGTCTATCGACTACTGAAGGGACAACCCCAGATCTAACAACAACTGAGTCGCCAGCCCCAGACACAACTACGGATAGTGAAACTACGCCGGATCTGACGACTACTGAAGGGACAACCCCAGATCTAACAACAACTGAGTCGTCAGCCCCTGATACAACTACGGATAGTGAAACTACGCCGGATCTGACAACTACTGAAGGGACAACCCCAGATCTTACAACAACTGAGTCGCCAGCCCCAGACACAACTACGGATAGTGAATCTATGCCGGATCTGACGACCACTGAAGGGACAACCCCAGATCTATCAACAACTGAGTCGCAAGCCCCAGACACAACTACGGATAGTGAAACTACGCCAGGTCTATCGACTACTGAAGGGACAACCCCAGATCTAACAACAACTGAGTCGCCAGCCCCAGACACAACTACGGATAGTGAAACTACGCCGGATCTGACGACTACTGAAGGGACAACCCCAGATCTAACAACAACGGAGTCGCCAGCCCCGGACACAACTACGGATAGTGAAACTACGCCAGGTCTATCGACTACTGAAGGGACAACCCCAGATCTAACATCAACTGAGTCGCCAGCCCCAGACACAACTACGGATAGTGAAACTACGCCGGATCTGACGACTACTGAAGGGACAACCCCAGATCTTACAACAACTGAGTCATCAGCCCCAGACACAACTACGGATAGTGAAACTACGCCGGATCTGACGACTACTGAAGGGACAACCCCAGATCTAACAACAACTGAGTCGCCAGCCCCAGACACAACTACGGATAGTGAAACTACGCCGGATCTGACGACTACTGAAGGGACAACCCCAGATCTAACAACAACTGAGTCGCCAGCCCCAGACACAACTACGGATAGTGAAACTACGCCAGGTCTATCGACTACTGAAGGGACAACCCCAGATCTAACAACAACTGAGTCGCCAGCCCCAGACACAACTACGGATAGTGAAACTACGCCGGATCTGACGACTACTGAAGGAACAACCCCAGATCTAACAACAACTGAGTCGCCAGCCCCAGACACAACTAAGGATAGTGAATCTACGCCGGATATGACGACTACTGAAGGAACAACCCCAGATCTATCAACAACTGAGTCGCCAGCCCCAGACACAACTACGGATAGTGAAACTACGCCAGGTCTATCGACTACTGAAGGGACAACCCCAGATCTAACAACAACTGAGTCGCCAGCCCCAGACACAACTACGGATAGTGAAACTACGCCGGATCTGACGACTACTGAAGGGACAACCCCAGATCTAACAACAACGGAGTCGCCAGCCCCGGACACAACTACGGATAGTGAAACTACGCCAGGTCTATCGACTACTGAAGGGACAACCCCAGATCTAACATCAACTGAGTCGCCAGCCCCAGACACAACTACGGATAGTGAAACTACGCCGGATCTGACGACTACTGAAGGGACAACCCCAGATTTAACAACGACCGCAGCAGATACTACAACGGATGGTGGCGCTACGGCGGACCTTATAAATACCCAATCAACTCAACCAGATACAACAACAAACAAAGATTTCACTGCATCTACGACTGATATACCTACAACAATAGATACATCATCACCATCAACTCCACCTCCTATTTGTCCTCCAGACGTGTTCGGGAATGTACCTCATCCTATTTACTGTGATAGGTACTACAGTTGCTTTGGAGGCTCCGCGTTTTTAATACGTTGCTCTGATGGTTTTGAATACGATCACGCTGCTCAAGTAAGTAATCTATATTTATATATTAAAGGTAAACAGTTTGTCTTTTTTAGCGCGCCAATCACATAAGACTGGTTCGTATTGAATTCTTTTTGTGTTGGTTAGAGAGTTTATCGAGGGAGGCTTATGGCTATAAAACACCACGCTGCGATCATTAGAAGGGAAGAATATGTGAGAAATATATTTAAAAAAAATATTAATCTTTGAATTCCGTTGCACCCAACGAACAGTTTAAGATATCTAAAACATATCTATGAAAGAATGAATTCAATTTAATTTCTCGTGTATTTATTAAGATTGACTTCCAACGACGAGATGTGAGCAAAGTCCTGGGTAACAGCTATTATTTTTAACATTACTAAATAAATTACGGTAAATAATATTTTGTCTAAGTTGTAAGCTCTAAATAATGCAAGAGAACGCATTAGGGATTCAGCAAAAAGGAAAAAGTCATCTTTTTACTGAACCATTTGCTTGTATTTAATTGCCTTACCTGGCTTATAATCAAATCAATAATTTAATGAAAAAAATAACTATTTTGTTCTGTACCTAATACTATAGTTATCCTTTATATTCTAGGGATGTGTGCGAATTTCTGAAGATGGATGTTTCGCTACGAGATACAACACCACTACAACTGAAAATAAAAACACCGAATCAGCGACAGACGACAAAAACGTAGAGACAACAACAGACGACAGAAATATCGAGGCCACGACAGATGATCGAAACATGGAGACAACAACAGACGACAGAAATACAGATACGACTCAAGATGTGGGAGACGCTATTTGTCCACCTGACTTTTCAGGGAAAATACCGCATCCAGATAGTTGTGGTTCCTACTATCTGTGCGTCCGGGGTGAAGAATTTTTAAGAAATTGCGCCAACGGCTTCGAATATGATCCTAAAGAAACGGTAATTATTACTATTTCGTTAGATAGAAAACTTTAGGAATTGAAAATATCCTATTTTTATGATAGAGAAGGACAGAAAGGCGTGAGGTTCACTCGATGGTAGATAAATATCCCAGCTATATTCCACATTTTAGAGATATATTCGGATATTCAGAAATCCACAAACTGAAACCAAATGGCGATTGAACTTCACGGCTTTTTCATCTGTGGACGGTGGTTCGTGGAACCCATGTAATATCCAGATTTCCAGATGAAGTCCAACTCGTTTCTGATAAACTATAAATTAATGAGAAAAATGTTGGACCCACAACTATATAGTTAACATAAAACCAACGACCCTGTCAAAATATCGGTGTTAATATGGTACCCGACACATTCTAACAGTTCGGGAGTACTACAAAAAAAAAACACTTACACGGTTTTAAACGCGAATAATATTCGTTCACTTATTTCAATTTTTCTACCAGCCGACGGTTCGGATACTCTACGAAGACTATACTAATATACTTCGGAATTCAAACCGTTACCGTTTCATTTAGCTATACTAACATTATCCAAAATGTATCACAGATTGGCTTTTTTAATTTAGTAAACTGTAAATGACCGCCTGTGTACCCAAATGGTTAAACCTATTGCCTAGCATTGCGTTAAGTGCGAGAGGTCCTAGGTTCGAATCCCAGGGAAACAAAATATTGTTTCGGTCGGACAGGGCACTGAAGTCTGATCAACTACTTAAAGTGTGTTCGTCCCATGTCCCACGAGGGGGAGACGGGATTACACACAAAATAAACTGAAAATTAATCTACTGAATTTTGCTTCATATACTGCTAGAAAGCGAATATAGAGATATGACCTGAATTTCTCATATATATTTTTTTCTGTAAATAAACATAATTAACACAACTTTACTGCACGAATTATTTAATAATTTCATCAAATTTAAGGAATGCCTTCCCATATCCGAAGACGGTTGCTACGCACAACGGCAGAACATTACAACCACAACAGAGAACAACGATGATACAGAAATTTCTACATACAAAAATGATGACAAACAAATTTGTCCACCGTCCTACTCTGGGAACATTGCCCATCCAGTTCTTTGCGACGCCTATTACTCCTGTTTTGGTGGAATGGCGTTCTTGATCAATTGCTCGAGCGGATTCGAATATGACCCCGAAGTGAAGGTAAGGGGCCGTAAAGATTTAGAGGGGAGGGGCTCGACAATGTATTATTTTCTTAAAAGGGGGTAAAAGGGAGTTTTTATAGTTCTTATGTACGAACACAAAGTGACAATGTTAAAATTATTATTTTTGAATGGGTTTTTGAGCCAGGTTTTCCGATATATGATTTTAATCGGGGAGGGCGTCTTATTTTTGGTATAATAGGGGTTAAGACTAGCGAAGATTGTCATGTTGAAAAGTAAGTTAGTCTTAATTTTTGAATTTAGTAAGTTTAAGAATTTTAGAAGCCCAAGGTTTACTTGATAGACAGTGAAATGCCCCTTATTTCGGGTTTGGATATTCGGAAATCCAGGAAAACCCGAGACCCGGACGGAATTTCGATATTGCAACGACCTAATAATTGTAGTATTAATAACACACTTATTCAAATTAATATAATTTGCTTCTTCAAATTTAACATACAAGATTTTTTTCAATGATATTTAAGATTTTGGCTTTGGATATTCGGATTTTTTCATTTATTTTACAAACAATTTTTAATGACAAATGTTTCGATTTTCAGGACTGCGTTGCGATTTCCAACACAGGTTGTTTTGCGACTAGATTCAACGTAACAACGACAGAGAACAACAGAGACATAGATTCGTCAACGAGTAAAGGCTATCAACCCATCTGTCCACCAGACTTCTCTGGAAATAAGCCGCATCCAACCGAATGCGCTTCGTATTACAGTTGCTTTGGTGGTATTGCTTTCTTGATGCATTGTTCGGATGGCTTTGAATACGATCCACAGCTTTCGGTAAGTTTACTTTGGTTTTAAAGATTTTCTTATAATATATATGCGTCAGCCACATCGTCCGCAAAGAATATTTATTTTGTGCAGCATGTTATGTATATTTATAAAGAGTTAACTTAGCTTTATGTTAATGTTACAAACGATGTCGTCCGTGTAGTTCTTGCGAGTTAATCTTAAAAGATAGACAGTTGCGACGTTTTATAAGATCATTTAAAGAAGAATCGGTCTTTTATACAAGGAAATAATTTTTTGATTTCTTGAATTGTTTTTGCAGCGAACACATCGGAAGCTCGTATTGGTCGCAGTTTTATGTTTTATAGCCTTCCTCAATATATGGTCCAACTATCAGAATATTTTCTTTATTTTGACAGTTTTTTTAATTAGTATACATATAGTGAAAAATAAGAGATCAGAGTAAATACTGTTTTGGAGTTTACGCGAGTAGTACACATTCAATAAAACACATTAACGACACCGTGGTCACCGGGAGACTGACGGGACTGACGAGTTAAAAATAATTTTCAAACAAGTTTAACTAAAATATATCGCGTTTTAAACCGTTTAAGTGTTATATTTAAAAGAGATCAGAGTACTTTAAAAAATATCTACACAACACAATGTATCTATTAATTTGCCTCACTTATATTCTTCGTTGCAATTTTTACAAAAAATAATAATTCTGAAACTTCTATTAAGTAATCAAGCTTCAATTTCACCATGTCACTCATACATAGATAAAAATAAATGCCACGTAAACACGCCATAAATGAATCTAAGGACATTTGCAAAGGCTTGAATAAGATTAGACGACGTTTAATATAATTCTTTCCCACCGTTTCTATTCCAGAACTGTGTGAAAATTTCACCCGAAGGCTGTTTTGCTAAACGCGAAGCATCAAGGCATTCAACCGAAAAATCAAACGCAGTTACAAAAGATAACGGTAAATTATTTAATGTAAAACGATCTCGATAGATTTATATTGTATGTGTTTGTTATCACACGCCTTAAAATTCTTTGTCTGGGACATTTAATATTTGACATAAATAGTTAGGATATACTATGAACAGATTTTTTCACACAACAGATGGGGCTCCCTTGATGGTAGGTTTTTTTAAAGCGTATTGAGCCCGGGGCTTCGAATACTAACCGGACGTTCGGGCGAGACCAAGGGTGCCCCGAGGAGTCGCTATGTACCTATTTTGGCTTTGGGTGTTCGGAAATATACAGACTAAAAGCGAAACGCGATTAAACTTCACGGCTTTCATCTGTGGACGGTGGTTCGTGACTCGGACGGAATTTCGATCTTCCTACCACACATTTAATATCCAGATTGCCAGACGAAGTTCAACATGTTTTAGAAAACAATAAATTGATTAGACACAATTTGAACCCGCTGGGGATCGAACCCGTTGATTACTAGCCATACATTACACCAACGAGCTCGTCGAAATATTGCTTAAAATACTGTAAATTTATAAAATTTTGTTGAATTATAATACTTTAAGTGTATAAATAATTTCTTTATTTAAAAGTTATCATATTTTTCCTCATCAGATGAACCAACAGAACCCTCGGATTTGGAGACATCAGGTATTTGTAAGCCAGGTCAATTTGGACATATACCACATCCTTATCTCTGTGACTCTTTCTACCTGTGTGCTGCGGGAAATCCCATGTTATTACATTGTAGTAACGGCTTTGAGTTCGACCCACAAATGGGGGTAAGTTTTTTTTTTAAATATATTTAAAAATTACAGTAATTTTGTCTATGATTGCGTGTGATAGAAAATAAATTAAAACAATATTTTAGAGTAAAGAGGCAGCGCCAAGTGTATCATTTGGCGCTACTCTTGACCGCCTATGTAACATGTGTTTAATCTTTTCCTTCCTTAAGATTTCACATTTTTCTTAATTCTTATATATATCCAATAAAGCAAAGAAATAGAGTTTATGACTTGTTCATAATATTATTCTGTTCCTATTAGTAAATACTGGGATTTTGTATTGAACTTGGCTTTCCTTTTTACATTTATGTTTTTGTTGGGATAGAAGTTACATAACGCGGTATTAACTTAGTCATTTCTATTCTTTCTCTAGTCTATTTTATTTTTAGGGCAAAAAAATAATGTTATATCTGTTAAGCTTAAGATTATCATGTTCTTTCGTATTTCAGCAATGTGTTGAAATAAGCAAGGATGGCTGTACTGCAATGAAATGTAAGTTTTCTATATCTTATTAATTATTACTTAAAACATGTAATAAAATTCACTTATATTTAAGTAAGTATAGTGCTTAGTTTACGCGAGTAGTGCGCGTTTAAATCAAATACTTTTGACAGTTTTAAACCTGTTAATTTATTTTAACGTCCCGATGTTTCGGATGCTCTGTAGCCGTGGTCACATGAAACTGAAGATATTTAAGTGCATAAGTACGAACTTATCATAAAGTTTATTTGTTCTAGCCAAAACGCCAGAGCCGGATTCAGAAGAACCGATTTGTTCGCCAACTCAAGCTGGTAACATTCCACATCCAGTGCGCTGCGACGCGTACTATTTGTGCTTGGCGGGGAATGCTATAGAATTGTTCTGTAGTGAAGGTTTTGAATACGACTCTGTTGCCAGTGTAAGTCTAAACTTAGTTAACATCTGAAAACCCTTAAATTCGACGTTGTGCATTTTTCATATTCTAAAACGGTTATGAAATGATTTTGCACGAATTTCTTAGTAGTATAATTTTCATTCCATTCTTATGACAAACGCTTGACCATTTATTGTCTTCCTTCCCTCTGTCTTACATTTAACAATCGGGTCATTACCCATTACAAGTACTAAGCAAAACGCCGTCAAAAGTTTTCACTTCAGTAAAAGGTATTTAATATATAATTTTCAGTCGCTTTATAATTTCAATCCAAAGTTCTTTAATATATATATAGGGTTTTAGATTTATTTTTACAAAAAGTATGTTGTTTGAATACTGTCTGTAGTATACATTTAAATATAACACTTTAACGGTTTAAAAAGCGATATATTTTAGCAAAACTTGTTTGAAAATTATTTTTAACTACGGCACGAGCCTCCCCTTGAACACGGCTGCTGCAAAGCATCCGAAACGTCGGGCCGTAGCTAAAAATAATTTTCAAACAAGTTTAAATAAAATACATCGTTTTGAACCGTTAAAGTGTTTTTTTTAAGTATCTTGTTTTTTCGAATTCTTGCTAAACAACTCCCTACCTTTATTATACACTTCTTTAAAAATATTATCTTACTTCATTAATTGTATAATAATATGATGTATTGTATGTATTGAGTTTAGATGTGCTTTAAAGATCTAGCTTATTTCAATCTCAAATTTAGTAGCAACGTTTAAAGTTTATTATAATATTTTACAGCAATGCGTCCCCATATCTGGCAACGGGTGTACAGCAAGGAAATAAAGCAAACAAATCGCGCGAACGGGAATACGCTGACGGCCTTTTTGACGTTTCCGAGGCGAAATGTTATGACTGTCAACGATGACGTCGAAATACAATAAAAATTAACAAACCTGGTGCACAAAACTGGAATTAAAGTATTCACAAATTTCCTCTCACTGAATGTTGGTTACATTCAGTAATAATTCTTAAAAAAACGAAACTTTGACGTCATCATTGAAAAAAAAACAGGCAGTATTGAAAAGGCTGTGTAATTTTGCACATTTTTTTAACAAAATATAGTTCCGTATTTATAAAATAAAGAGTTTTATGAAAGACATTTGTTTCTTATTGACACCAGAGGGCGGTAGGGTCAAAGCTTATGAAATTGACTAAACTACCACATTATCATCAGTACTTTGTTTTATGTGAATTTTTCTCAACTTGCAACCGGTTCTTCTGTTCGGCCGGCATTTCTGTAAATACAGTAAGCAAACTAAATGCAAAAATATTATCTAATTACGGTAGCAATATATGGCTAATAAACGCATCCCCACTAGGTCATTTTTTATCGTCTATTTATAATATTTCTGAAACCTATTGGACTTTGGAAGTCTGGATATTCAAAGGGTGGTAGGAATATCGACATTTGCTCAGTAACATTACCGATATCGTCTCCATATATATGATATGGATATGATCATTCTCAAGTATTTTATTGTGTACTAAAATAATAACGCTTTTAACGGCTTATAACGTGAAATATACTCACCTAAAAACCAAACCACACCAAGAAATAACGAGATTTATTATATTTAAATAAAGCCGGTTTAAGTAAAAAAGGTTTAAAACGCGTAATATTTTAGCTGTAGTAGTATAGGTACTAAAAAGCATGTTACATATCATGTCTTAGTTAAAATAAATAAAAAGGCTAGTATATTTTAAAGCATTAATATTTGTCGGTTGAGGACGCTGGTTCAAGTGGTGCTCGAGTCGTTAAAAATATATTTTATTTATTTTAACTAACACCCGACGTTTCACATACTTTTCAGAGGCTATGGCCACAACATAAATATTTGCGTTTAAACCCGTTTTATTTAAATGTGATCAATCTGGTTATTTCTTTGGGAGGTTTGGTCTTAGTCAATAACATACCTTAGTCGGACAGTCGTAGTGGAATAGAGTTCCATAATAGCAATAATAATATAGACTTCCATTATCTGGATCAACTATCAAAAAAAGATCCCGTTTGTGGCATATTGGTTCACACATTGGTTTAGACGTCGGTGTTACATCGGTTGTTGGTGGTACTGGTTTTTCAGTTGTTGGTTTTGTCGGTGCTGGTGATATAGTGGGTAAGGTACGTGGCGTTGTGGGTACCGGGTGAGGAGTTGTTGGGAATGGAGTGGGTTCCTTAGTTATAGTGGGTAAGGTACGTGGCGTTGTGGGTACCGGGTGAGGAGTTGTTGGGAATGGAGTGGGTTCCTTAGTTATAGTGGGTAAGGTACGTGGCGTTGTGGGTACCGGGTGAGGAGTTGTTGGGAATGGAGTGGGTTCCTTAGTTATAGTGGGTAAGGTGCGTGGCGTTGTGGGTACCGGGTGAGGTGTTGTTGGGAATGGAGTGGGGTCCTCAGTTATAGTGGGTAAGGTGCGTGGCGTTGTGGGTACCGGGTGAGGAGTTGTTGGGAATGGAGTGGGTTCCTTAGTTATAGTGGGTAAGGTGCGTGGCGTTGTGGGTACCGGGTGAGGAGTTGTTGGGAATGGAGTGGGTTCCTTAGTTATAGTGGGTAAGGTGCGTGGCGTTGTGGGTACCGGGTGAGGAGTTGTTGGGAATGGAGTGGGTTCCTTAGTTATAGTGGGTAAGGTACGTGGCGTTGTGGGTACCGGGTGAGGAGTTGTTGGGAATGGAGTGGGTTCCTCAGTTATAGTGGGTAGGGTGCGTGGCGTTGTGGGTACCGGGTGAGGAGTTGTTGGGAATGGAGTGGGTTCCTTAGTTATAGTGGGTAAGGTGCGTGGCGTTGTGGGTACCGGGTGAGGAGTTGTTGGGAATGGAGTGGGTTCCTTAGTTATAGTGGGTAAGGTACGTGGAGTTGTGGGTACCGGGTGAGGAGTTGTTGGGAATGGAGTGGGTTCCTTAGTTATAGTGGGTAAGGTGCGTGGCGTTGTGGGTACCGGGTGATGCGTTGTGCGACGTGAATGGTTAAGACATGTAGACGGAATGTAGGGTACACATTTCTGAAAAAAAAATTGTTAAAAATTGAGATATCATAAGATCATAAACTTAAAATGAAAGTATAGCGATATCAATTTAATTATTATTCTAGCTATGATATAATTTATTCAGGCTGACACTTTTCAACAAAGATTCTACAAAGTATCTAAGATAAGAGAAACTTTGATTTATTTTTACCAGCATAATGATCATTATCTAACACTTCTGCCTACATATCACTCATATTTCGTTTTATGAGAATAATTATGCTGTTATTATTCTGTGACTAGTTAGACTAGAAGGTTATTGCGATTCAAAACCAACTTTCTATTTATAATTATGTACGATTACCTAAATAAATCTATTCCAATATCAATAAAACCATCCCTTATTTATTTATTCCACTTTACTAACGGAACAACTGATAATACATTTTTGGAACCAAGGCTTTGCTCTCTTACAACAACGCTATTAATAGTGCTTAACACAATTGGGTTAAGCATACACTATAAATCGATCGTAAATAGAAAAAAATAGATTAATTAATATTTTCCCAGTTTGGAACCATTTAAATTCAATATATACTTACGGATACGGCTGGGTCAAAGTACTGAGGATAGCAAGAAAGAACTGTAGTGGCGCCATGGTAACAATGTATATATTTTGTACAATCGCAAGGATCTGGCAGATACATCTCCATGGCTATTTGCATAGAGCATATTGACTGTTCTCCAAATACTTGGCGTAACGCTATAGCTATGAGAAGGAAGATATAGAAGCCTGTAAAAGATAAGTTTAAAGATGTACATCTATATACATGTATGATCTATGTACATTTAATTAAGATATAATCATATATATACTGTATAATGCATTTGCAATGGGCCATATTTAAATTTCGAATAGATACAATAAATATACCCTATACTAGGTGTGCCAGCGACGTCGTCCGCGTAAAATAGTAATTTTAAACATCAATTTTTTTTTTGCATACTCCCTCTTCACCTTTATTAATTTAAGCTGTTACCCACTACGTCGGTCACAAGCTGTCGTTCTTGCAAGTTAATATTAAATATAGACATTTACTGTTGCGGACACTTATCGAGATATTTTAAATTTATTTGGGTATCTTCCACCCTTTTGCTGCGTATGCAACGGGGTGGGTTTTCCACAAAGATTTTCCCCGCTTTTTCCACATTTCCCGCTGTTTCTTCGCTCCTATTATTTGCAGCGTGATGTATTATAGCAAATGGCTTTGATCGATAAATTCTCTCGATTTTGAGCCATTAGTTCCTGTGATAACCGCGTCCAAACAAACAAGTTCTTCAGCTTTACTTATTAGAATAGAGTATAAATTACTCAGGATAAATGTAGCTATGGTAAGGTAGCAATTGGTGGTAGATGTTTCAATCGGCACAGTAGTTTTTGAGTTTATTCATCACAAAAATCTTTTCACGGATAACGTCGTGCGTCGTAATGCATATACGTTTATTAAATTATAATTTATAGCGTTAAAAGGGTTTTATTTAAATGTGCACTATTTACGTACAGGTATTAGCATTTTACAGGTTTTAAAATAAAACCTATGTAAGTACGTTTAGTCGTTTTATATATTTTTTTATATCAGGACCAACCCTCATACATATTTTTGATTGTTTAAATAAAAACTATCTACAAAATATATATTAAAATAAGAAAGGACTTACCCATGGTGAGGTGTTCCCCGACCCAAGAGAAATTCTAAGACGAATTAGTTATATGTTTTAGTCTCGTTAGTTTTGGATCAAAAAATCGTATCACGCCATTGTTAACTATTGTCAACGGTAGTTAATCAATTATGTTTGTTATTCACTAATTACACATTGCAATTTTGTCGAGCTCGTTGCTCTAACGGTAAAGAAACAATATTTTAGGGCCCAGGGGCCTCATAGTTTGGGACCAACTCAAGCATCGGCTTGGACCATTGTAGAACGGTGGTCTGTGTTGTAAGACAAGCCAACTCTTTTCCTAATAAAATAAAATATCAAAAGAAGGTGTTTTAAAGAAGCAACATTGTTCATTTTTTAAATACCATGGTTGGTTATTATTGGCTATTCATTTTATATCAACCTTGTGTGCAGTCACTTCAATTTCACCCCCTTAAAAATATAACTTTCTTCTTAGTATATAGTAAAGGAGTAGTTGAAGGAAAAAATGGGAAAGTAATTCGATATTCCTATCATCCATTTAATATCCAGAATATTAATTTACCACGACTTGGATTAGCAATTGTAGGTATTAACAAAACATAACAGCAACGAGTCCACCACACCTTAATATTATACTTCGTCATTATTTAGCTGTTTTAAATACAACTTTTAGATTATAATTAAGACGTTTAACCGCCTGCAAGACCTATACATTTTATTAAATAGCTTTAGAAATGTTAAAGTACTTAACATACCAAATTCTCATTGAAAGAAAAAGTTGAATTTGATTTATATTTTATTTTCATAGAAAAATATTACTTTACCTATATTTGTCATATTATCTGTGTCTTATTAACACGAGATAAAGAACTGTCAATGTCAGTATATTAAAAGTCAAAATCTATGTCAACTAAGGCGCCAAGCTATCGAAAGAAAATCCGTAAACAATATAATAAAAGCGTACTTAACCAAATATCGGATTATTTAATAGAACAAACAATTTTTATACAGTTTAGAAGAGTTTATAAAAATGTCTGACGTCGAAGTGGAAATTCCTGCTACGTTTAAAAAGCGCAACTTGAAGAGTAGAGGTGGAAGGAAGAGAAAGACATCAAGTTCAGAAGGTTTGTTATTGTTTTGAATTACTAAATGTAATGTTTTACATAAAACCTTATACAATACTAGCCTTTAAAGTTATAATATATTAGTTGAAACCTATGCAGGTTCATTTTTTTGTATCAATATTCAATATTTAAATGACTATTCTCAGGTTCTCATGCAGTTTTCTTTTACAGAAAAGAACAGTTCCGACTCAGATGAGCAAACAGTAGTGCTACCAACGAAAAGACCGCAAAAATTAAACCCTAATATTCAAAGTACAGGTGGGGAAAAGAAACAAAAAGTTATTATTAATAATAGCGACAGCAGTGATGAGGAAAAGGTATTCACACAATTTCATAACTCATTAGTTACCATTTTTTTATGTACGCACTCTTATGTAGACCGTATTTATATTTGGTGTGATACATTTATAATTCATTTTTAAAACATTTACTTAAAAGTGCTTAAACACTGATGAAGCACACATTGAAGATAATTTGGGAATATCAATGTGCTAATAATTTACATTCCTATAAATTGAAGTGGACTTTTGCTCATTTCGCGATAATAGTCAAGTTCTGAGCTATAAGGACTAACCCTAACCTTTATAGCAACTTACAGTCCTTTTATAGTTTTTTGACATATCACATGTTATTGAACAAAGTGGTATTTTATACATTTAATATCTATGTAGGATAAAAACAAAGTAATGAGATATTTTTGAAGATTTTTATCTATCATGACAAAGGTTATTGGCTAGAGCACAGACACAATTAACATGGGCAGTATTTAAACATGATGGCTGTTCAAATCGTGCTCATGGTTATATATAAAATACTGTCTATAATTTACGCGAGTTGTACACATTTAAATAAAACATTTTAACGGTTTAAAACGCGATATATTAGTTAAACTTATTTGAAAATGCTTTTTAACTGGCAGCCATGGTCATGGCGAGATGTCTCATTTTCAAATAAGTTTAAACTAATATATCGCGTTTTAAACCGTTAAAGTGTTTTATATACATGGTTATATATTTTTTTCAGTGTGATTAGTCTTCCATCTTATTTAAAGCATATTGGCAATGTAAAATAACACATTGTATCACAATAAAACATACATTAAGTATGTACTTTCTAAAAAACAACAATGTCTAATTCTTTATAACATAATTACAGCCACAAACAACATCAACACTATCAGTGGTACAACAAAGAGAGAATGCAACAGCAACATATGAATTGGACACGGAGAGAGACAAGGATGCGCAAGCCATATTTGAGAAGGCGCAGAAAATCAACGAAGAACTAGAAGGGCAGGCTGATGATAAGGTATTTATATACATAGTGATTATTCCATTCTCCACAAAGTTTTTTGTTTAATTATTCAATTTCAGCCAGTGTAGGCTTGTACTAGTACCATATGAATCAATTTGTCATTTAGTGATACCGAACCTGTTGCTTCGGAATAAGTACAATAGCTTTTCAGGACCTACTGTTTTAAAAACACTGTACTTATTCATGTTATGTAATATACAAGTTGTGAAGTAGAATATAGCCTATGTCTAATATCTTAATCAAAGACTTAATCCCAAGTCGTGAAACAATTTTAATTGTCTAAATTATTACCTTCATTTGATTTATTTTCAGTTATACCGTGGTATAAATAATTATGCCCAATATTACAAGAAGCGGGACACAGCTGCTGGAAATGCTAGTTCAGGGTTCGTGAGAAAAGGCCCCATCAGAGCCCCAGCAAATCTCCGAGCTACAGTCAGGTTACATATTATATTATGTTTATGTTAATGTTACCTAGCAAGGTTTCTAACTCCGAGGAAACAATAAATCTTTTCATTCGTGCAGTTGTCAAAAATTCTGTTGTCGCATGCTAATTTGAAGTACTTTTATTTTACTAGTACTTAGTGTTTTATATTTATACAAATATAGTACAGATTTAACATCAGTGCGTTAAGTTACATTTTTTTTGGTTTACAGATGGGACTACCAGCCAGATATTTGTAAAGATTATAAGGAGACAGGTTTCTGCGGTTTTGGAGGTATGATTATATTTATACATAAAATAGAATAATACATATGAATTAAAGACGGACGGCCACTGTAGCTAAATAGTTTAACGTGTTGCCTAGCATTGCGTTAAGCGTGAGTGGTCCTGGGTTCGATTCCCGGGGAAACAGTAAATTGTTTCGGTCGGGTAGGGCACAGAAGTCTGATCAACTTCTTGCCTGTAAATAAAACCGGTCAGTGTAAAAAAAATTCAACACGGGCACTACTTGTCCGCATCGTTCCGTGCTGTTGCTCTAACCGATAGAGCTACCAATCATACCAAATATCGTTTTCAATCTGTCGATACATGCACCTATCTCGTAATAATAATCCCTATCGATTCCAGATTCGTGCAAGTTCCTCCACGACAGGTCGGATTATAAACACGGATGGCAGTTGGAAAGAGAAGAGATACAAGCGAACAAAGATGGCGGCGACTCCGATTACGAAATACACAGTGACGAAGAATTGCCCTTCAAGTGCTTTATATGCAGAGAGAGTTTTAAGGATCCAGTTGTTACCAGGTACAGTTTCAAGTCCCCCCCCCCCCCTTTTAAGCTATACATAAATAACCGGGATGAAGTTAGCGCGGATGGTTGCGCAGAACGCAAATATCAGATATAAGTTGCGACAAAGGGGGTACGGGGGGAGAGGGGCTTGACGTTTTGCTTAAAATTTACAGTACCATGCCCAAGATGGCGGTTGGCTTAGAGAATCTTGTTACTAGGTAAAGTTTAAAATAGTCTAAGCTATTTTTTTATGTCATTAATATATTTTTATGTGAAATCTAATTATTTAATGCTCACACAACAAAATATACACATTAATTAAACATTACACAGAAAAAAACACATTGTGAACAAAAACCAGAAAAAAATTCGTTTATCAAAAACTAATTAATTATTATATTTTCCGACAATTAGGAAACGTACAGGAATTTTCTTTTATCATGTTCGCATTTTTTTTCAGGTGTAAACATTATTTCTGTGAAAAATGTGCTCTAGACCAATACAAGAAGTCACAGCGCTGTTTTATATGCAATGCGCAGACGAGTGGAGTGTTCAACCCAGCTAAAGAAATCGAAGAGAGAATAAAAGCAGCCGCCAGTGATGATGATGATGATGACGATAATGATTGATTAATTCAAATAAAATATTTATGTTATTGTACGTTTGTACTATATACATAAAGTATATATATTTAAACTCCCAACAAGTTGCCTATAATACAAACTTTAATAGAAGCCTTTATTCCCCCGCGAACACGGCTACTGCAAAGCATCCGAAACGTCGGCCATAGTTAAAATAAATTGTAAATTAAATACTGTATATAGTTTACGCGAGTAGTACACATTTAAATAAAACACTTTAACGGTTTAAAACGCAATATATTAGTTAACCTTATTTGAAAATGATTTTTAACTAACTTAACAGCTGTGACCACGGCTGCTGCAAAGCATCCGAAACGTCGGGCCGAAAGTAAAAATCATTTTCAAATAAGTTTAACTAATATATCGCGTTTAAAACCATTAAAGTGTTTTATTTAAATTGTAAATTGCTTAAACTAAAGTTTTTTAAACGTGTACTAGCGTAAATTACAGACAGTACTACTGTAGCCTTTAATTACAAACTAATAGTTCCTAAAATTCCTTTATATCTCAAACAAAAGGCTTTGTGTTACTTTTTTATTTATCAACAAATGAGTTTGCTTACAAAACAGGCCATTTTTATTTTACTTGTTTTACTTCATAGAATTGCCTGAAAATTAATGAATAACATTTTAAAACAATAAAAATATAATATTGCAGTGGGTAAATGTTGTGTTGAAATATAGTGGACCTTTTAATTTTTTTCTCAATAACATTCGCTATTTGTTTGTTTAGGCACGTGTTAAGTTTAACATTTGCAACAATTATATTCTTGACATTTTTAAACTGTTAAACGTATTTTCCTACATCATTCCATTTAAAATGAAAAAAATAATTAGGTATTTTTACCATAGATACTTATGTAGATTACAACATTTCTTGTTACAAAAGTTTTGTCATATATGAATATTGTTTAATAATAGTTTTGTCTGTATATATTACAAAAAAAATAGATCTATGCTTTTATAATTGTTTGATATATAATTGAATTAATCCTTTATGTTTTTGCTTGTTCTAATAAAATAAATTATTAAATTGAATCCTAAAATTTTCAAATCAAAGATTGATGAAGCATACACGAGGGCGATTTTATTAAAAGACTATCAAAGAAGTGTTATTTTTTTTTGGTCTGGAACTGAGTATCTGCATCTTTTAAATGGATAAAATGGAGAAGCTGTTAAATTAAGAAGGAGATGCCAACAGCGAAATGCGCCCACACATACATATGTAAATTTAAATATGCCCGCAATTTCTTTGAGTGAAACTTTTAAAGTGAATTTTGCTGTTACCCACGACGTCGTTCGCGTACCGTCGTTCTTGCAAGGTCATCTTAAAAGGCAAATATATTGTGTCGCGGTCATTTTGTTATCATTAAAACGATGAATCATTCATTATACATATTTTTTGGTTTCTTGAACCGTTTGCGCAGCGCACGCGCTTAAAGTTGAAATATTTCCCAGTGTTTCTTCGCTTCTATTGGTCGCAGTGTGATATTATAGGCTTCCTCGATAAATGGTCTATCAAACACAAACGAACTCTTCAGCTTTATAACTTTTGGTGTAGATGTATATATACAATGTCTTTTATGTGTGCGTAACCGAATAAAACAAAGAATTATCTAGAAATAATTAATTCTATATCTTTTGAAATCACACCAATCGGATTGAAAGGGATTATGTTTATTAAAAGGAAATAACCTTTATCACAGATTTGTTTAAATCCCAAACACGACTTTGATGATAAAAGCAATTGTGTCGCATTTTACTGAGAAAATTGCGTTTTATAAAACTTTGATAAATCTGCCGTGATAATGCATTTGTTCTTTAAATTTTATTAAAGTGGGTATAGAAACATTTGTATATCGTTATCAATGCATTTATTTATAGTTTGCCTTTAAACAATTGATGGTACAAATATAGCACTTAAAATAGACAGAAGTCTAGGATACAGTCAGTTATTTGAAGAATAAACCTGCCTCCTTAGTCTGTTAGATATTAGTTTTTAAATGGTTTGACAATCATATGTGTACCTATGTGTTAAATGATTTTTGACTTTTGTCCTTTATCTTTGCTTCACATATGTACCTTAATTGTTTTTTATAGATAATCTTTATTCTATTTGAGAAAGCAGTCGACGTTATATTATGTTGCATAATTCAATTTAATGTTTGCCAAAGAAAGGTTCCCCTCCGAAAATCCGTCGTTTATAAAATAAATAATAAAATAGTTATTTCATATGTTGAATTTTAAACCGTTAAAAGTGTTTTATGCCATCGGTACTACGCGGCAGACGAGAACAGTTTATTGTTTACCGTCATGCTAAGTGAAAGAAAAATAGTCATTTTTTTAATTATCCCTTTATTTATCACAATCACATTGATATCACATTCCAAAGGTGATAAATTTCTTAGAATATGAAAGAAAAAACTGCTTAACGTTATTCACAAAAGATATAATATATTGATAAGTTTTTATATCTGAATTCAACATTGTTAACCACAAAAAGCATTATATACGTAATAATAATTTACATTATATCTATTTCAGAAAAATGGTTTGTAATTATGTATCACTAAAAACAATTTTAAATTTTCCGGGGTTACTAATGTATGTGTTAATAAGAAAATTAAAGCTTTATTGCTTCAATATAATCCAATGACATGTGATTTTGGAACATGGAATATAATTTCGCGATAAAAGTCATTATTTGCGTGTATGATAAGATTATTGTTAGTTCCACTAAACGTTATCGTAAATTCATCATACATATTTAACAATACAAGAAGCGACAATAAATTCATTAATAAATAATTTATTGCAAATAAACAATTGTAGATAAATCGATTGGTGAATCAATGCAAGTCAAGTAATACATTGAGTTAAGAATGTCTAGGTATATTTTTTATTGTTTACGCGAATCGTACAGATTTATTTGTTTTTTTTTTTAAATACATATTTATCTTTTAAGACTATTTTCTATACATCATAATACGTAGTATATCAATCAAGAAGGATCTTAACTATATTACAAAAATGTCTAGGTTGTTTGTCTTATATACACACTTTTAGAAAAAATACTTTCCTGATATCTACGACTCTAAATCCTAAGGATCAATTATTATTTTTTAAACAGTTAACAGACATAGCTAAGATTGTCCCTTGCCCCAAAATTATCCAACTTAACGTTTAACTTTGAATATTTACGAAACTTTACAAAAAAACTTTTTATATCAATAACTATACTAAACAAAAGAGAGAGAATTTTTCGATTATCTCAAATAAGCCTTTAAATTAATATAAAAACAGTTTTAATACGAGTGATTTTCTTTAGCCCTTTGTTTAATTTTAAATCTAACCGCCGTTAAGTTCGCCCTAGCGACATGACAGCTGCCACAGATTGTAACATTATTCCACTCGGCTAACTGGATCCCGGAAATCTTACACTGTTTTGTATTTTATCTCTTTTATATGGCATTATACATTATTATTCCAAATGCTGTATATTAAACGGTAATCATTGCACCATCAACGAATTAAAAAAAAAAAACAAAAAAATAATGCCCTTACCAACTTGGGGGCAAAATATGTATTCATAGATTTGTTTCGTGTTCATAATTGCAACCGGTTGGAATTGATAAATGGATTTCCACGTTCCGTCACCGTAAAAGTACGCCGTCTGGAAGTTTCAACAAAACTGAGCAAGATTAAACAGACAGGACAGCTGAAGAGTTTGTCTGCTTGAACGCGCTAATATCAGGAACTATTGGTTGAATTGCAAAGTTCTTTTTGTGTTGAATAGTTCATTTATATAACATCAGGCTGCGACCAATAGGAACCTATAAATATTTAAGAAAAACTGATTCCTCGTAAAATGATCTAAAAAAATGTTCTTTACACCTTGTCTATGAACAACGGGACACGACCGACATCGCGCATGAGAGCTTAAATTTATAAAGATGAAGAAAACGTTTGGGATAAACAAATTTGGATGACTAAAATAATTATTCTACGCTGACGAAGTCGCTGACATAGCTAGTATAATTATGTACAACATCTATATTTTCACTCTACTTTATAGTTGAATACTAATTAAATCCAAGATTACACAAAAGAAAAGGTTATTTATTTTATTATATCTTTTTTCCGACTCAATATATCTATTTCTGTGACTTATGATATAAAGCCAAAGCTTCAAAATATTTATCATTATCATCACGTCAAATTCCACAGACAAATTGATATTTCATGATTCATTCAGAATATTTTAAGGGTTCGTAGGAAGCTTAATTTTTATCGTATCTCTGTTCTTGAACCCTTACAAGCAAAACTACTTAATTATTTATTATAATCACCTAATTATTTCTTACATCCGTTTTAAATCAAACGGAAGCGATAATTTTATTTTTGTTCTGTTTTCTTTGTTTATCAAAACATTAAATTAAATATATTAGTGTAGGATTAAGGATTTAAAATTAAACTTGATTCACTCACATTATTAGCGCAAACATAAGGAACATAGAATATGATAAATAAAAGATAATTGTATTTATCAAAATATATTTTTTAACATTCGCAATGATTAAGGAATAATATTTAATGACTTGGCTCTGATTTCGCTTTAAAAGATTACGACATATATAGGTATATTGGCTACAAGATAATTTTTTGCTTTTCCACAGCGCAGTAGTAAAGACGATTAGGCCAGTGCCTAATCGTTGCGAATCTTCATTGCTGATCGTGCGAAGAACCGGGTTCGATTACGCGCAATCTCCTAGAGAAGTTAGATAAAAAATAAGAAACAGACGCAGAACTGTATCCAAGGGATCCGCGGGACACAGAATTAATTTTTAACTAATACGTGCAAACTGTCTGTTTAAATACTGTCTGTAGTTTACGCTAGTAGTACGCATTTAAATAAAACACTTTAACGGTTTAAAACGCGATATATTTTAGTTAATTTTTTTTTGAGAATTAATTTTAACTACGACCCGACGTTTCGGCTTCTTAACTAAAATATATCGCGTTTTAAACCATTAACGTGTTTTATTTAAAATAAATAACTACTCCAACCTTTATGTTTTATAATCCTGTATATATTTTGTTTGATTTTAGAACGTTGCCTGTTTGTATCGTTATGATTTAATGTAATATCAAAGTTAAACATAAGTGGACATTAATTCTCATGTTAAAAGATAAAGGTATCTTACAACTATGCTCAATTAAATGGTATTAACCATAGGTTCTCAAATTGTTTTGTTGTAGATGGAAAGAGTTTTTGGGAAACTTCAAGATTGTCACATGTTATTGCACATGACGGCAATATGTGCATTTAAATATTGGTTAGATTAGCAGCATGGAAATATGCCGGTTCAATAATATTTCAATTCGAACTAGTAGTTCCTGAGATTAGCGCTTACAAACAAAAAAAGGCTTTACGTTAGCTGGCTCCGCTCTCCGCAAACGTAAAGTTTTATCTCAAACAACATGAATAATTTCTTGAAATTATAAGATTGAAAATTATTTAGGTAAATTATAAATATCAAATATATATTTTACAATTAGATCTTTTGGAGAGCATGGTCGAAGTTAATCTGATTATTGACATAAAGATGCTTTATTAAATTAAATAAGCCAATATTGATATTGACTTATTTAATTAAAATATAAGTCAAGTTAAGTTGTATATCTTATGTTTGTTAGAATAAATTTTAATTGTAAATGTTGTGTTTCAGAATATTCGCATTTTTATTTCTTTTTCTCATTATACACTTTGAGATACACTGCCCGTTTATTGACTCATCAATCCCTAAGCATATTTAAGGTCTTTTCATAGACAAAATGAGTAGAACAACCGACTATAGTTTGACATTATGTTTGGTAAGCTTTGTATGATGAATTCTAAATTTAAATTGAATTTTTTACATGTAAAACATGGCGGGTTCGAAGCCGGACACTTCAGTTTTTTTTTTAACATTAGTAATAAGCAGTGCTTATTAAAATGTTTTTAAAGTGTCCCGGTATTTCAAAGCCAGTACTTTTGCCATCTGCCAACCATTCAATCTTGAAGGACGGTTGAAATAAGGCAAAAAAATATTTGTAAAATACATTTAGATAATATCAAAGAATTAAAGATGGTACCAATAATACAATTCTGCAAGCGAACCAGAAGCTTTGAAGACACAGAGAGACCCAAGGTCCTCTGTAGGGAAGAAATGGGGGAAATAGTTAGCTGATCGCGCGATCAACGGGCCATCTATTTGTGTTCCTATTAGAAAATATTAATAATAAAATAACTTTCATGTTACAGTCAAACTATTCGCCCTGTCAATGCTAAGTGTTGCCAGTGCACAATTCGAGTGTCCTAGAAGCCAGAGACATCATTTAGTGTGCCATGAGACAGACTGCGCTAAGTTTTATTATTGCGAGTATGGTGTGAGACGAAACGACGCACGACAATGCCCTGCAAGGACTCTGTTCTCTTTTGAGAAGCAGGTAAGTCATAAAACACTGTCTGTTGTTTACGCGAGAAGTTGGTATTTGACGAAACTGGTCGGCCAGTTTCGTCAAATACCAACTTCGACGGAACAGATGGCGCTAGCGTAGCAGTTTTTCTTTGACGTCAGAGACACCCTCTATCTTTAGTTTCCCTGTGATAATATCTGCTGCAAAGCAACCGAAATTTCGGGCCGTAGTTCAAATAATTACAAAATGCAATAAAACTCAAATAAGTTTAACTAATACATATCGCGTTTTAAACTGCTAAAGTATTTTATTTAGAGGTAAGTCATACTCAGTTTTTTGGTTCAACAATAGCAATTAAATTTGTTTGCATTTGATTCCCCACATCCAGCGTGTTTTTTTTTTATAGAGGAGTCTGACTTGATTATTGAAATACCCCAGCAACATAACATTAAACAACATGCACCGTCGACCAATTTTGGCTTTGGATATTCGGAAATCTACAGACTAAACTGAAACGATATTATATTTTTACAGGTATGTGATCATCCACGCAATGTTATTTGTCGGACAAACAACAACGGAGGATGCAGTGATGGCGGAAACAATTGTGACTGTTCTAATAGACCGATTCTTCCAAATGGTTGTCCATGCAACCACAGCATCCGTCAGTTGCTGCCGCATGAAACAGACTGTACCAAGTTCTATCAGTGTGACAAGGGAAAGAAAATACTAAGAGAATGTGCTCCGGGAACACATTTTAATGCAAAATTACAGGTATTAAACGACATAACGAATATTACTACAAAATAAATTCATTCGTATGTACCTGATATTTTATAAATTCATTTTATACATAGGTTTGTGACCACCCCTCCAGTGCTGGTTGTGATCCAAATTGTGGTGGTGAGGGAGGGGAAACGGGTGGTGGAAGTGACGGCGACGGAGAGACCGGCGGGGGTGACAATTGTGACTGCCCTAATGGACCGATTCTTCCAAATGGTTGTCCGTGCAACCACAGCATCCATCAGCTGCTGCCGCATGAAACAGACTGCACTAAATTCTATCAGTGTGACAAGGGAAAGAAAATACTAAGAGAATGTGCTCCGGGAACACATTTTAATGCAAAATTACAGGTATTAAATGACATAAGGAATAGTTATAATTACAAAATAAATTCATTCGTATGTACCTGATATTTTATAAGTTCATTTTATACATAGGTTTGTGACCACCCCTCGAGTGCTGGTTGTGACCCAAATTGTGGTGGTGATGGAGGGGAAACGGGTGGTGGAAGTGACGGCGACGGAGAGACCGGCGGGGGTGACAATTGTGACTGCCCTAATGGACCGATTCTTCCAAATGGTTGTCCGTGCAACCACAGCATCCATCAGCTGCTGCCGCATGAAACAGACTGCACTAAATTCTATCAGTGTGACAAGGGAAAGAAAGTACTAAGAGAATGTGCTCCGGGAACACATTTTAATGCAAAATTACAGGTATTAAATGACATAAGGAATAGTTATTATTACAAAATAAATTCATTCGTATGTACCTGATATTTTATAAGTTCATTTTATACATAGGTTTGTGACCACCCCTCGAGTGCTGGTTGTGACCCTAATTGTGATGGTGAGGGAGGGGAAACGGGTGGTGGAAGTGACGGCGACGGAGAGACCGGCGGGGGTGACAATTGTGACTGCCCTAATGGACAGATTCTTCCAAATGGTTGTCCGTGCAACCACAGCATCCATCAGCTGCTGCCGCATGAAACAGACTGCACTAAATTCTATCAATGTGACAAGGGAAAGAAAGTACTAAGAGAATGTGCTCCGGGAACACATTTTAATGCAAAATTACAGGTATTAAACGACATAAGGAATAGTTATTACTATAAAATAAATTCATTCGTATGTACCTGATATTTTTTAAGTTCATTTTATACATAGGTTTGTGACCACCCCTCGAGTGCTGGCTGTGACCCAAATTGTGGTGGTGACGGAGGGGAAACGGGTGGTGGAAGTGACGGCGACGGAGAGACCGGCGGGGGTGACAATTGTGACTGCCCTAATGGACCGATTCTTCCAAATGGTTGTCCGTGCAACCACAGCATCCAACTGCTGCTGCCGCATGAAACAGACTGCACTAAATTCTATCAATGTGACAAGGGAAAGAAAGTACTAAGAGAATGTGCTCCGGGAACACATTTTAATGCAAAATTACAGGTATTAAACGACATAAGGAATAGTTATTACTATAAAATAAATTCATTCGTATGTACCTGATATTTTTTAAGTTCATTTTATACATAGGTTTGTGACCACCCCTCCAGTGCTGGTTGTGACCCAAATTGTGGTGGTGACGGAGGGGAAACGGGTGGTGGAAGTGACGGCGACGGAGAAACCGGCGGGGGTGACAATTGTGACTGCCCTATTGGACCGATTCTTCCAAATGGTTGTCCGTGCAACCACAGCATCCATCAGCTGTTGCCGCATGAAACAGACTGCACTAAATTCTATCAGTGTGACAAGGGAAAGAAAGTACTAAGAGAATGTGCTCCGGGGACACATTTTAATGCAAAATTACAGGTATTAAACGACATAAGGAATAGTTAATATTACAAAATAAATTCATTCGTATGTACCTGATATTTTATAAGTTCATTTTATACCTAGGTTTGTGACCACCCCTCCAGTGCTGGTTGTGACCCAAATTGTGGTGGTGATGGAGGGGAAACGGGTGGTGGAAGTGACGGCGACGGAGAGACCGGCGGAGGTGACAATTGTGACTGCCCTAATGGACCGATTCTTCCAAATGGTTGTCCATGCAACCACAGCATCCATCAGTTGCTGCCACATGAAACAGACTGCACCAAGTTCTATCAATGTGACAAGGGGCAGAAAGTACTAAAAGAATGCGCTCCGGGAAAACACTTCAACGCTAAATTACAGGTATTTCGTATTAATACATGATATATTGTATACGCTTCAAAAACACAGGTTAGCACTGCCTTCATCCGCGTAGAAAAGTTATCAGAATTTGTTTTACAAACCCCCCTCCTCATTATTATAAAGTATAGCTCTTGCATGTTAATTTTAGAAGATGGACATACTATAAGTCGCGGACGTTTTTAACATCATTTAAAGAGGAATAATTTTTTCATACATAGATTTTGGGTGTCTTGAAATGTTTTCGTAGCGTTTTCCGCTGTGTCGTCGCTGCTATTATTCGCATCGCAATGTTTTAGCCAAACAAAGAAACTCTTCAGCTTTATAATATTAGTACACATTAATACTTTGATAAGATTTTAATAATTTGTCCTTCCAGATATGTGACTGTCCATCGAACGCTGGATGCGAGAATAAATGTAAGAACTGCCACGTTCCACATTGGCGTGATGAAATAGAATGCAACAAGTTTTGGAGGTGCGTCGGAGAAAAACAAGTCTTATATACTTGTCCTGAAGGCTTATATTACAATGAAGCAAGACAGACTTGCGATTTTAAGTGCAATGTTAATTGTCTTTGCAAAAATAAAACACCTTATGGTTTGAATGTTTTCTTTCCGTGGTTAGAAGACCATAGTATGGAAGAAAAAGAGAATTTGGAAGTTTTTAACGGGAACAACATAGCATAAGATAATTTTCGCAAAATTACTTCATACATAAAGACGATAAGGCTTGTTAAAGGGACTTGCAATTGTTAGTCATTGAGATATTATAAACATACCAGTTAAATAAAACACTTTAACGGTTTAAAACGCGATATATTAGTTACGGTGTAATGTATATGTAATGGTGGTGGTAAGTGGTCACGGCTGCTGCAAAGCATCCGAAACGTCGGGGCGAAGTTAAACATCATTTTAACATTTAACAAATAGGTTTAACTAATATATCGCGTTTTAAACCGTTAAAGTGTACTACTCGCGTAAACTATAGACAGTATTTAAATATATCAGTGTTTGTAACTTTTAATCTTTATAATGGCAATGTTAAAAAAGTATAAAAAAAATAAAGAAGCATTTTTATCAAGTGTTGTTTTAAATATTTGATAACGAATCAAGTACGATAAGATTGTCCTCTACTGCTACCGAAAAATTTATATTTAACATACAATAGTAAGTATAAAAAGCAATTGGGTTTTGAAGTTATTACAAAGGTTTTGTGGTTTGATATCAGCCAGAAGATATGATATTTTTTTTACCAATCATTATAATATATTATTTCATATTTCAAACATTGTTAATTTTATAAAAAGCTCTTTTGACAAAGAATCACAATCAGCACTTAAATTAATTCATAATTAAATTTAACTAAATGTACCGTTTTAGTCTAATTTTAATTGTATTTAGGTGGTATTGTCAGGCTCGTTGGTATAATGGAAGCAAGGCGTGGGTTCGAACCCCACCGTGATATGTTTCTAATTAATTTATAACTTTTCTGGTAAATGAAAAAATGATTATTGAAATAAACGGTTAGAATTGTAACATGTATATTAAAAAAAAACAATTTATTATCGATTTTTGATTTATATAGTGCCATCATGCGCAATAACATGTTAAAAATAATAAAGTTTGCAAATGGTAAACTTTGTAATTTCGTCTTCAATTATTTTCTTAAGCTAAGCATAAGAAATTGAACCTTAATTAGCAAAAGTTAAGGTTGAAATTACATTGCGCGAGAAGTACATGTGTCTATGTTAAAAATACGACTATGACGTGTAGGACTCCGTAGCTCTACTGTTTCGAGCATCAACACGCAACGCTGTGGATGCCGGAACAAGTACAGTACAAGTCCTGCCCGAGTCAGATTTTTTTTCAACTTATAATTTTTTTTTTCAACCGAACCTTGTAAACTGCTAATTAGAAAACAGGAAGTGATAACGAGACGTAACTTTTCAAATATCGAACGATAATATTTTTAGATAATAATGAGGAAATCACATACACAAAGTACTCTGATAACGCATACTTAATAATAATTCAAAGAAATGATCACGCTGTTATTGTGGGTTCGAGTCCCGTCATCGATTATTTTGATGTAAAATGCTTTTCAATGTTTTTACCTGCATTGCCATATGAACTTGTAATTATTAAGGTACTTTCTACAAACTCTTTATTTCTGAAAAACGTTGCAATTTACAATTATAATTATAATTCAATTTATAATTTTTCAGAAACTTGCTGGACTTCTGGAAACCTGGATAGTAAGTGGGTGGCAGGAAGATAGAAATTCCGTCCGGGTGGCGAACCACCGTCCACAGATGAAAAAGCCGTGAAGCTTAATCGCGTTTCGGTTTGCGATTATCCAAGGCCAACAATAGGTCGATAGCGCATCTTGTATAGATGCTATAGGCTGAGGTACATCACCTACCATCAAGCGAACCCCATGCCGTGGCTGTTCTCCTCAAAATAAAAAGAAAATAGATTTTCGTGGGTATCATTTTGCTCGATATTATAAAGGTAAAAAGGTTTTTTGTTTATACTTGATCCAGATCGAAAAATTATGTGTCGGTTAGAACATTATCGAAGAAGGCTAAAGATAAAACATTATTCATCCTTGTGGGGTTTCGTTGCGTACGATGCGACAAGGGTTTAAGATACTGAAAAGTAAGTAGATAATAATGATTCCTCTAATAAACTCCTCAGCTTCATAATATAAGTACATGGTTAAACGTATTGCCTAGTATTGCATTGAGCACGAGAGGTCCTGGGTTCGAATCCCAGGGAAACAAATGTTTCGATCGGGCAGGGCACAGAAGTCTGATCTAGTCAGTGAAATATTTTTTTTTTCTAAAATAAAATGTTATCCACACAGACATAAAGCACAATCAATGCAAAATCTTGATCAAGATATCAAAAAATGCACCCTGAATTACGTTGATAAACGAAGCTTGGAAAAAATAATATGTATTTTTGCAACGAGCAATAAAGATAAATTTACATCGATCGTATATGGAATTTAATCAAGACGATAAATAAATCACAGTAAATTAATATACATATTTCAATTCTGTAGCCAAATAGTTGAACGGTTGCCCAGTATTGTGTTAAGCGACAGAGATCATGGGTTCGAATCCTGGGGAGGCGACTAATTGTTTGCTGGATGCTAAACTAGCCTGTAAAAGAACCGATAAGTGATACGGACACAAAACTGTGTTCGCTACATGGCCCACGTGCTTTAATTATTAAATTTACAATATACCATATAAACATACTAGCTGTGCCCGAGACTTCGTCCGCGTGAAATAGTGACTTGGGGTAGAATTTTTAATTATTCAGGCCGTTTATTAATTTATGTAAGGGCGCATTTATGTCAGCCAATCTATGTTGTAAAGGCATCTTTGCCACAACACTCTCATCTCACATCACTCCTACTCTAACTCCCACTCTCATTCCTACACTCACTCTCACTCCCACTCCCACTCCTACTCCTATTCCCAAAAAGCCTAAGAAGAAAGTTCCATTGTTCTAGCTTCAAAAATCACGAATTTCCATACAAACTTTTATCCCCTTTTTCAACCCCTATCAACCCTTTTTTGGCATTAAAATGTCTCATTATTAAGCCTATGTCCTTTCTCAGGCTCTAAAATATCTGTATACCAAATTTCATTTAAATCAGTTCAGCAGTTTCGGAGTTAAAGCCGGACAGACAGACGGAGTTACTTTCGCATTTATAATATTAGTATAGATTTATTTAAATAAAAATTTATAAATGGTATGGATAACACGGTTTGATTGTGTTCGGCATTTCTATCAATTTGTGAAATGTAAAACAAAAGTTATAGTGACGTAACTACAACAGTTAGACATATTATGGTCTCGCAATGTTTTTTGTAGATATTGATATATTCTATAATATCATTATACTTCTATTATTAATTCTCTTCGCAGCGTTTGCGATGAAAGACATTTTATGGCTAATTTTTTTACACCTACCGTTGCTTTTAATAGAAATTTCTAAAGATTTAGAAGAAAGATAGTACTAAGTATAGCATATGTTACTCAGTGATAATGTAGCTTTCTAATGAAAAAGAATTATTAAAATCGGTCCAGTCCTTTTTGAGTTTATCCGTTTCATACAAAAATACAAATCTTTCCTCTTTATTATATTAGTGTAGATAGGTGTTACCCACAACATTCGTATCTCGTTGTACGCGTCCCGGCGTTCGGGTCGTACTTGCAAATTGATCTTAAAAGATAGACATATAGCGTCGCGGACTTTTTTTTAGACCATTTAAAGAGGAATCATTCTTTCATACAAAATTTTTAGGTATCTTGAACCGTTTTCGTAGCGTACGCATCTGAAACCTACAGAGATGAAAAATTTCCCCCGTTTTGTTCACATTTCTTGCTGTATCTTTGCTCCTATTAGTCACGTCGCAATGTGTTGTAGCCTTCCTCGATAGATGCTCTAACCAACAAAAAAAAAAAATTCAATTCAAACCCGTAGTTCCTGAGATTAGCGCGTTCAAACAAACAAACTCTTTAGCTTTATATATTAGTATAGATTGTAATAATGTTAGACAATGCAATGACCAAAGAAGATGTCATTTGGAACAATAATATGTTATATTAATACCAATATTAAAAACTCTCTGCACCTACTTAACGCGAGTAGTACACATTTACATAAACACTTTAACTGTTTAAAACGCGATATATATTTGTTGAACTTATTTGAAAATTATTTTAACTACAGTCCGATGTTTTGAAAGCTTTACAGCGGCCGGAGACCGTCTCCCCGTGACCACGTCATAAGTGTAACTAATATATATCGCGACTTAAACCGTTATAGTGTTTTATTTTAATACCAATATTATAATTAAGTTGGTAATTAAACATTTACTAAAAAAACGACGGCTTAGCATTTAACAAAAGGTTAGGTCTGTACAATTAATTTAGTGTATTAAATTAACAAGTGTGTATTTAACAATTATCACTTAATTAATATTAAAATTTAATAGCATTTTCATAGTATTTTAACATATTTCCAGTACTAGTAAAACATAACAACATTTTTGTCGATTTCTTTGGTGTCTTGATCATTAAATAGTAATAATCACATTTTTTTTAAATTGGACCACCTTGGAATTCTATGGGTTAATAGACGACAAAGTTATGCGCGAATAAATACAATACAGGAAAATTTGTTATCGAGTAATGTCTATGTTTCAAAGACAAAAGATTATACTTAATACCCTATGATTAATAAATGTGTATTTCTTTATCCTATCCTGTCATAGTCATTCAGTACGATAAGGTCATTTTATCGTTATGGGGTTTAACGATTATACTTTCGTTGTCTGTCTACCTTCGCGGTAATCCACAGATCGTAATCCAAACTTCACAGCTTCTAGATCTAGATGAAGACTAAGTCCAATGTATTGGCGAATCCATTTAGGTTTTAACTTCTCTATTTGGGCGATTTTGAAGAAAAATACAAAGTAATGTTGGAACGCATCCAAAATAAATTTGTTAGGCATTTGTACCATAGAAGGTATGGAGTATATCAATTTTATCCTTTAATGTATCCGACTCTTCTTATATTAGGCTTGGTCGGGTACAATGAATTGCAAGTACGGAGGGACTTATTTCTTGTTATATATCTGGTTAAGGTTGTGCGGGGTCGACATGGCTTGGGGTCGAAAAATGCTTGGGGTGTGGAGGAACCCGCTCTTACAAGGAAAAATATGTAGAGTACTAAAATTAAATCAAGAATGTAAAATGAAACTTGGCGATAAAAGGAGCGACGGCGAGTTTATTGGCTGTTCTTCTCGTTCGTTCTACGCCCTTGATTTGAGAACTGGTAGTAAATGTAAAGTTAGATTCTATAATTATTTTGTGACGTTCATAAGTGTATATATAGTTACCTACATGAATAAATGATTTTTGACTTTGACTTTGACAGTTGAACCCAGGAGTTCTATAGTTCTTATACTTGTCTGTTTCGGACCGATACGTGTGAAGGCGATTACGACTTTCGTTACTCGCGCTACCGTACTCACGCATCAACTTGCTGATGAATCCCCTCTTGTATGTGCTATGCGGTTTATCAACAGGCTGCCGGAGGGGATCGACATTTTTACGTGCAGCTTGGGTGAATTGACAAAAATATCACTCTATGAAATATGTAATGACATATACTATCGCAATGGATATTTATTGTTTTATAATGGTAGATTATCTTTATCATTAAATGAATCTATACTTAATATATAAAGCTAAAGAGTTTGTTTGTGTGTTTGAACGCGCTTATCTCAGAAACTACTTGTTGGAATTGTAAAAACTATTTTTTGTTGGTTACAGCGTTTATCGAGGGAGGCTATAGGCTATAGGCTCCTATTAGTCGCATCGTGATGTGACTAATAGGAGCGAAGGAACAACGGGTATCTGATGTTAAAACGGGTAAAATTAATCATCATTATGGCATCATTTAATGAAGGTTCTATAATCTAATCACAGGACATCGACCTATTTTGGCTTTGGATATTGGGAAATCCACTGAAAGTACTTGAAACGCGATTAAACTTCGCGGCTTTCATCTGTAGATGGTTGTTCGTGACTGAGACGTAATTTGTATTTTTCTACCACTCATTTAATATCCAGTTTATCAGACTAAATCCAACGCATGTTAGACAAATTATAAATTGTTTAAAAACGTATTCGACCCGGTGTGAATCTAAACCACGACCCGTTGATTATTAGCAATATATTGCTACCATCATCGAGGATGTGAAGGGGTTTTCCGTGCATTTGAAACGAGTGCTTTTTTCATTTGAGTCAAAAAGTAGCAAAACGTACCCTTTCCGACTTTCCAATTATTTATACTATTTATACCAAACTGATAGTACAGACCAATAAATTGTTTTACACGTATTATTATCGTATCTATATATTATCAGAGTTTAAGATATTTTAGCTTAATTAGCAGCTTATCGATGCTTATCTGCTGGTAATTCTAATATAAACTTGTGATTTAAAACCTCAGCATTACAGTTGACTGTTTGAAATTTTCGTGGATCACTTACTGGAGGATTAAAATTATTTGCGTCTACGAGGCGCTATGTTATGTGAGTACATAGTCTCGCCTCTTTGATCATTTTTTTATTAGTGGCTCTGGTTTGTTGTATGGTTGGACATTTGTGTCAGTTGTAGTGGTTTTATTAGAGGAACGTTATTGTTAAACTAAGTTATTTTTTTTCTAGAATTAGGTTTTATTCCGTAAAATCCTGTTTATATAAAAAAAAAACTTTTATCTTCTTTAAAGTTAGTCAAATCTTTTTTTATGATAAAGTACTAGCGTGGGATTTATTTGAGGGAATGTGAAATAGCCCAGCCGTATGACATCTCATCTTTTTTGGCTTTGGATATTTGGAAATCCACAGATTTAAACCTAGACTCGATTATATTTTACAGTTTTTCATCTGTGGACATCCCGTTTCCCCTCGTGGGGCATAGGGCGAACACATTTTTGTGTCCGTCCACCGATCGGTTTTATTTAGAGGCAAGAAGGTGATCAGACTTCTGTGCCCTGCCCGACCGAAACAATATTTCCCCTGGATTCGAACCCAGGACCTCTCGCGTTTAACGCAATGCTAGATAGTCTACGTGACTCAAAAGGAATGTTGATATTCCTACCATTATTAAGTAAATGGTAGGAATATTTAGCAAATTTCTAGACAAGTCCAACATATTCTAGAACAATTATAATTGATAGATATGTTGGACCCGGTAGGGAATCTATTTTAAAATTGGGTAATAATATTATACATATGATTGAAAAAAAAACGGAATTTATAGAATTATTTGAGCAAGGTATATAATAGAAGACTATACCACACATCTATATAACTTAATATAATTATTATACAGTGAAACTACTTCTACTCGGCGTCGTAGGCTTGGCCTACGGACGGCCGCAGTTCGACTGTCCCAACGATGGACAACAGTACTTCCTTCCACATGAGACAGACTGTTCGCTATATTACATATGCAAGAATGGACAGAAGCAAGTGGCGTCCCAATGCCCCGTGAACACGTTATTCTCGTCTGTGAAACAGGTGAGTTCTTTGGATCCTTACTTCCTCATAGTTCATCAACTCTTCCCAAGGACTTGGGGTCATATAACATACTATAATCTTAAACTTATCGATACTAACATATAAAGCTAAAGAGTGTGTTTGTATGTTTGAACGCGGTAATCTCAGGAACTACAAGTGTGAAATAAAAAAATATTTTTGTGTTACTTTGAAAATTTATCGAGGGAGGATATATAATAAAACATTGCGCTGTGTCTGAGAACGAGGAAACAGCGGGGTAATTAAAAAAAAAAAACGGGGAAAACCATTTATTTATTTCATTATAAGGTTTTCGTTGCGTATTTTGCGATAAAAATATGTATGAAATAATAATTCCTTTTTAAATCATTTAAAAAAAGTCCGCGATATGTCTATAGTTTAAGATTAACTTGCAAGAACGACGGGACATGGATAAAGTCGTGGGTGAAAGCTTACATTTAAAGAGTTGAACATGAGGTTTGCAAAATCAAACTTGATGCCCAAAATAACGGTTCTACGCGGACGAAGTCGCTGACTCAGCTAGTTCGATATTATTTAAAATATCAAATGGTTGTTCGTCAAACAAAAAAGCAAAAACAAGGGTTTTGCTGTAAATCAGTGTTTACAACTGTGCTGCAACTTATACTGACCCTTTTAATATCTTTGATTCATATTAAATTTCATCTTTTCGTTTTAATTATTTTATTGTAATTATTTTTTAACATTGTCCTAAATCAACGCCAAATAAAACAAAGCATCCGAAACGTCGGGCCAAAGTTAAAATAGTTTTAAATAAGTTTAATTAATAACGCGCAAAAATTAAATTTCAGATTTATAATCAATAAGTCAAACTAGTTTTGCTCGCAACTTCGACCACGTGGAATAGATATTTTGGGATTCACATTATTTTCTTTTATTATTTCAGCTTATTAATTTATGTTACCCACTACGTCCCGTCGTTCTTGCGAGTTACCCTTAAAACACAGCATAAACTAGGCAGTATATTTTAGGCGGATATCTTTATAGATCATTTAAAGAAGAATATTTTTAAAACGTGTTTTCGGAGCGCACGCAACCTAAGCCCTCAAACATGAATAATTTTCCCCCTGTTCTCAACACTTCTCCCTGCTTTTTCGCTCCTATTATTCGCTGTGGGTGTGGGTGTGTTCATAGCAAATCCTTTCTAGATAAATATTCTAACCAACACAAAAATAATTTCCCAAGTCGTTCTTGAGATTGCTGCGTTAAAACAAACTCTTCAGCTTATTAGTATAGCTATATAATTGAAAGAAAAATTAATCAATATCACGAGAACGTTTAAAAAGTAAAAAAGGCAAGTTTAAGTTAGGGTAAGTTTTTTTTAGTTAAGACCCAAAATGAGCTTTGCTCTATGAAACTAAAGACCGCCATTTTTGACGATCGTCTAATCGACGTCTCCCCGTGACCACGGCTGCTGCAAAGCATCCGAAACGTCGGGCCCGAAGTTAAAAATCATTTTCAAATAAGTTTAACTAATATATCGCGTTCAAAACCGTTAAAGTGTTTTTACATGTTTTAACTACGATTGATCGTTTATAGGGCTGCGATTTGCCAGAACAAGTTCAATGCGGCGCAACAGATGACAAACTTATAAAAAAGAATAGCATTCAGATCGGATGTCCAAAGGACTTCTTCGGGGTTCTTCGTCTGCCACATGAGAGTGACTGTAGAAAGTTCTACAACTGCCAATTTGGTTTAAAGTTTGTGCAAGAATGTGGGGAGGGAGAACACTTCAATCCGATAAGGCGGGTAAGGACATTATTTCGTGACAGAGGAGAGTTGTGAGGTTTACTGTCACATTCTGTCATGAAAAAGCAAAAACCGTTAAAAAAAAGTTCGAAAAGTAGACAATACTTCTATGTCCCACCACCAATTTAATGCCATGTTTCCTTTTATATCTTACTGTGTGCGGTTAAAGCAATGAATTCAATATATTTTTTAATCTCTATTGTCAAACATGTAAATCATAAAATTCTTTGTAATATAACAAAGCTTTATAGCTTGTCTTACTTCTTTAAATCGCCTTCGGAGCTCGATACTCGTATTGTTATGCACGAGGTCCTGAGTTCGGATCTCGGGAAATCGATAAATTGTTTCGCCATATAAGTCACATAGTATTTGGTTATAGGTAAAATTCGATCAGTATAACGGACATAAATAGCATTTTACCTTTTACATATTTCACTTTATATTATTTAACTATAAATAGATTTTCATTTGATTATAAAATAATCATATTTTATTGTAAATATTTTGTGTTGTCTAGAACTTAGTTAATCGCGAGAGGGCTCGGGTTCGAAACCCGGGCAATAGATTATTTTCGTCACAATACACACACACACAGCACAGTCTTATCAAATACTTGCCTGTAAATCGAACCGACCACTTTCATCCCTTCATTATAATGTAGATAATTTATTTACGATTTTTTTAATCATCTACACAAGATGCGTGGTCGACCCATTTGAGCTTTGGATATTCGGAAAACGTTATTTTCAGTATTTCTTTCTGATTCCAGAGATGCGATGATATCTCCGCAGCCAATTGTAAAGTTGACACTGATTTGAATCAAGGCAGTCAGAATTCAAAGAATGACACGAACACCGACTCCGAATACTTCCCCAACGGATGCCCCAAGGACTACAGGAGGGAGAGGCTGTTCCCCCATCCGAGATGTGACAAATTCTACCAATGCGTCCACGGCTCCTACCAAGAAATGCCATGTGGACCTGGAACACATTTCAGCGTCAAGTTACAGGTGATTGAATCTATATTTTCAGTCAAAGACAGCAAAGATGACGTCATCACGTTTCTCTTGGTCTAACCATGAAGGGCGATACAATTCGCACTTGCTTGTGTTTGAGTAGTGTATTCTTTCTAAGTTAGGATTTTAATAAATACGACCGATTTACAACCAAAGAGACATAGTGTTGACCTTTTGTGTAGTGTAGTTGACGCCACAAGGCTAAAGACTCATCGATTATATGTAGACCAAACCCTTTGCTCATTAATATTTTATTCTACTTTTCGAAAGCTTAGCTATTATGTGCGATTCCTTCCTTCTATTGTCGTTGACTTTGTCTACATCCCACTTACATTAGGTAAATATAGGTAGTTTCATTAGAAAAATATAATCCAGTGTCTCAAAGTGTTTTTAGAATCAATGTAAATCTTGTGAGAATATGAACGAACAAAACAAATCCAGTTAGAAAAAATACAGTAAATATTTGTTTCGTGTGTAACACGCATGTTCGTAACGGCGAGTCTTTCGTGGGTAGTTTTTTTAATGATAGAGGGGGAGAGAGAAGCTCGAGGTTCACTTCATGTCAAGTAAAATACATTTAAACAAGGCCCGCTGTCAACCTATTTTGCCTTTGGTTATTCGGAAACTCCACAGGCTGAAACTGAAGCTTCATCTGTGGTCGTTGGTTTTCCCGGACGGATTATCGATATTCCCACCACCCATTTAATATCCAGATATCCAGATTTCCAGATGAAGTCTGAGTTTTACCATTCAACCAACGAGCCGTCGAAATAATCAACAAAGGTTGATATGTTAACGCGTTGGCTAGGTTGATGGCTATAATTAAGGCTGCTATTGCCAGACTCGGTTACTGTGCTCTACATTTTTAGACAATGAAAACATAAACATCATCACAAGTCATAAAATTGCGGTTACGCTATTTCTAGTGGCCTTAAATATTTTTGTTATTAACCGTTCAAATTTAAACAAAGTATAACATGTTATTATAAAATAGAATATATTATAATAAGTATATATTATTATTAGGTGCAAGAATATATTTAATTTTTGTTGTAAATTTGTAATATGTGTAATAGCGAATAAAATTTTATTGACAGAAATGCACGTGGCCACATTTAGCTAATTGTACGGAGGGAGAAAGTGGTGGTGGCGGCGGTGGAGGTGGAGACAATGGAGGCGGCGACAATGGAGGCGGCGACAATGGAGGCGGCGACAATGGAGGCGGCGACAATGGAGGCGGCGACAATGGAGGCGGCGACAATGGAGACGGAGACAATGGAGGCGGAGACAATGGAGGCGGAGACAATGGAGGCGGAGACAATGGCGGCGGCGACAATGGAGGCGGAGACAATGGAGGCGGCGACAATGGAGGTGGAGACAATGGAGGTGGCGACAATGGCGGCGGTGATGGCGGTAATGGTGGAGACGGAGGTAACGGAGGGGGTGGCGGTGACGGCGGCAATGGTGGAGATGGTGGAAATGGAGGCGATGGTGGTAATGGTGGAGACGGAGGCAACGGAGGTGGCGGCGGTGATGGCGGCAATGGTGGAGATGGTGGAAATGGAGGTGATGGAGGCAATGGTGGAGATGGAGGCAACGGAGGTGGCGGCGGCGATGGTGGTAATGGTGGAGACGGAGGCAATGGAGGTGGCGGCGGTGGCGGCGGCGATGGTGGTAATGGTGGAGACGGAGGCAATGGAGGTGGCGGCGGTGATGGCGGTAATGGTGGAGATGGTGGAAATGGAGGCGATGGAGGCAATGGAGGTGATGGAGGCAACGGAGGTGGCGGCGGTGATGGAGGCAATGGTGGAGATGGTGGAAATGGAGGCGATGGAGGCAATGGAGGTGACGGAGGCAACGGAGGTGGCGGCGGTGATGGCGGCAATGGTGGAGATGGTGGAAATGGAGGCGATGGAGGCAATGGAGGTGACGGAGGCAACGGAGGTGGCGGCGGTGATGGCGGCAATGGTGGAGATGGTGGAAATGGAGGTGATGGAGGCAATGGTGGAGGTGGCGGCAACGGAGGCGATGGCGGCAATGGTGGAGATGGTGGAAATGGAGGTGATGGAGGCAATGGTGGAGATGGAGGTAACGGAGGTGGCGGCGGCGATGGTGGTAATGGTGGAGACGGAGGCAATGGAGGTGGCGGCGGTGATGGCGGCAATGGTGGAGATGGTGGAAATGGAGGTGACGGAGGCAACGGAGGTGGCGGCGGTGATGGCGGCAATGGTGGAGATGGTGGAAATGGAGGTGATGGAGGCAATGGTGGAGATGGAGGCAACGGAGGTGGCGGCGGCGATGGTGGTAATGGTGGAGATGGAGGCAACGGAGGTGGCGGCGGCGATGGTGGTAATGGTGGAGACGGAGGCAACGGAGGTGGCGGCGGTGACGGCGGCAATGGTGGAGATGGTGGAAATGGAGGCAATGGAGGTGACGGAGGCAACGGAGGTGGCGGCGGTGATGGCGGCAATGGTGGAGATGGTGGAAATGGAGGTGATGGAGGCAATGGTGGAGATGGAGGCAACGGAGGTGGCGGCGGCGATGGTGGTAATGGTGGAGACGGAGGCAATGGAGGTGGCGGCGGTGATGGAGGCAATGGTGGAGATGGAGGCAACGGAGGCGATGGCGGCAATGGTGGAAATGGAGGTGATGGAGGCAATGGTGGAGATGGAGGTAACGGAGGTGGCGGCGGCGATGGTGGTAATGGTGGAGACGGAGGCAATGGAGGTGGCGGCGGTGATGGCGGCAATGGTGGAGATGGTGGAAATGGAGGTGATGGAGGCAATGGTGGAGATGGAGGCAACGGAGGCGATGGCGGCAATGGTGGAGATGGTGGAAATGGAGGTGATGGAGGCAACGGTGGAGATGGAGGCAACGGAGGCGATGGCGGCAATGGTGGAGATGGTGGAAATGGAGGCGATGGAGGCAATGGTGGAGATGGTGGAAATGGAGGTGATGGAGGCAATGGTGGAGATGGAGGCAACGGAGGTGGCGGCGGCGATGGTGGTAATGGTGGAGACGGAGGCAATGGAGGTGGCGGCGGTGATGGCGGCAATGGTGGAGATGGTGGAAATGGAGGTGATGGAGGCAATGGAGGCGATGGCGGCAATGGTGGAGATGGTGGAAATGGAGGTGATGGAGGCAATGGTGGAGATGGAGGTAACGGAGGTGGCGGCGGCGATGGTGGTAATGGTGGAGACGGAGGCAATGGAGGTGATGGAGGCAACGGAGGTGGCGGCGGTGATGGAGGCAATGGTGGAGATGGTGGAAATGGAGGTGATGGAGGCAATGGTGGAGATGGAGGCAACGGAGGCGATGGCGGCAATGGTGGAGATGGTGGAAATGGAGGCGATGGAGGCAATGGTGGAGATGGTGGAAATGGAGGTGATGGAGGCAATGGTGGAGATGGAGGCAACGGAGGTGGCGGCGGCGATGGTGGTAATGGTGGAGACGGAGGCAATGGAGGTGGCGGCGGTGATGGCGGCAATGGTGGAGATGGTGGAAATGGAGGTGATGGAGGCAATGGAGGCGATGGCGGCAATGGTGGAGATGGTGGAAATGGAGGTGATGGAGGCAATGGTGGAGATGGAGGTAACGGAGGTGGCGGCGGCGATGGTGGTAATGGTGGAGACGGAGGCAATGGAGGTGGCGGCGGTGATGGCGGCAATGGTGGAGATGGTGGAAATGGAGGTGATGGAGGCAATGGTGGAGATGGAGGCAACGGAGGTGGCGGCGGTGATGGCGGCAATGGTGGAGATGGTGGAAATGGAGGCGATGGAGGCAATGGAGGTGACGGAGGCAACGGAGGTGGCGGCGGTGACGGCGGCGGTGACGGCGGCAATGGTGGAGATGGTGGAAATGGAGGCGATGGAGGCAATGGAGGTGACGGAGGCAACGGAGGTGGCGGCGGTGATGGCGGCAATGGTGGAGATGGTGGAAATGGAGGTGATGGAGGCAACGGAGGTGGCGGCGGTGACGGCGGCAATGGTGGAGATGGTGGAAATGGAGGTGATGGAGGCAATGGTGGAGATGGTGGTAATGGTGGAGACGGAGGCAACGGAGGTGGCGGCGGTGATGGAGGCAATGGTGGAGATGGTGGAAATGGAGGCGATGGAGGCAACGGAGGCGATGGAGGCAATGGTGGAGATGGAGGCAACGGAGGTGGCGGCGGTGACGGCGGCAATGGTGGAGATGGTGGAAATGGAGGTGGCGGCGGTGATGGCGGTAATGGTGGAGAAGGTGGAAATGGCGGTGATGATGGTTCTGATGGAAATGATGGTCGTAATAGATGCAAAGAAGATTGTCATGTTCCATTCTGGAAACACGAAACGGACTGTGACAAATTTTGGCGTTGTGTTGGGGAGGAAGCAGTGATCGGTGTATGTACAGAAGGCCTCCGGTTCAACGAACAGGCACAAACGTGTGACTTTGCGTGCAATGTGGACTGCGAGAGAAAGGAAATTCAGTCGACTGCTGGCGTCGATGGATTGAAACTATTCCTTCCATGGAATAGGGCCGATGCTATCCTGGAAATATTGCGAAGAAGTGACAAAATTAGAAACACACCCCATATCAAATACTAATTGAGTATGTTTAAATTTGTTTCACAGCTTATAAAAGCCGCAAGAACTTAGACATTTTTCTGGATAAATAAAATGCCTTTTGCGGCATAAATATTTATTGTATAAATTAAACATTATATTTTTTATTTATTTTTTTATTTTTTTATCTGTAAGGGATTTTTATTGATTTTTAACAATAAATAATGACAGCTCATGTCCTATTTATTTTAATTATACATATATATCATATTTAATAAATAATAATCCTGATACTGTGAAAATATTAATTTGACTTTGTTGACAATAAACAATAAAATAAAAGTTTTGTTTTTTATTTATACATTTCTAACAATTTTAAGACAAAGTTACATAGTTTAGACACGAACGAGTCTTTGCAAAGATAAAGCCTGAAACTTTTAGAAATATTTAAACTACTAATACAAATTAAGCATGTTTATTTGTGTGATTTTCTTTAAATTAGATAAATAAAAAGTTTAATTAAAATTAAACTATATTACATAATATGATGGAGCTTTACAAATTACAAAATAAAAAATAACTGTTCGCCTGAAAACAGGAAGCGATAAAAATCTTAGTCGAAAGTCAAAATGATGACAATTTTAGTATCTGGCGATAACATTTGATTGTAAGAAAATTACTGCGTCATACTAAATAGCAGATAACAAATATTATTTAGTGGAATTTTTGAATCAAATCTGAAATCCAAGTAATAATTTATAGAGGGGCTCTCTGGTCTAATGGTAATAAAAAATGACAGTTAGTAGATTCGATCCGTACCAGGTCTAGGGCATCTTAGAGTTTCCGTTGGGTGAGCTGTGACAACTAAAAAATATGTGTAGAAAAAAGATGGAATCATTTTTTATTTTTTTTTAATGTATTTTTTTTTAATTTGTATATCTTTTAAAATGTAACATAAAAAGCTTTCAGCAGAGTTCAGGCTTACAAACATTGAAGGACAAATGATTAAGATCGAAGCGAGTCATTTTTATTTTTCTTAAGGTGACGTCCTTGGCTTAAAAAATGTAGATAAGTTAAATAGATCAGTATGCGTGTTCATGCTCTTTAAAAGGCGAAAACTTCTTTTTGGATTCCATAGAAAGGTATAGAAAAATTCAAGATTTAATCTGATTTTTTCATTTACAATTAGTTGTTTACGCGAGTAGTACATGTATCATAGTATGTAACATTTTAACAGTGTAAAATGTTACACAATACATTTCGTGTTTTAAATCGTTAAACCTGTTTAATTTAAACTGATTCTTCGAGTTTACGATTTTAAAAAATTCCATCTATAGAGCGATAGATGCGATAGAATCTTGCTTAACAAAGCTAAGAATCAACAATCCACAAATTTTTTATAACATGATCGATATCAATAATAATCAATCTTATCTTTAAAATCGAATCAATATTATAATTAAAAAATAAATCAATTACAATTAATATATACATATATATAGACTGTGGTTCAACGGTTATGATTTTAAATGTCGGATACATAGATAGATGTTTCGGCTGGGAAGGGCACAGAAGTCTAAGTTTTTCCCTTGGGGAATTATTATTTTAGTTTCATTATGACTTTTAAAAAATGCATTCACAAGAAAATCAAAAAGTTCATTTAAATTAATTAACCCTAAGTGACTTCAAATCATAAAATGCATTGGAAAATAAACAAGTTAACTGCAAATGTTTATTTCGAGAACTGAAGTAGTACTAGGTTCACTAGATTTTTTACCATTATCAGCCCGTTTAGGTTCACTGCTGGACGCAGGCCTCTCCCAAAACATGCCACTCGGTCCTCTCTTCATTTGATAGAAGAAATCAATAAATAAAATATCTATTTAGAGTAAAATCGAAAACAAATATATATAACTCGGACATGACATGAACCGGCATCGTCACCAATCGAGCTACCGAGTCGTACAATTTTTTCAACCTATTTATACATTTTCGACATTGACCCTTATCTCTTACGTATTAACGATCAATGTCTTATGCTTTGCAGTCTAAGAAAGTGATTGAAGATTTTACAGCGTTTTTAACGTTTGAATATTTTATTAATTAAAAAATGATAATAAATTGAAAAAAAAAAAAATTACGACTCGGGCAGAATTTGAACTAGAGTTCCTCATCCTCATCTATTTAGATCTATAACACAGACTGAAACTGAAACAATAATTTACAAGTTGTCTTTTATCAGTGAACGGTGGTTGACCCGAACGGACTTTTAATATTCCAGCTACATCTTACATGTTTCAGAAAAAATTTTTTTTTTGAATCACGTTGGACTAGGTGGGTATCGAACCATTATGATTTACATACATTTCCGTTATACAGGGTGTGTCATAAAAACTAGTAAGTCTCTTAATCTATCTCTGTTTACTTACTATTATACTATATATATTGCGTTAAAACCGTTAAAATATTTTATTTAAACTTCTATGTTTCAAAATATTCTTCGTTTGAATTATTTCAGATTAAAAAAGTGTTTGTTTTGAGAGACATAAATAAAAAACTTTAACGCGAAGTATTAGTTAAACTAACTTAGTTTAACTAATATATCGCGTTTTAAACCGTTAAAGTGTTTTATTTAAATGTGTACTACTCGCGTAAACTATAGACATAAATTAATATAAAATGTTAGCGTACTAGCAAACGATGTGGCAGTAAATTTGGGACCAGCCTATGTCATCAGATATTTTGTTTTGAATATAAAAAAAGAAATACATAATATGAAAATTGTAAGGGTATAATTTCGATTTCAAAATACTGCGTACTTAATAGACATTGCGTAACAAAATAACTTTGTAAAAGTTTATATGTTTTATATTTTCAGCCCGTTATTTTATAGTATATAGACTTCCTCGATAAATGCTCTAACTAACATAAAAATAATGTTTCAATTTGAACCAGTACTTTTTGAGATTAGCAAAAACATTTTGTATTGCGCGTGCTCATAGTTTTAAGTCTCACTTACGTAGTCCTCTTAAAACACGCTATACACCGCGTTACGTTTTAATTATGTACTTATAAAAATATCTTTTATACTTTATAAATATACAATAGTTCAAATTCATTCATTCTTAATATTTGAGATTTGTTTCAATTCATTTCACCATATGTTTTTTTAATTCAATACGTATAAAGACTAGTAGCATTGTTGAATGTTTTTCACCAAAATATAGGTAGTCGGTTTGATTAAAGGAATTTTTGATCAAAGATAACACCGCCCTTTCTTGCATACGAATTGCAGATTAATACGATTATAATTGATAAGATCTGATGCGAAAACGATAAGCATGGGTGACTATAGACACAGAACTCTTTTAAATAACACACCTAAACGGTTTAAAATGCGACATTTATTGGTTCAACTTTTTTGGAAATAATTTTAACTACGGCACGACGTTGCGGATGCTTTCCAGCAGTCGTGCTCGCGGGGAGCCCCAAAAAATTAAAATAAGTTTAACTAATATATATCGCGTTTTAAACCGTTAAAGTGTTTTATTTATATGTGTACTACTCTCGTAAATTACAGACAAAGGGTATATCATTTGTTGTTTCTTTTCATATAAAATTGTTATAATCTTAAGTAAGTTTAGATTGTTATAACAAAAACATAAAATCTAGATACGTCCAACATTTAATTAAATCATTTGACGGTTTAAAACGGCATATATATTAGTTAAACTTATTTCAAAATTATTTTAACTTCGGACCAGAGGTTCGTTTCTTTGCGTCTTTTTCTTTCACGCGGAGATTTAAGATGGAGGATGTCTCTGACGTCAAATAAAGTAAGGAATTTTTATTTTCTGCAACCTATATTCTTAATAATTTAAGTGGTAACTAACTAATTTGTCTTACTTCTCCACATTACTCCATTTTAGGTTATATACGTCAAAATCCGCCATTTTGACGCAACGTCATGCATAATGTTAAGTGTTCGGAATTCGCGGGAAATATTTATGCATTGCAAATCCGACGAATATTGTTGTATGAAATATAATACGGAGGAGATATTTTCATCAAAAATTCAAACCATGCAGAGGACATCCGTTTCTATAATTGATAGTTACAGAAATAGTTAATTTGACTTCTTTCATGGAATGTCAAAATGTCGATTAAAAAATGGTTGATACATTTTTGTAAGATCGATGGGTCCATATCAAACACGCGAAAGTTTTTGAGATATTTCAAATTTAGATGCCTTCGTATTTTTGTAAGATATATAGCCAATGTTTCTCTTAAACTAGTTCAAAATGGATTTAGCTCTTTCAGCACTGTAACGTAGGTAGACACATTTTTGTTTGTGTAGTAATAAAAAGAGCTGTATTGTTTTTTTTTTCCCTGTGGGGCATGGGGTGATCACATTTCTTTGCCCAGCCCGACCCAAACACCTGATTGCTTACCCGCAATTTGAAGACTTAAATGCGTACTTAACGCAATGCAACACTTAGATGATTACGGTAACGATATTTTACCTAAATCATAAAATGACGAATTAAGTATTACACGTTTAAATCAAAACTTTTAAAGGTTTAAAACGCGAAATGTAAATGAGCGTCCCCCCGTGACCACGGCTGCACTATGTTTCTGTCTAATATCTTATAAATATAGTTATAAGAATGGAAATGACTAATGAAATATTAAAATTTGAGTACCTACAGTTATTTACCTAGTCAATGCTATGGAACCAAACAAAGCAGTTACAGTTTAATATCGAAGTGCAAAACGATACGTACGCCTGTAGTACAGAGTCCCTATAAAATATTTTCTAAATTATATTTTGATAATTTAATAGTTAGGTATTTATTTATAAAACTTTATTATTTCCAAATACCACAAATTTATAAAAAAAAACATAAATAAAAACTTATGAACTAGCTAAATAAAGGACGGCCTTATTGCTAAACATCGATCTCTTCCAGGCAACCAAATGCGAACGGAAAACAATTTCTTGTTTTCGTTTTATAGGTGGGTGGTGCTAGTGGAGAACGTGACAGTAACGAGACAGGAGAACGTTAAGATCTGGGAAGATTTAAATAAAACGATTTAATTTTAACTTACTTGAAAATGATTTTTAACTTCGGTCCGACGTTTCGGATGCTTTGCAGCAGCCGTGGTCACGAGGAGACTTTAAATAAGTTTACCTAACATATCGCGTTTTAAACCGTTAAAGTGTTTTATTTAAATGTGTACTACTCGCGCAAATTATAGACAGTATTTAATCTGGAATGATACCATTTGAAAACTAAGGTTTTAAACGTACGGAGAGATTGCGCTTTTCTGATTTTAATGGGGAGAGAGTTCCAGAGATCCAGCTTTAATCGTTACTAACAATAGTAACGAAATAAATATTACCTATTATAATTTTTCAAATTTCAGTCATAGAGATGATGTAGACACGTAATGTTATTATTTCTTATGATATGTTTGTGTTAACATTTATTACTGTATGAATGTAATTAATTAATGTATAATTAACTAAAAATTATCATTAAAAAGACATACGAGTATGTCTTTTTTATATTTCTTGTTAACCTAGGATAAGCCTAATATAACTTACTATTAAATGACGAGAATTTTGAAAAGTCGTATTTAATTTGAAAAAAAATCGTCTCGGGCAGAACTCGAACCGGCATCGTCAGCATTTCATGCTGTTGCTCTAACGAACGCTGACGATGCCGGTTCAAGCCCTGCCCGAGTCGAAAATTTTATCAATTCGTTTTCGATTTTTTAATTCTATAGTGCCTTCATGTGTGACATGTGAGAAATATTAAAGTTTTCAACAGTCGTATTTAGTTTTTTACACAATCAATGAGTTCGAATCGCGCCCTGCATAGGATTCCTAATACTTATTATATAACATTTGACTTGACAACAATTATTTGACTAGTTTTCAAATACAAGAATTAGGTATACCGTTGTCCCTTAAGTAAAATTAATTAATAAAATAGCGTGTGTGCAGCGGCCCTATGTTTAATGAATAACGATTGTAATCGTTGCACCACTATCATCCTTATCATATTCCATGCGGTATATATTAGTGATTTCGGTTTGGTTATGAGTAATCCGAGAAAAGTTGTGTCTTTCGAAAAGGGAGTTCAATTATACAAAACCCGCGTCGATTCGGACGCAATGATAAGTGAGTATTGAATTTATTTGATACCTTTGTTTATAATTTAAAAACAAATTAACTATTTTAATTGAAACGTGAAATATATTTGTTATTTAAGTTAGCTAAGCTCTATACCTAGAATAGAGCACAAGTGGTCCTGGATTCGTATCCTCAGGAACAGAAGGCAGATGAAATTGTAATTATCTATGAAATAGACACTGAATATGTTGTTGCCTTTTTGTCCAAACAAAGGATAATACAAAAATTAAAAACCTCTACTAGTGACAACAATAGTGGACACTTCAATGACTCTAACTCTGGACGACATTGTCCTGATATTGGATAACACCTACTTCTACTAAATCTAATTTATCTTTTTTTAAATAAATATATATCGTAGCTTATTCTTAATTTATTTCAACTATGGTTCGACGTTTCGAATGTCCCGGAACTCGTTGGTCGACTACCCAATCGTGCTCAAATATTTTCAATTTTAAAAATACACAAATAATACGTAAAATAAAGATATATTTCTAACATTAATAATTATTTAATTAAAACACTGTAACGGTTTAAAACTCAATATATATGAGTTAAACTTATTTGAAAATTAATAAACGAATTTAAAAATAAATTACAAATAATTAAACTAATATATATCGCGTTTTAAACCTTTAAAGTGTTTTATTTAAATGTGTACTACTTTCGTAAACTACAGACTGAATTTAATTAATAATTATTATTTTGTTATCTGTTGTTTAACAATATGCACTACAAGAGTAAGTGAAAAGTGCTGATAGCGTATAATCTCCACTTTATAATTACTACTTAATCAACCTAATAGGCTATTCTATAGAGGTGGTGAAAATCATTTTCCTGTAAAGCAAATAGTATATGTTAGCGGCCTTTATAATGGCAACTTTATCTGTCAATGTAAAGATACATTTTGGTTGGTTTTAATGATAGAGAAAGTGGCGAGGCTCACGTGACGGTAGATAAAATACTCCAGCTGTATCACATCTGAACAAGATGCTTTGTCGGCCTATTTTGTCCCATTTAATATACAGATTTCTAGATGAAGTCCAGCATGTTTCAGAGAAATTATAAATTGAAACACGTTAGATCCGGTGGGGATCGAATCCGCGACCTGTTGGTTATTAGCAATACATAGCTACCATTATAACACGGCCGTTTTGTATGTTCAAAGATTACATGCATAGTTAGAAATTATATAAGTAAACTCCCAATACAATACTTAGTAATGAAACGGGCCCTTACGTGAATCCACAAACTTATTAGTCCCGTTGTGTTTCAGTCAAGCTTCTTATACTGGCGCTCGTAGGCACAGCCTACGGACGGCCTCAAGAAGACTGTCCGTCTGATGGACAGCAGTATTTGATCCCACACGAGAGCGACTGCTCTTATTACTACATCTGCGAAAATGGCCAGAAGGTAGCCTGGTCCCGATGCCCGGCGCAGACCTACTTCTCCTTTGAAAAACAGGTAAACTTAATACATTCAAACAAAACACTTTAAAGTTTTAAAACGCGATATATTAGTTAAACTTATTTGAAAATGATTTTTAACTTCGGCCGACGTTTCGGATGCTCTGCTAACAAAGTTTAACTAATATATCGCGTTTTAAACCGTTAAAGTGTTTTATTCAAATGTGTACTACTCGCGTAAACTATAGACAGTATTTAAACTTAATACAATATTCGCGTTTTGCCAGAGAAGTGGCGGAAGATTTATTAGACATTAATGCAGTACTGTACTTGGGAACGAATAAATGTAATTACAATAAAATAATTCATATAAAAAGAATAGATTTAATTTTGAATAAAAGTACCGCGAAACGGTCTTCCGTCAGCACTTGTTACAGAACATTTACACTACACCGATTTTCAACAAAACCTTGCTGTTCGTCGGTTACAGCGAACATAATATCAACATTTAACTTTTTTAATAGCAATAAATTATTAAGTATTATATTATCCGTGTAAATGTAGTATTATAATATAATAAATAATTGGGTATTTTGTAATTTTAGTTATTAATGTAAATAGGTGGAAGCTAAATAGTTCTAAGATTAACCACCACATCAATCTAAGCGCTGTTTTCTTGAAAATCAGTATTGTGGCGTAGCTGTGCTACAACTAATGCTGACGCAAGACCCTTTTGTCATCAGTTATCTTCAAATTAAATTTAATAACTTTACTATAATTAATTTAATTATTTTCTAATATTAACACGAATGCAAATTAAAGAGATTTATGGACAGATTAAAATCTCTTTACTTTGACATTTACATGACGGGATGTTTTTTTTTAATATTTAATGACCTGGTAACGAGACCTTTAAGCCAAAGGGATGGAATTTAAGTAAAGTCAACGATGATAGAAGAAAGAAGCTCCACTCATGCACGATCACTGAAAATCAGTACAAACATAGAGTTAAATAATGACACCAAAAATCTAAATTAGGTCGTCATTAAAGTGATTTTCAATATTGAGGTCTTTTGGTCTATATATTTCATCGCTTATTCTTTATCTCTGTGTCATCTGTGGCCTCAACTACATATATACAGTCTCTATGGTTTTGAATCGGCCATATTTGTTGTGGTCTTTTCTGAAGCTACATAAATTTCACTAGCTGAGAATCTCGCCGTCGTATAATTTTCCATACATCGACTGTTATCGTGTTCCGTTTATTTAAAATGACTTCCAACACTTATACTTACGTTAAATTTAGTTTCTGATATTAACATTTCCGTATATTTATATGTAGTAGGCAATAAAGTTACATATGATATAATAAATTTTGACGTACATTTTTTCTTAATAATTACAACAATTTATATACTAACAAATCAATAAATTAAACTATATTTCTTATAATGTTTTGACCAGTTCGCACTTTGCATAAACATTATTGGATTAATCAAAGTGATTTAATTAGATTTATGATGTGATACTGAATCATTATTATTCTTAGTCAATTAAATGTTATCTATAAAAGATTTCTGATAGTGCGAAAATTTTGCGCCCTTTAATTTCTGATCGCCGATTGTAAGTACGATAAAGTGTTTTTTAATTGATAATATTAAGTGGAAACTTGTGTATTGAAGCAGATAATTAGTGGTATCTTTATAATCTGTTTGTTTCGCGCTTCTTTCCTAAAGCCACTCACGGATACGGCTATCAGAGCCAATGTAACACGTCCACTCTCACGCAGCTCTCGCGTAACTGACGTCATACTATGTACAGTTCTCTCTGAACGTTTTGGCCGGGCTGAAGTTAGCGCGACTGCGAAAAAGTCGCGTCGCCCTGCACCCGCACACCCCTCTTGTGGCAACTGATACCTGTTCTTTGCGTACTGCGCAGCCGTCCATGCTAACTTCACCCCGGCCTATAAGTTTGGAGAGCACTGTAATATTATATTATAGAAGACTAGCACTGACAGCAACTTCCACCTTTAAAGATAATAAAGTATATTTTATTTTTTTATTTATTTTAATAAATGTAGTGGACGGCTATTGACTTCATAATAAGGTTATATCAAAAAAGTAAAATAATCCAAAAGATAAAAACAGAAGCGTTACTTTTTAATTTCACTTTTTGACGTGTTTTTAATAATCGACGGGCCGTGGTTTCGGCTCCTATCAGAATCCAATTTTTTCTAATCAATATATAATATAATAATAATTTTTCTGAAACATGTTAGACTTCGTCAGGAAATCTGGATATTTTATAAAATTATCTATATATTAAATGGATCGTGCGAAAAGCCGTCAAGTTTAATCGCATTTCGGTTGCAATCACTTTCCATCGAGGGAACCTCACGCTTGTTTGCCCTCCTCTATCATAAATAAATAACTTATTTATTAAATACTGTCTATAGTTTACGCGAGTAGTACACATTTAAATAAAACACTTTAACGGTTTAAAACGCGATATATTGCAGCGAGCAGCAGCCGAAACGTCGGGCCGAAGTTAAAAATCATTTTCAAATAAGTTTAACTTATTAACGTTTTAAACCGTTAAAGTGTTTTATTTAACTTGTTTATAATATTATGGTTGAATTATATCTTCCAAAGAATGCCAAGTTTGTCCTTCCTTCTCTATTAAAACAAAATATTCATAATTACAGATATGCGACTTCCATGTGCCTTCCGGATGTAATCTTGAATCAAATCAGGACAGTGCGGATGAAGCCTTCAAAGGCGGAAGTATCAATCTCGGAAATGATTATGAAACCTTCGACAACGGTTGTCCGAAGAACTTTAGCATTGAGAAGCTTTTCCCGCATGCCGACTGCAAGAAGTTCTACCAATGCGTCCACGGGAACTATCAAGAGATGCCCTGCGGCCCGGGGACTAGCTTCAGCTACGCATTACAGGTATGTTTGAAAACTAAACTGAAAGATACCACTTGGGTAAGTAAGTATGATTGAATGGTTCTAGAAGTTTCGCCATCAAGCTGGAGTAAAAATAAAACAGACAATATTCAAGGAATGTTTATAAAAAACAATTCTCGTTCGCAACACGAGCACTAGGTGTCGCTTTTGTCAAAAATGTATGTGGTTTTAAGTCAGACGCTAGATGGCGTTATCTGTTTAAAAAATTTCTTAATATAAGTTATCTTCAGAGGGATAAAGATTTATAGATAACAACGTAAGCAAGATTGATTTTTTCAAAATCGATTTTTTTTTTCAATTTATTTTCGATGTTTAAATTACACAGTGCCATCATGTGAAAAATATGATGAAAACTTTTCATTTCATTTCAAAAATGAATGTTTGAATACTTTATTTAATGTTTTTAACATGTTGGACGGATGATTGGTGTCTAGAGTGTAGTACACTCTAGTGTTTTAATTTTTTTTTTTATTTAAAATTGTTCGAAAATTAAATGTATAAAATAACCAGATTTTGAAATTGTTTGTTAACTATTAAAACTATTAAATTACATTTTTATTACTAAGTATTGCAAGAGGGGAAACATTTATCAATCATAACGATAATAATGAGTGAGAATTATATACAGTCGTACACAATTATGAATGCATAGTTGTGATATAATTTTTTGTAACAGATGATGGATGATAATTATATTTTTATTTTCACAGAAATGTACCTGGCCACAACTAGCCGGGTGTGATGGTGACGAGAATGACAATGACAACGGTGGCGGTAATGGCGAAGGCAGTGGTGATGGAGGAAATGGTGGAGGTGGCGGGGATGGTGGAGATGGTGGAAACGGCGGAGGTGGTGGAGACGGCGGAAACGGTGGAGATGGTGGAAACGGTGGAGATGGTGGAAACGGTGGAGATGGCGGAAACGGCGGAGATGGCGGAAACGGCGGAGATGGCGGAAACGGAGGCGGCGGTGGTAACGGAGGCGGCGGTGGTAACGGAGGCGGCGGTGGTAACGGAGGTGGCGGTGGAAACGGTGGAGGAGGAGGAGATGGTGGCAACGGAGGCGGCGGCGGTAATGGTGGAGGCGGCGGAGATGGTGGTAATGGAGGAGGCGGAGGAGGTGGTGGAAATGAAGGCGGCGGGGGCGGGGGGAAATGGTGGTAACGAAAATTATCCCAATGGATGCCCTAAAAATTATACGATAGAAAAGCTTCTTCCTCACCCCGATTGCGACAAATACTATCGATGTGTTCATGGAGACTATATAGAAATGCCATGTGCTGCGGGCACACAGTTCAGCTCTAAACTGCAGGTTGGTCGACCTTATAATAAATTTAATTAATTTTAAGGCTTACAATATTAATTATTCTTTTGATTTGAAATAATCTAAAAGAATGTAATAAAGTACAAAATTATGTATCGATTCAAAGCTTTAATATCTCCCTATTAATACAAAGAAACATTTTCAGGAATGTACCTGGCCTCACTTATCTGACTGTGGTAGTAACGGCGAAGGTGGTGAAGGAGGTGGAAATGGCGGAGGTGGTGGAGGCGGAAATGGCGGAGGTGGTGGAGGCGGAAATGGAGGTGGTGGTGGAGGCGGAAATGGAGGAGGTGGCGGTGGAGGAAATGGCGGAGGTGGCGGAGGTGGTGGTGAAGGCGGAAATGGAGGAGGTGGAAACGGCGGAGGTGGTGGAGGCGGAAACGGCGGAGGTAATGGTGAAGGCGGAAATGACGGAGGAAGTGGTGGAAGCGGAAATGGTGGAGGCAACGGTGGGCCCGGTAATGGCACCTTCCCAAATGGCTGCCCTAAAGATTACAGAATCGAAAAACTTTTCCCTCACCCCGACTGTGACAAATTCTTCCAATGTGTCCACGGTGGTTATCAAGTAATGCCATGTGCTCCAGGTACACAGTTCAGCTATAGACTACAGGTTAGTATTATTGTATACTAACGTTCTTGCACTGTCTAAATATAAGTATCTTAGCACCTTATTTAATTTGTGTTGCTCTAGTATCACATTTCTTATACTAATCCCATATTGCAAGACTCCTTTCACTGATCCTTTTTGTATACGCGTTTACAGAAATGTACTTGGCCTCACCTTTCTGATTGTGGTGGAGGCGAAGGCGGCGGCGGAGGTGGTGGAGGCGAAGGCGGCGGCGGAGGTGGTGGAGGCGAAGGTGGCGGCGGCGGAGGCGGAGGCGAAGGTGGTGGCGGTGGAGGCGGAGGTGGTGGTGGCGGAGGCGGAGGCGAAGGTGGTGGCGGTGGAGGCGGAGGCGGTGGTGGAGATGATGGTGGCGACTACATCAACGGAACGTACCCCAACGGCTGTCCTAAAGATTATAGAATTGAAAAGCTGTTCCCCCACCCTGACTGCGATAAATTCTACCAATGTGTCCATGGTGGCTACCAAGTAATGCCCTGCGCTCCAGGAACTCAGTTCAGCTACAAATTACAGGTAACAACAGAAATATTATACACTAGACCGCAACTTTGTTCTAAATATAGATGGCGCTATTTGAATAGTGTAACCAACTTTGTTAATCAGGCGTTTTAGCTCAAAGAAATAACAAAATAATGATACATTCCACATTTCTTAATTTAGGAATTCTTTTTTTTGGTTAAAATTTTTTTTTAATTTTATTTCTCTTACTTAATCTAGATATATTTATTTGTTATAAGTTGAACATATACGAATTTTAGGTAAGATAATATATACCTAACACAATACGGTTATAATATAATCTAGAGGGACGTGGTTATATAAATAGTTAAAAATATTAGATAACAGGCTCTTACATATTGAAGCAAAACGCTTTCAACACATATCCTTTTGGCTAACTACAATGCATCCAAAACGTCTAATCATACTTATTTATTTAATTGGTTTTTATACTTAGCCAGTTACTTAAGCAAGTAACTAAGTTATCGCGTATTAAACAGTTAAAAGTGTTTTAAATAAATAATACTCTTTAATTTATTCGTAATTTTTCTAAGAAATTTTAATGACTTTTATGCTTAATTTTATGCTTTTGATGTTCTCATTCATACTTACTAATAACCGATTAAATATTTTTCAGAAATGTACCTGGCCTCACCTTTCTGATTGTGGAGGTGATAGCGGAGACGGTGGCGGTGGAGGTGGCGGTGATGGTGGAGATGGTGGACCTGGAGGACCTGGAGAAGGTGGTGGTGGTGGCGAAGGAGGCAATGGCGGCGGAGAGGGAGGACCTGGTGGAGAAGGAGGTGGCGGTGGAGATGGAGGTGGCGGTGGAGATGGAGGTGGCGGTGGAGGAGGAGGAGGAGGTGGTGAAGGTGGACCAGGTGGACCTGGTGGGCCAGGAGGACCAGGTGGGCCAGGAGGACCAGGTGGGCCAGGAGGACCAGGTGGGCCAGGAGGACCAGGTGGACCTGGCGGAGAAGGAGGAGATGGTGGAGATGGAGGACCTGGTGGGGATGGAGGTGGTGGTGGAGGAGGCGGAGAGGGTGGACCAGGAGGACCTGGTGGTCCCGGTGGGCCTGGTGGTCCCGGTGGGCCTGGTGGTCCCGGTGAAGGTGGTGATGGTGGAGATGGTGGAGACGGAGGACCTGGTGGAGATGGAGGTGGTGGTGGAGGAGGCGGTGATGGAGGAGAGGGTGGCCCCGGAGGACCTGGTGGACCCGGGGGAGATGGAGGAGGTGGTGGTGAAGGTGGCAATGGAACACTACCCAACGGCTGTCCTAAAGATTTCTCGATTCACAAACTGCTACCACACGCCAACTGTAGCAAGTACTACCAGTGTATTAACGGAGACGTACTTGAGAGATCGTGCCCGATTGGTTTACACTTCAATTATAAGGAACAGGTACTTGATTAATAATTATTTTTGGCATGTATGGCATGGCATAGGCGGGTTACATAGTCGGGACTCAAACCCTCGACTAATAGCAGAATAAAGACTATAATGTTGAAGCCCTCATTCGTCAAAAGTGTTTGTTTGAACGCGCTAATCTCAGGAACTACTGGTGGGAATTAAAAAAATATTTGTGCGGATTTGAGCATTCATCGAAGAAGGCTATAAAACATCACGCTGCGACCAATTGGAGCGAAAAAAATGATTCCTCTTTAAAAAATAAAAACGAAATGTCCGCGACACTGTGTCTGTATTTGAAGATAAACGTGGAAAAACGACGGGACGCGATCGACATCTCTGAAATCTCTTAAGATGAAGAGAAGTTGCAAAAACCAATTATGATGTCTAAAACCTTATTCTATGTAGACGAAGTAGCTGACACAGCTAGTGAATTAATAAGATGCTGCTGTAACAAGAATACAATTTATTGGTACAATTAACGTTAATTTTAAATTAAATTTATTTACAGGTGTGCGACTGGCCCGAATTAGCTGGCTGCGAACCTGGACAACCTGGTAAACCAGACAAACCTGGCGATAACGATAGGTGCAAGGAGAACTGCCACGTGCCTTTCTGGAGACACGATGATTGCGATAAGTTTTGGAGGTGCGTTGGCGAGAAAGCCGTGTTAGGGGTCTGCACTGAGGGACTCTGGTTCAATGAGGAAAAGCAGTCCTGTGATTTTGCCTGCAACGTTGACTGTCAGAGGAAAGAAGTACAGTCCACGGCCACGTTCGATGGCTTACGAGTGTTCCTGCCATGGGATAAGGTTGACAGTTTGCTGGAAATCACGAAGAAGACAGACAAAATCAGAAATAGATCCTATTTTAACTATTAAAGAAATCCACAAACATTTTTACTAATTTTTGATTACAAATCTACAATAAAACCCCTGTATTTTTTACAGTATTGAAAATAAGATGTCTTTCTAATACATTCATTTGTTGTTCTAAATTATTTGTAATTGTAAATGTGATAACATCAAAATTTTTAAAGGCACTAAGTAATGTTAAATAAAATATTTTTATTAATGCTCTGTTTTATTTTACTTTTAGACGTCCGATCTAAGAAAGGAAATAAACTTTTGTTAAAAATGTATATAAAGACAAAATAGTCAAAAACATTTTTCCAGTTTTATAGACTATATCTATACCACGATAAATTGAAAAAGCGTATTGTAATATGAAATCTATCCATGCGTGGTTTTTAAGTTAAAGTATTTAGTACTTTAACTTAAAAAGTTACCTAACCTAGTAATATTTTTTTTATATAAATATTGTACAGACAGTAAGATACAAGTAAGTGACAGTAAAAGTAAGGGATACAGACAATATTCATATTTAGAGTTTATTATTTCCAAATAGTGAATCTTAATTCCATCAAGTGGAACTTATGCTTGCTTCTTTTTCTTAAAAGCTAACACTTTTACGGCTTGTAAATTTTAGTTACTAATTTTAAATATATAATTAGTTTTAGTATTTCGATATCTAAACTATATACTAATTAGGTAGGTAGGTATGTACATTTTTACAATATCAATTATTTAAATCTTTCTCGTTCTAATCAAATAAAATAAAATCTAATCTATCTCAATTGAATAAAAAAGCGACAATGCTTATCAAGTTACAAAACACTACATGTATTAAATCATTTTTAAATCAAATGAATTAACAATAATAAACCCACACAACTGTATCGTAATATAAAACGCTTTGCAATCGAAGCTTTAAGCTCTGGCTCAATAACTGCTAACATATCATTGTTTTTCCGGGCTGTACGGCCGACGTTAGCGAGAAGTTCGCGACGTTTCGCTATAACAAGCGGCGGACATCATCAGGATGTTAGCTCCTCAATTGCTCGTAGACACCCTCCATCTTTAGTCTCCCCGTGACCACGGCTGCTGAAAAGCATCTGAAACGTCGAGCTGTATTTAAAATCATTTTCAACTAAGTTTAACTAATATATATCCCGTTTTAAACCGTTAAAGTGTTTTATTTAAATGTGTACCACTCGCGTAAACTATAGACAGTATTTACTTTCGAACTTAAAAAAAATTACCTTTGTAAAGTTTATACAGAATGGACGCAGTATTAAAAAAGCCAATATAGGCCGACAGTGCATTTGGTTTAGATGCAGTATACTGTGGTATTTCACTTACCATGCTTGTCTGTTCTCTTCCATTATAAAAAAAAGAACGGACGCACATGTATAATGTACCTACTTGATTTGGAAACGCGTTGTTTAGCATGTTCCGAGAAAAACAGAAAATGGTTTCAATGGCTCAGGGCACAGTAGTTTCAACTACTTACAATAATTCATCAATGAAATGGATACACAAATGTGTCCGCTGTATGCCCGAAGGCAGATACGGATCTAACTTCTAGATAGTAGCACTGTCTTAAAGGAAAAAAACATACAATATTATATGTTTTTTCCTTTAAGTTTATCTTAAATATGTAAAATTTATCTAGTAATCTAAATTATTAGTTCTATACTATATTATTGTATATAATTTATTTATCAACATAATTGTATCAGCTTTGAACTATGATTCACATGATAGATAGCGCTTCTATTGACTAGGTTTATTCGCGTTGAAGTAGTAACGTGGCAGCAACGCGGGGCGTAGGTTCGAATCCCACTGGATATTTGTAAGGCAATTCTTGATTTTCATAAGCAAGAAGAGGTCGTTAGCGCCATCTATTGTTTCTTGGCAGGACGCAGTACTTATTTATACCAATATATAAAGTTGAAGAGTTTGTTTGTTTGAACGCGCCAATCTCAGGAACTACAGGTTCGAATAGAAAAATTCTTACGTACGCTGAGAAAATGATTCAGATTTTTTTGTGAGTGAATGATTCTTCTAAGTATCAAACAAAAATGTCCGAAAAAATATAAGTCTATCTCTTAAAATGAACTCGCAAGATCGACGGCAACCGAACGGCGGGTCGCGAGCGACGGGACGCGTCCGATGACGTAGGTTTACAATTTGCAAAAAACTATTTTTGATGCCAAAAATAACTATTCTACGTGATCGAAGTCGCTAACTCAGCTAGTCGCTAATATAATTACTGTTTTGTTTTCTAAGCTTCTGTCTTAAATATTTAATTTTGGTTTTAATAGAGCAAGTCTCCATTATAACAAATTTCGTACAGACACAAACGTATTAGCAAGACAACAATTCTTTGAACTCAGATTAAAGCTTTTATATTATTTAACCGAAAAGAACGCAATTTAATTAACAAAGCTTTCGCTCTTAACTCAGCCTATTCGATTTGTACCTACATTATGTTATTAGCGTGTGTATACAGACAGACAAAAACAGTCTTAAAGTATAACATTCCGTAACTTAAACAAAACACTTTCGTTTCCATCGAGAAAGGAGTAAGCATATTTTTAACTACGGCTCGACGTTTCAAAACTTTGGCCCACAACTACTGCAGCACGACATCGGGTCGTAGTTAAAAAGTTGACTAATATATTTCGCGTTTCAAACCGTAAATTTTGTTTCATTTAAAACTGTAAAGTATATCACCCACGCTAAGGTTCAGATAATTCTAGAATTTAAGATTTAATAATTAAAGCGTCTACTGTATGCAGTGTAAATGAATTAATTCAATCAAAACTACAATCTTTGTAATTAATTCTAATAATAACAAATTTCAGTCTTTTTTGTCAATAGTTCCGCGAAATAGATTAGACTAGGTAATTATCAACGCGTCATGACTATAAGCTCATATAATTATAAATATAACGTTTATATGTGTAATATAATTAAATTTCAAAAGCGAAATGTGGAAACACGGGGAAAATTCTTCATCTCTGAGGGCTTCCGTTGCGTGGGCTGCGATAGCTGTTTAAGATACCAAAGCATACGAAACAATGACTCCTGTTTGTTTTCTCTAATAGAGCTCATTGATGCTTTAATTTAGTTTATCAAAACGGGTGTCCCTTTAGACATTAATTTTTAAAAACAATTATTTATACGAGTGTTAATATAACGTAAACATATTATTATAAGGCTGAAAAGTTCATAAGCAATCCAAATTCAAGGTGGCCTAGAAAGCTGAAATTTAGGCAAGCAAGTAGGTATTCAAGTAAATACACAGGAAACTGGAAATGTTTAGTAATTTTATCACATTTTCCACATCATTGATTCTAAGAGTATTAGACTCTTAGAATCAATGATGATAATGTGATCTCTTAGAGACTTGGTATTTCTTGTGGGCCACGGAGGTATACGTTTGTAACCGGGATTCCGTAAAAGTAATTATTAATAATGAATATTGGTCTAATAATTACCGACATCCATTAAGAACCATGTCATAGGAAGTAGTGACAGACTCAGGTCAGATCATAGTCTACAAAAATCGATTGTAATATTTTTTTCATTCAAAAATTGGATTTTTAATTTTAACTTATATTTAATTAAAAATATATTTTAAGTTGTTATAAACATATTTTGCAGATAACTATTGTATTATACTTGATATACCCATCGATCTTACTTATTTCATCGTTGGTGTCAACAACAATATAACATAACTAGCTGTGCCAGCGACTTCGTCCGCGAGAATCGTTATTTTCGGTATCCAAATTAGTTTCTGCAATGACGGGGTTCTTTATAAACTTAAGCTGTTAGCCACGACTTTTTTTCACGTTAATCTTAAAAGATAGACAAATAGCGTCGGGGACTTTTTTTAGATCATTTAAAGATTTATTATTGTTATCATTTTTTTAATACACATTTTAAGTATCTTGAACCATTTTCGCAGCGTACGCATCGGAAACCAACAGAGATGAAAAATATCCCCCATTTTGTTCAAATTTCCCGCTGTATCTTCGCTTCTATTGGTCACAGCGTGATGTTTTGTATGGTCAGATGCCTTCCTCGATGAAGGCTCTAATCAACACAAAAATAATTTTTCGAATCGAACCTGTTCCTGAGTTCCTGAGACTAGCGCGTTCAAACAAACAAAAAAAACTCTTCAGCTTTATACATTAGTACAGATATGGAACTTGATTTTAACTTTTTAATCGTGTTTTTGATAAGGACATCTTTATAAAACATAAATTTAAATAATATAAAACGATATTGTTTCACGATCTAAACAAAACAATAAAAAATAACCTAGATGTTTAATAGCAATAATTGCACTGATTCTAACGTAAATACACAATAAAGATAATAAATAAAGTGTTACTAATCTTAATTTACCCACTGTTAATCCAAATGTGACGCATAGGGGGGTATTTATGTGTGTGTGTGTGTGTTATACATGTCTATAATACACACACACATAAATAGTATATTATTCGTTAAGATAACTTAGTAAAATTATCAATAGCAATTTATCTATTTTATCAATAACTTAGAATATAAATAATTCGGCGTTTCCGAAAACCTCATTAGTACAGTGGTGATAATCTTTGTCGCAAACCGAAAAATAATACTCAAGAAAGCACTGTCATGATAAGTGAGTATTTTTGAATGGAAATTTTGAAAGATATGCCTGTAATCGTTTATTTTCGATTAGAATCATTCAAACAGAAGCTATACGTGCTTTGTTGTTTATAGCTTTTTCTGTTGTTCACTTCCTGTGTTTTTGCAAAGTTTAAACCGGTATTTCTGATTTACACAAAATTAAGTAATTGAATATTATTAAACATTTCCTCCATTGTTCAACGGTTGAATAAATGGTATGAGTTCTTGAATTCGATTCAGGGTGGACATAGTTCATAATTTTTTTATTTAATTGTCTGTTAATTGAATTGATCAGTAAAAGAGACACAAGTAGACATAAATATGTCAGCGCTATAGTAGTGATCCCACGAAGGGGACAAAACGCGGTATTCAGTTAAATTGTTAGTAAGAAGATGCGTGGAAACAAACTTATGACCGACATTGACTAATTTTTACTATTAAAACATAATGAAGTCTGCATACATTTAGAACACAATAAAAGAACCTATGTATTACAATTATCTCCTTAAGAAGCGTTGCTTTAACTATAATGTTAATTTAAATAAAACACTTTAACGGTTTAAAACGCGATATTTTAGTTACTTATCAGAGACATCCTCCATCTTTAGTCTCCCCATGACCTCGACTGCAAAGCATCCGAAACGTCGGGCCGAAGTTAAAAATCATTTTCAAATAACTTTAACTAATATATCGCATTTTAAACCGTTAAAGTGTTTTATTTAAATGTGTACTACTCCCGTAAACTATAGACAGTATATAATGTTAACTCTTTGTTGCCCAAAAAATGTCTTTACTTATTACGATATATGCAAGACGTAAAAACTGATATATATTCAGATGGATAATGGATAGAGAAAATGTTGGATTTAATGTGTAGCTTATTACATTAATTTTCTATAAAAACCCGATATCCCCACATGAAGCAAACTGTACTGTACTGCAAAGCACATAGTAGTGACGTATGGGGCAAACATATATCTGTGTCCCTTTCAGCAGGTAGTTGATCAGATTTCTGTGCTCTGTGGACAAATCTCTGTGTTTCTGAAAGGGAAAAATGTGTACTGCTAGTAGTCTCTTGTCAAAGTCTGGTCGCTCACAGTCTAGCCTAGCCTAGATAGTTAAATTATAAATATCACTAGGAATAATCAAGGTCATGATAACAGTCCCACTTCTCTCATCTTTAGGTAAGCTACTACTCCTGGCCCTCATAGGCGCCGCCTATGGGAGACCGAAGACTCACTGTCCAGCGGACGGTACACAGTACTTAGTCGCACACAAGAACGACTGCAGTAAATACTACATCTGCGAAAATGGAAGGAATATTCTAAAATCACGTTGCCCAGTGAACACGTACTTCTCAATTGAGAATCAAGTAAGTTAAACTTCAAAGTAAAACACTTTAACGGTTTAAAATGCGATATATGTTAGTTAAACTTACGGCGGCCCGATGTTTCGGATGCTTTGCAGCGGCCGTGGTCACGGGGAGACAAAACGTCGGGCCGTAGTTAAAAATAATTTTCAAATAAGTTTAACTTATATATATCGCGTTTTATTAGGGTGTTTTATTTAAATGCGTACTGCTCGTGAAAACGACAGACATTATTAAAGTTAAATTTCTCCCTATAATCTCCAATAAAAATATTGTGGTAGAAATATTATCGAGAATGACTACCACCAATGTAAAGTCAAGGTTGCAGACGATGTCTCACACGTTCAGGAAAATTATAAATGATTCAGAAACATTTCGGCAGTGGGAGTCGAACCCAGGCCCGTTTGGTCAACCGTTTGGTCAGATAGATTGTCACCCTGGTATAACACATAGTGTCAATTTCATAATTACGAGTCTAATCTATAATAAATATCGGTGTGTAAGTATTAACTTTAAATAAATATTATGTGCCACGGCAATGACCTATTTACATTAAAACATACGTCTTATTCAGTTTTAGTTGATATCAAATATGCGAAAAATTATATCTTCATATTAAGACGCAATCACTTCCTATTTGATAACGATACGCAACTCCTGAAAATGGGAACGGAATAATAAAACTTAACGCATGTACGACGCGCAATAAACACCAGTATTACACGGCTTATCGTAATATTTACAAATGGGTATTGTTTCAACGAACGAAAATATATTCTTTTACTATAGATAACAAATTTTGCTATCTGGTAATCTGTGCTTTTCTTTTCATTTGTTGATAATAGTCTGTGTAGTTTCCGATAGTAGTATCAAAAACCTTGTAAATGTTTTATAATGGTGCGTACAGATAATAGATTTTTGATTATCAAAAAAATATGTAGATAAACATATGTTTGTAAAATCCTTTACTCTTAAAGTAAATATAAATAATATTCTACTTATTCGTAGTATAAAAACAGATGAAGGTATATACTCATTCGATCTTAATAAAAGTTAAACTCAATGAAAGCTGCGTCAGCGACTTCTTCCGCGTTAAAAAGTTATTTTGGGCTTGTTTTCGCAAACCACTTCTTCATCTTTATAGATTTAAGCTTTTCCCAACGACGTCCCCGTCTTCCCGCCGTTCTTGCCAGTTAATCTTAAAACATAGACACATAGTGTTGAGGTATTTTTTTTAGATCATTGAAAGAGAAATCATTCTTTTATACATATGTTTAGTGTATATTAAACTGTTTTCGCAGCGTACGCTACGGACTTTTACAAAGACGAATCATTTTTCCTCTTTTCCGCACATTACCCGCTGTTTCTTCGCTCCTATTGGTCACACGGTGATGGTTTATAGCCTATAGCCTTCCTCGATAAATTTTCCTATTTATATTTTACAGATTCAGTTTTATCTGAATGTTTAAATATAAATAAAATTTACATATTATTGGTTGTATAGAAGGTAATATGTGCGACTATTATAATAAAATCTAAATAAATGTTATCAACACAACTTTAGACAAAACTAACTTGTACGTTAATTACTATTTATATTTTTAGAAATGTGGCGACATCATTGAAGCCAGATGCCGCAACTCAGTCCGGCGAGGTAGGGACGGAAAAGACGGCGAAGACGGAAAAGATGGTGAGAACGGTGGCGGTCATGCTGGAATCGGCGGCTTTGGTGGTCGTGCTGGAGTCGGTGGCTTCGGAAACGGCGGAAATGGTGGCCGCGGCGGTAATGGCGGAAACGGTGGAAACGGAGCGAGGATGCTCCGCCAACGCAATAAACGCAGTGTTGGCTACGAGACTCACCCCAACGGCTGTCCTGTAGACTACAGAATAGAGAAGCTGTTCCGTCATCCCGAGTGTAACAAATTCTTCCAATGTGTCCACGGCTCTTACCAAGAAATGCCATGCGCCCCGGGAACTCTATTCAGCTACAATTTACAGGTATTGAAGTGTAGGCTAACTTATGGATCTAAACTGCACTAATGATTTCAAACTATGTCGTCTTTAAATTAGAAAATTGGAATTGAAAATTAAAAGAAAAGTGACTTCCAACGTTAAGTTAAACAAAATCATTCCTAATTCAAACTTTGAAAAAAAAAGGATTCAACTATTCTAGTATAGTTATTATACATCTATACTTTTGTAGTAACTCAGTAATGTTTCGACAGGAATGTACTTGGCCTCATTTATCTGACTGTGGAGGAGATGACAACGGTGGTGACGATAACGATGGCGATGATAACGGCGGGGATGACAACGGCGGCGATGATAACGGCGGGGATGACAACGGCGGCGATGATAACGGTGGGGATGACAACGGTGGTGACGATAACGACGGCGATGATAACGGTGGGGACAACAACGGCGGTGACGACAACGATGGGGATGACAACGGCGGTGACGACAACGGCGGTGACGACAACGGCGGTGACGACAATGGCGGTGACGACAACGGTGGTGATGATAATGACGGCGATGACAACGGTGGGGACGACAATGGCGGTGACGACAACGATGGGGATGGCAACGGCGGTGACGACAACGGCGGTGACGACAATGGCGGTGATGATAATGACGGCGATGACAACGGTGGGGACGACAACGGCGGGGACGACAACGCCGGGGAAGACAACGGCGGCGATGACAATGGCGGGGATGATAACGGCGATGATGATGAAGGTGGAAATGGAGGCAACGGAGGTAATGGTGGCAATGGAGGAAACGGTGGCAATGGTGGTAATGGCGGTAATGGAGGCAACGGGGGTAATGGAGGCAACGGGGGTAATGGAGGCAACGGCGGTAATGGAGGCAATGCAGGAAATGGAGGCAATGGAGGCAATGGAGGAAATGGCGGCAACGGAGGCAACGGTGGCAACGGTGGTAATGGAGGCAATGCCGGTAATGGAGGCAACGGAGGAAATGGAGGTAACGGAGGCAACGGAGGAAATGGAGGTAACGGAGGCAACGGAGGCAATGGAGGCAATGGAGGCAACGGAGGCAATGGTGGAAATGGTGGACGTGTCTTCTAAAACATTGAGTTTGGAAAATATTTTTCTGAACTTCATTTTGAATCTTCGTAAAAAAAAGTTGTATTACAGTTTAAGCTTACATAAATTGTATTGTTTTTTTTTTATTAAATTAAAAATCTATTTAATCATTTTTAGTGTACGTTTTTATTTAGTTTTAACAGGTAACTAAAATTTAAAAATGACATGGTTTTGGTAAAATGCGTTTTGTAAATAAAATAAACGGCTTCCACAAGTAAATATATAGATAAAAAAAATCATTTAATACAAGTAGGAACTTCAATTCCTACTTGTATTAAATTGTTTGTAAATTTAATTAGGACAAATGCAATTATAAGATTTTACTTTATTTAGAGATTTACACAAAATTATTATTACTCTTGCACTTTGTATAAAAGTTCATTACATAATGTGAAGCTCAGTCTCCGAAAATTGACGATAGTAGCAATGAAAAGTGGTGGGCTGGATTCCCACCGGGTCTAACATGTTTCACAAAACACGTTTGTAACTTATAAATTTCGCATTTCCCAATATCCAAAGCCTAAATAGGTCGACAGCGACCTGTTGAGATATTATATGGCTGGGCTCTTTCACTTCTAACAGGGAACCCTAACCGTGTCTGTCTTCCTCTATCATAAAACAATTTAATAAGTATGTCATAATGTGACCCTGGCGACAGTCCCAGGTACAGGTGGAAATGAGGCTGAGAGAGAATGAGAGATAGGCTATAAAACTTTAGACTGCGATAAATAGGAGCGAAGAAACAAGGAAAATTTGGGGCTTCTGCTGGCTGCGCTGCGAAAACACTTGAAAAAAAACACAAAATATTTAAATAAAACACTTTAACGGTTTTAAACGCGATATATTAGTTAAACTTATTTGAAAATGATTTTTAACTTCGGCCCGACGTTTCGGATTTGCAGCAGCCGTGGTCATGGGGAGACTAAAGATGGAGGATGTCTCTGATAAGTAACTAATATATCGCGTTTTAAACCGTTAAAGTGTTTTATTTAAATGTGTACTACTCGCGTAAACTATAGACAGAATTTAACACAAAATATGTGTGAAACAATGGTTCTTCTTTAAATGCTTTAAAAGTCGCTGGCACACTTAGTGAGCCGAACACATTTTTTTATCTTGGCTGGTTATAAACGAAAATAAAATAAGTAATTGGATTACATTTAATAGGAAGAGAAGTAAAATCCAGTTTGAAAGTCCTAGCTTCTACGTCCTACGTTCACTGATAAGTTTTACAGGCAAGTAGTTGATCAGGCTTCTGTGCCCTGCCCGACTGAAAAAAAATACTGTTACCCCGGTATTTGAAATCAGGACCTCTAACGCTTAACCATTACAGATACAAGATATCTTCAGCGGCGGTTATGATGTATATATTGTTCTAATAATGACAGCATGTACTACGCACAGCTGGGTCGGTTAAAGCTAAACTAAAATTTTAGGGCGCCTCGGGATTCAGACTCAGCTGAATGCTGCACGAAGGGGATCGTTGTTTTTCAGTCTGCGCCCTCTGGCCGAAGTTCCGAAAGGTTTAATAAACTATGCGCTTTTAAAATATAAAAAACGAAAAGTGTGTTTATTTGAATGTGTAGGTACTACTCGCGTAAACTACAGACGGTAATGAAATAATAATAAATTAACAAGTAGAAATAAGTTATATAATTAAGAGATCGTAAAACTTCATACTGTTTAAGTTGAATCGTGCATTTATTAGAACTAAAAAATAAATAGGCAAAAATATAAAATTGTGTAAAACCGACGACAGACACAAAATGTAAAGTTATACAAAGACAATAGATAACTATTTTGGCGCGCTCGTTCGTCTAATTAGATACTAAATTGGTGTAAATGGATCGTGGGTTTGATCACCAGCGGATCCAACTTGTTTCTGTTAAATTTATATTTTTTCAGACACGAGTCCAAAAAGTCCTAAGAGACATCTGGATATTGAATTGGTGGTAGGGTGGTAGGGAATTATATAGTGCCTTCATGTGCATTAGCACATGAAGGCACTATATAATTTAAAAATCGAAAATAAATTTCGACTCGGGCAAGACTTCCGTCAAGAACCAAGAAGTAAATGGTGGATATCAATATTCAGTTCTGCCAAGGAAGCCGTGAAGTTTAGTGGTGCTTAAGCTCCAGTCTGTGGATTCCGAATTAGATGTTGTATGACTGTTTCACCTTCCATCAACTAAACCCAGTGGTTGCAGCTGCATTCAAAGTCGATATCATGTCGTGCCAAAATTTCAGCTCAATTGATGCAGACATTTTTGAGTTTTCGAAGCCTAAACAGACCAACATAACATTTTATGTATATAGATTAGTACAACTACTAATCAATGTTATCTACCTCTGATAAATTATAAATGTAATCATTCAGAAGTCATTAATTATTTCAAAAAGTTCCGCATCTGGTGACACTATGCTATGTAAGTATTTGTATATTATTTTCTGAATATCCGAAGCTATATTAGGTCCACAATGCATTTTGCTTAGAAGCTATGTGGCTCTGGTATTTCACTTCCGTTCATGTGAACCCCAATCTACTCTGTTTTCTCTCCTTCTCTTCCCTTCATTCGCAGATTATGTTTCCCCATAAAACAAACCTAGGACACGCGTTTACACTAGGCGCTGCGTTTACGCATTGAGAAACGCAAGACATGTACTGGCCGTTTCATAACCTAATCGCTGGAATAGGTCTGTCTAGACGCCGACTGTGGGCCGTATTAGTATTATTAATCGCTTCTAGGCAATCTAAAAAACTTGGATATTAGTGAATTATACATTTACGTATATTTACATTACATATGTGAAAATTGTGAGTTTGAAAGATTGTTTTTAATGAGAGAGAAGGACAGACACCCCATTGTCTGTCCTTCTCTCTCATTAAAAACAATCTTGATGGTAGATGATATACCCAAGCCTATATAGCATCTAGACAAGATGGGTGTCGTGCTGCGTCAAACGCAATCAAACTTCATAACTAATGAACGATGTATCGTTACTTAGCTCTAAAACAGAGTACATATTTCCTCCAATTTATTGTTACGCTTTATCATTTAAATAAAACACTTTAACGGTTTAAAACGCGATATATTAGTAAAACTTAATTGAAAATTATTTTTAACTTCGGCCCGACGTTTCGGATGCTTTGCAGCAGCCGTGGTCACGGGGAGACCGAAGTTAAAAATCATTTTCAAATAAGTTTAACTAATATATCGCGTTTTAAACCGTTAAAGTGTTTCATTTAAATGTGTACTACTCGCGTAAACTATAGACGCTTTATAAGATTGATTATTGTGGTACTAATTAATTATTTATAATTTACAGCCAAGTTGCTGTTCCTGGCCATTCTATATGTGGCCCACGGATGGCCAAATTGCTCTACAAACGGTAAACACTTGATTCCACACGAAACGGATTGTGCTAAATATTACATCTGCAAAGATGGAAGACCAGTAGCCAAGAGTCAATGCCCTCCGTTTACATACTTCTCTTTTGAAGGTCAAGTAAGTCATCATCTCTTGAATCCTATTGTAATATAATGCTTCAATATACATAATCAAACTCGGCAGTAATCTGAACAAATTGGTTGGGTGGCATGTCAACAAATTTTTGGTTTTTGGACATGTTAAAAATATAAAACACCTGACATTGTTTTTTTGTAAAAAAAACACATGTGAAATGTGTAACTGAAGTTGAAATTGAAATAACATATATTATGTAAATTAATTATTTTCCCTCTGGAGATCGTAAAGACAGTAAGAAATCAAAGGCTCTAGTAATTATTATTATTGCGGGAGAAAATGGAACACATGGGGGCTAATATAGTCCTTAAAATTAGTTTGACATCGACCTTTGAAAAAAACCTACGGCTCTGTGTTTTAGTAATCATTTAAAAGTATAGCGAACAAGGATGTCACAATTCAGTACTTTACCCTACAATTTCTTTGTTCGCATTGAACAAAATATAATCACTTTATGGACAATTCCGATTTACGATATTATCTATAATAATTTCAACATGTAAAGTAGCTTATCAACGTAATAAAACGATTCGATAATAATCAAAGTCGGTTGGTAAATTGAATTCTTTTAACAAGAAATATCTCGGTATCTATGTACAATTACTACTACAATGATAAAAACTAACAAATCAATTAGCGGTCTTATTCAAATTATTTGTAACGTACATAAATAATGTCAATAAGGGAATCTTTTAAATAAAACACTTTAACGGTTTAAAACGCGATATATATGTTTGAAAATGATTTTTAACTTGCAGCAACCACGGCTGCTGCAAAGCCTCCGAAACGTCGGGCCGAAGTTAAAAATCATTTTCAAATAAGTTTAACTAATATATCGCGTTTTAAACCGTTAAAGTGTTTTATTTAAATGTGTACTACTCGCGTAAACTATAGACAGTATTTAATAAGGGGATCTCTTAGCCAGAGTTAGAAGAAGAAATATAAATAAATAATAATGAATTGTGTAAGGCTTTCACGGCCATCGTTCAGCATATTATTGTTTAACAACGCATAATCTTCGAACATTTAAGGAGCTAACAACATCTGGTGATGCAGTCCACTAGCGATGGCGAAACGTCGAGAACCTCTTCTCGCTCACGTCAGCCCGAAAAACAATGACATGCTGAACGGTAGCCGTGAAATTTACGTGAAAGCCTTACACAATTAATTATTTTCAATGCTTTTAAATTATTACCACGAAAATTTTAGATCTGCAGCAATCTTGCTAAATCGGGGTGTGCGCAGAAGAAATGGAACGTACAGATTTTAAATGGAAGGAGTGGAGAAGATGGCAAGAACGGTCAAAGTTTTGGAGCGTACGCTCGTCTTTTTGCCTTAGGAAAGAATGTACAGATTTTAAATGAAAGGCATTCACAAGATGGAAGGAATGCAAAAGATGGCAAAGATGGTGAAGATGGCAAGAACGACCAAAGTTTTGGAGGTTATGCTCGTCTTAGCAACTTAGGAACGGATGATATCTCGTACAAGGAGTATTGGGGAAATGGAGGGAATGGTGGAAACGGCGGTAATGGCGGGGCCAGTGGTAATGGCGGCAGTGGTGGAGTCGGTGGCAATGGCGGTCACGGCGGCAACGTTATAATTAATTTCTTTCGAGGCAAAGAAGCGGTTCAGTACATTAAGTTTCAATACTAATGACCAATAGTAAAATAATTTAAAATATTGTTGAAATAGATTCTAGACATAACAATTTAAGAAATTAAATAGTTTCAACAGATTTTGGTTTGATTTAGAAATGCTAAAAGTTATCTAGTTTGAAATGACTTTATTGTGCAACATTTAGCCAACATAGGTCAACAACGTATTTTGTTATTCTAAACCAATACGATACTGACCTATGTTGACTTTAGAGATCGTGACTACAACAAAAGGTGCTCCACTTTTCCGTGTCAGTTGATTCGTGGCGTGGACAGAATTCCAATATACCAAGTACCTACTTAAGATATACTTCGTCTACGCAGGATTAGTATTTGGAGTAGCTTATATTAGCGTGACGTAGAAAAGAACTAACATTATGACATAGAAAAGTGTAGCTAACGTTTACGGCAGCGAACGCCTGAATAGCTCGCAGAAGGTAGGTTTTTTCTAGTTACTTGACACTTTATGTCATATTTTGGACAGCTCACACAATATCTTTATAAATTATGGCCTATGTGTTATTCTGATGTATAAGCTATATTATTGGAAAGTTTAATTGAAATCAATTCAGTAGTTTTTGCGTGAAAGACTAACAAACATCCATCCACACATACAAAATTTAATACAACGTTGACAAGACGTTGTTCCAAAGTCTTCAGAAATTTATTAACTGTTTAATATGTGTTTTAAAATCTTAAAATCACTGTGTGAATAATACACATTCGAATAACAATTTTAACGGTTTAAAACTTGAAATATATTAGTTTAACCTGTTTGAAAATTATTTTAAGCCCTTTTATTACTGTGTCTCCCTATGACCACGGCTGCTGTAAAGGACCCGAAACGTCGGGTCGTAGTTAACATATTTTTTCAAAAATGTTTAATAACACATTTCGTGTGTAAAGTGTGTTATTTAAACATTATTTTTATTACATCTTTTGCCCGACTATTGGTTGTACTTTTAACTACAAGATCAATATATAGAATAAAATACAAATCTAGGAATACCTGTTTTATTCTTAAACTTAATAAAATTTTAAAAGTAACAACTAATTCTAATAAAACAATAATATTACAAGGTACTTCGAAGTTAAACAGTTCATTGTATATAATTCATTAAATAAAATATAATATCTTGGTGGTTACTGCTGGCCGTCAACAAAGTCACTAGCCTCCATAACCTGCAAAATAATTATACAATTCAGTTACTATATTTAATGCTACCAATCTTATTAATCATAGATAATTCTTCGATCGTGAACTTCTGATAGAGGAGGACGGACAAATACGATGTACATTTGATGGTAGGTGACCATATATTTTCTTTGGATATTTGGAAATCCACAGACTGTAACTGAACTAGAGAGATCAGTCAACTGAAACGATTGATTTTTCTTTTTATGCTTTCGAAGGTTTCATGACAATTTCAATATATTTCGCGTTTTAAACCGTTAAATGTGTTTTATTTAAACGGGTAAGGTATAAATTAAAACTAACTCAATTAATACTAACCCTTTTGATCTTCTTGCCGTACATAGACCAGAAGGTGACTTTCACTTCGGTGGGTTTACCGGTTCTGGCATCGAACACGCGACAGCTGTTAAACGGAGGACAGTACAGGTGCAAGGATACAGCTCCATCTACGTACGATGGGTTTTCCATTCTGTGCAGACCAAGAGCATCTGCAAATCGTATGTAAAATATTTAGAATTATTTGAATCGAGTGAGCCCTGGGTCTAATAACTTTATTATCTTTCTATCTCGTTAAAAATTTGTATTTTAATGTTTTTCTTATCTGTGGTATTTTGTAACGTAAAATTTTAGTTAGCGCTTTCTACACGATCTTTAAACTTAAGTCTCAAATTCTCACCATTTATGTAACAGACATCGTTAACTTCTAGTCGCGTTCTACCGATTTCTTTCATACTCCGTATATCATAGTGCTCACTGTACTCGTCGTCGTCTTGACAGTTCCCGTTTTCACCTCCATTTTGACATCTGTCACTTTCACTAGCATGACAGCTGTCAGGCGCGTCTTGACAGGTATGTTCGATTGACGTGTTGCCGTTATTACAAGTATCGGAGGCATCCAGACTTAGATTTTCCATGTTTCTAAGGTTTTCGCTTTCGGAACAGCATCTGCGGCACGATTTCTTCTTCAGCTTTTTCATGACTTCCGGTTCGACATTGTCTGGCCAGTCATATCTGAAAATTAAAAAAAAACCGTTGTTTGAATTAAACACTTTTAACGGTTGTATGTTAACTATTTAATTTTTTTTTAACTACAACCCGACGTTTCGGATGTATTGCACCATTGACCACCGAAATGTTCTAAATATTATTTTTAAGGTTTTAACCCGTTAAAGTGTTTTAATTAAATATCTACAACTTGAAATTACCGTTGCTTAGATAAAAACCCGTTAAGGGTTTAAAACGAGAGGTAAATTAGTTAACTATCTACGATTTCTTTTAATGTATCATTGATCACGGACACGTTTAATCTAATATTTTCCCGTTATAAACTGTGATAAATGTTTTATTTAAATTTTTACGATTCGATTAAATTACGGACAATACTTTATTACCATTGTTCTGTACTAATATTACTATTGTCACGAAAAAATCCGGTAAACCAGAGAAATTATTGGGGAAATTACTAGATTCAAAAGATGTCTCTGAATTTATAGATAAGGATGGTATTTACCTGACTTCTTCTAAGCTGCCACTCAGCAGTTTCATGAAGCAGTGGGAGTCTGCGTGGTCGTGAATAGCAGACGCATGTCCTGGACCCCAACAGAGGATCATTATGTTGAAAGCACCATTCCCTTCGTCCACCAGATTGCGGGTGTAACTGTAATTATATTAAAAACAAAATGATTCCAAGTCAAACAATAAATAAGATCGTTGTATAATGATGAGAAAGATTAAATTTAAATACTGTCCATAGTTTACGCGAGTAGTACACATTTAAATAAAACACTTTAACGGTTTAAAACGCGATATCTTAGTTAAACTTATTTGAAAATGATTTTAAACTTCGGCCCGACGTTTCGGATGCTTATCAGCAGCCGTGGCCACGGGGAGACTGACTGTGACCTTGACCACGGCTGCTGCAAAGCGGTTAAATGCGTACTACTCGCGTAAACTATAGACAGAAGTTCGGTTTAACAAAAATCTTCCGTTGTACGTCAGTAAAAACATTCCCAACATTACATTAAAATAAAACACTTTAACGGTTTAAAACGCGATATATTAACTTACTTACTTAACGTTGGTATTTGGCGAAACTTGGCCGGGTCCGCCAAGTTTCGCCAAATACCAACTTCGACGGAACAGATGGCGCTAGCGTAGCAATTCTTTACTTTGACGTCTGAGACATCCTCCATCTTTAGTCTCCCCGTGACCACGGCTGCTGCAAAGCATCCGAAACGTCGGGCCGAAGTTAAAAATCATTTTCAAATAAGTTTAACTAATATATCCCGTTTTAAACCGTTAAAGTGTTTTATTTAAATGTGTACTACTCGCGTAAACTATAGACAGTATTTAACATTACATTATTTATTCAATAAATTGAGTGACTCCGTTCAATGTATACCAGTTAAACCCAGTCAATGAACGCTTGACACAAATGATAAATTCAATGGACGACTATCTATCAATAAATATTATTGTTGCATTTGTCATTCTATCTATTATCATGGTACAAAAGCGTTCTGATGATCTTCTGGAAGAACGAATGCCGTTCTCTTATAGTTATCATTTTATTTATCAACACAAAGAAATGATGGCGCTTATTAATTAACAAAAAAAACAATAAGAAGTACTGTGAAACAATATTACAAATATTTTATCTCGGAACTCAGATAAAAAACATATTTTTTTAATTGTATTTTCTTTATTGCTGTAAGGATTATAAGTTAGTGAACACTAAATATTCATTTAAATAAAACACTTTTAAACGGCTTTAAAACGCGAAATATATTAGTTGATTTTTGTACAGTATATTTTTCACTACAGCACGACGTTTCGGCTGCCGTGGTTACGGGGGAATCCTCGCGTAAAAACTACACGGCTGTAAATAGGAATATAATAGAATTAATTTAAATAAAACAATTTATCGATTTGAAACGCGATATAAATTAGTTAAAGTAGTTTGAGAATTATTTTAACTACGGCCCGACGCGGACGTTTCGGATGCTTTGAAGCAGCCGTGGTCTCGTGGTCAGGGGGAGACCGTTTTGAACCGTAAAGTGTTTATTTAAATGTGTACCCGCGGAAACTACAGAGAGAGACAGTTATTTAATGCAATGAAATTCGCTATACCCCTATTAATGCGATGTCCTTGCTCTGTTTTGTTGGGCATGGGCCAGACATATAACTGTGTCTGTTTCATTTATGATATCATAATACATTTTTGCTGCCGTCAGTGCGAGAGGCTGTTTATTTTTATTATCGATTACTTGGAATGCAAAATCTTCGTGCTATATTATATTATCGCTGTTTACTTAATCATTAGCGAAAACAGTCGTTTACCCACGTCATGGCAAGATCGTTGTTAAGTTCGTCATTTGTTTTTTAATTTGGTTAGCAACCGGTTATCAGTGCTCTAGTGTCCTCTGATCTTAAAATAAATGACTCCGAAGTGGCAACACGGGCTATTTATACGTACTACCCCGAATATAAGATATTTATAATTTTACTATAGAATTACAAAATGATTTTTAAAAAGTTACGCGACCCAAATTTTAGTAAGCATCTTAGACAACTCTTACCAATCTTGACTAATATATAATATGAATAAAGGAGAAGGAAATATTAAAATGAATTATTTAGATTTTAAACCACTGTGTATTCTTAATTATTTAAGTATACCCACAATATGACAAAGTAGTAGGAGGCGACAGAATAAAAAATAGCATGATGCTATTCACAAGCGTGCCGAAGTGTCTAAATATTCTACAAAATTGAAATAACACACTTTAACGGTTTGAAACTCCATTTATCTTTTATCCACTTAAAAGTAAAGTCTAGGTATTTAACGAGTTCGTTGGAGGTAAAAGTGTTTTGATAGCGTTAATATTCTTATCCGACATTTGCGTTCTAGAAATTATCTCAACCTTATTATATATCTTATCTGTGTCTCGTTCGAGTGCTTTTGTTGCGATGTCTAACGACAACTTATCAACTATAACTAACGAACTAAGGCCGTCTCTCGATGCTGAGTACATAAGACTAAACGTCAAAATTAATTCTCACAAAACGTTTAAGCGTAAATACTTATAATATCCATCAAATATAATTCGAAGTCGTTTCAAAATTCGAAAATTTAAATTTCGAACGTGTTATGTAACCTACCGTCAAACGATTCGAATTCTGCACGAGTCCAAGTCTCAAATTCTTTTGCAGTTGTCTCAACTATAATCCTTTAAAAAATAATACAGATAGATATGGCTTTTAGAGCAACATTTTAATATTTTTAAACGACTGCGAAGAAAAATTTGTATGGAAAATGTTGTAGCGTTTTATCATACACCTCAATACGTTTTTATAAAACATTCTAACAGCATTAAAACTTACCGAAAACGATCGTATTTAGCATATTTTTTCCAGTCCTTCGGATCTGACTTGTACCCGAGCATAAGTTTCTGCACATCCTGTATATTTACGTGGCTGTATGAGAACACCCTGTGTAGCTCTTGTACGAGCATCTCGAGACCGGTTATTTCCCTGTAATATTAGGTAAGTGCCTTATTAAATAACTTCGAATATCTCCTTTTCTCAAGTACATTTAATTATATAGAGGCTATAGAGTCAGACTGGCCTAATACCAAGAAACACGATTTTCAATAAGGAGGAAAATAAAAATGTGCAATTAACTTAGGCGAAAATTAATTTGCACTATTATTTGTGTAAGAATTATGTTTACAATTTTCGATGACTGTGCTCTTGTAGATTAACATTATTAGACAACATGAAATTGCAGTTAGGCTACTTTGCTTCTAGCGGCCTCATATATCATTTAATTGACTATGCTTTAAACAATATATCACTGTAATAACTTTTCTAGTTTAAAAAAGAATTAGAAGAATTACATTATAACATCAAGCAAACGGTAGAAGTCGTAAAAGCGTTTGACTGCAACTTAGGAGGTCCCAGATTCGAATTCAGAATTCAGGATCAGTTGAAGTGGGAGGTGTCCACACCGCCCTGCCTCGTCAACCAGTAGACGTCTAAACATAACACTTATAACGGTTTAAATGACGAAATGTATTTATTTAGTTACACTTTATTGCACAAAAAAATAAACTTATATACTAAACATATGGAGTGCAATGGGCGGCCTTATCGCTAACGAGCGATCTCTTCCAGGCAACCCAAGATGAAAGAGGAAAATGTTTACGGGAAAACGAGATGTGCAAGGTGGGCGAAACAAAATTTACAATGTTAAATATAATCTTACCATATCAAAATAAAACTTATATACAATTTCAAAACTTATCTAGTTAACACGTGAGGGCCCGTGACCACGGCTGCTGTAAAGCTTTCGAGACGTTGTTAAAAAAATATGTATATAAGTTGAATAGTCATAGTTATAAAATAAAATATTAAGCGTTTAAATCCGTTAAAAGTGTTATGTACGTGAGTGTTTTTAAAGATATTCAATTATTATACTTACACATCGATCTTGAGTGGTCTTTCAATTGATAGCTGATCTAAATCCACTATATCTATACAATCCGACACTTTACTTTTACAATTTGCACTTTCGATCTCCATTTTATCTGAAACGAGAGAAGAATAACTCATACATGGATAGATAACTATATTGGAAGAAATAATCACGAGGGCACTAACATTGTCCACGAGACGACGACTTGTAACATGCATACAAGTCGTGAAATTAATTAACTAACATATTTCAGGTTTTAAACTGTTAAAAGTGTTTTAACGGTATGTATATTCATGTACATTACAGACAGTATTGAATAATTTAGTTGTGAAATCCCGTTTCCCCCTAGTGGGGCATGGGCCGAACACATTTTTGTGGTCGTTTCACTGATCCGGTCTTTAACAGGCAAGTAGTTGATCAGACTTCTGTGCCCTGCCCGATCGAAACATCTTTTTGTTTCCCTGGGATCGAACGCAGGACCTCTCGCGCTGAACGCTAGGCAATACGTTTAACCATTTGGCTACAGAGGCAGTCATTTGGTAATTCTGTTAATATAAAGAATCTATATCTACAAATAGCTGTTAATCTAGTAAAAACAAATAAGTACTTTCTTGTGTTAACGACCCACTGGATCAACCGATAGGAACGAAGGCACAGAGGGAACTTGGATGAAATAGGGTTGTTTGTAAAAATAAATGCATAATATGATGCCTTAAAAAACTATTCCACGCGGAAGAATTCGCGGGCACAGCTAGTTAATATACAATAATATAGTCCCTCCACCTCTTTATCTACTCAAATGAAAAGTATAAATGATTATAGTCAATTATTTACCAACAGAAAGTTTTTTATTTAGTGTCAATAAATGATATAAAAGTCTCCTATATTTGAAAAGTCTAATATTCTTCACATGTTATGAAAAAATTTTTACTCGGACAGGACTTGAACCGGCATCGTCAGCGTTCCGTGCTGTTGCTCTACCAATAGAGCTGTCATCATCCTACAACTCTAGGTCGATTTTTTTCAAGTTATTGATACATGCACCTCTCGCGCAGTGTAATTTGAACCTTAACGCTTGCGTATTAAGGTTCAATGCAATGAAATCATTGAAAATTTTATTACAAAGTTTAGCGTTTGAAAACTTTTATATATATAGTCTCCTATATATTATTGTGTAAAATCCATTTTACTTATTTTTTGTTTTTTCCTTTAAGAATGTATATAGTCAATTCTATTCTCATACACCGGAAGGAGTCGTCCGCGTCAAGGAATCCTAGTGTTAGGAAATTTGTGTTGGTTAGTAGATAAGATATAACAACGACATAATTATATTTAAAACACTATGTTTGCTAAAATAATATTTTGATAATAACACTGATAGGATTATATTTGTACAAATAACTATGGAAAGAAAGTATACAAATAGTATTGTAAAGATTTTTTATAAAGACTATTTCGTATGACTCATAGCAATGCGTTTATTTTATCGCAGGTGAAAGATCCCAGCCATAACATCTAAACAAGATAGGCCGTGGACCTGTTTCGACTTTGGGTATATAGAAAACCGCTGACTGAAGATGCGATTAACGACTTTTCCATCTGTGGACTGCGTTTTGATGCCTGGACGTTATTTCAATATTCCTACCTCCAATTTTTTATAGATAAAGTAAAATATTTTAACCGAATAATTAAATGATGAGATTTTTATTAATAATATGTTGGTTGGAATCGAATACACGACCGAAAGACTGACGATGACGTACATTTCTACCACTGAACCAACAAAGGCAACCACAATAACAGCTTCGAAACATTGTTGTGCTGTGCAAGGTCTGTAGTAAAAGTTCTTCGAGTGGTTAAAATAGAACTTGGCGATAAAAGGAGTGGCGGCGAGTTTATTGCTAGTTCTTCTCGTTCGTTCGCCCTTGATTTGAGAACGGGTAGTAAATGTCGATATAGAGTCTTTTGTTTGAACTGATGTGACGTTCGGGAGTGTACTTAGTTAACTGCGTGAATAAATGATTTTTTACTTTGACTTTGATGACGCTGGGAATGAGAGAACATCACGGTTGACTTGGATGAGTGCGAGAACTGTAGTGTTATCGGACATTGTTAGGTAAACGGCTGGTATTTTTGTTTGTACTGAGGATACATAAAGTAATATCATTATGAATGGCCGGAGTTTGTTTGTTTGAACGCGCTAATCTCAGGAACTACGGGTTCGAATTGAAAATTGAATTCTTTTTGTGTTGATTAGAGAATTTATCTCTAACCAACACAAAAAGAATTCATTAAAGCTATATATAAGCTATAAAATATCACGCTGTGACTTATAGAAGCGAGGATACAGCGTGAACAGTGAACAGGGCAATTTTTTTATCTCTGTGGGTTTCAGTTGCGCACGCTGCTAAAATGGTTCAAGATATCTAAAACTAGCTATTAAAAGAATGATTTCTCCGCTACGCATTGTGTCTATCTTATAAAATTAACTAGCAAGAACGACGGGAAGGGACGCGATCGACGTCGTGGCTAACAGCTTAAGTATATAAAGATGACGGGGTTGCAGAAAAGTAATTTGGATGCCCAAAATAACGCTTTTCGCGGACGAAGTCGCTAGCACAGCTTGTATTAAACATTTACACTTTTATGCCGATAAGAAGGTCGTAATGCATTGTCTGTCCATAAAGCTAGGATCGTGTTTTACTGTATTGGCTGTGGTATTTCCGCGTCTATAAGGCATTTACATTCTAGATTACATTACCCGCAGAGCCTATATTTATTTATTCATTATAAACAGATATTTGTATATACAGAATATTTTACTAATCGTATCATATAAAATTGGAATACACATATACACAGTAATAATGATAATTTAAACTTTATAGAGTTTGTTTGTTTCGTTAATCTCAGGACCCATTGGTGGGAATTTTAAAATTATTTTTATGTTGGTTAGGGCATTTATCGAGAGAGGATATAGCAGCTAGTCACGGGGCGATGTTCTATAGCTTATAAGCTATAAAACATCACCCTGTGACTAATACAAGCGAAGATACAGCAAGAAACGTGAAAATAGTGGGAAAATTATTCATTATTATGGGTTTCCGAGGCGAAAAATTAAATTCTATAGCATTGTCAATATAATTTTAAATAACTATAGAAGCTAGTCTCTTAATTTAGAATTATTTGATGCATTTTTCTTTGATTATAAAAAAGAAGAATACACATTTTAAATAAACTTGGGATTGTTTAAAAGTTCTTTCCTTAAAGTTATTTTCCCGAAATCCACTGAATGAAACCGAAACGTGATTAAACTTAACTGCTTTTTCGTCTGAGGACGGTGGTATGAAATTTCCATATTCCAACCCCCATATAATATCCAGATTTCTAGACGAAGTCTAACATGTTTCAAAATATTATAAATTGATTAAAAACATGATGGAACCGTTGGAAATCGAACCCATGACGCTTTGAATAATCAGCCACACATCGCTACACACCAACGAGGCCGTATATACTTCCTAAATAATTTACCCAGTTGATAAACAGTTATATATACAGAGATATATACAGTAATTTGGACCCTTGACGCAAACTATGTGCGTATATTTGTGATCAAAATAAGTCAAACCAGCGCGATAGCAATGTTTATTATATTCTTAGCTAATCAATGATGCAACTTTATACAGATATAACTGATTTATTATTTTACTGTTTATTATTACAATACAGTATTATTAACGTGTACAAGACAAAAAGCAACGTCTCGACGGTTTATTTCCCATCAGATTTGTCATTTTTCATATTGTGATGAAATTACTGTTGGTTGTAATATGTGGATTTACATAAACACTTTAACGGTTTAAAACGCGATATATTAGTTATACTTATTTGAAACGTCAGGCCGAAGTTAAAAAGCATTTTCAAATAAGTTTAACTAATGTATCGCGTTTTAAACCGTTAAAGTTTGTTAAATGCTTACTATTCGCGTAAACTATAGACAGTAAATGTGGATTTGTGAATATCCGAAGTCAAAATAAGTCGACAGCATTATACGTTATATGGTTGGGGTGTCTTATCTTCTATCTTCTTGCCATTCTGGTTTGTCCTCTTTCTCCATTTAAAAGAAGTCTGATTTTTGTTTGCCGACATCGAGAGCTTCACGACTTTTTTATCTGGACTGTGTTTCGTGACCCGAACTGAATATCTATATTCCTAAAAAATGGACCCGGTGGGGATCGTACCCACGACCCGTTGATTATATTAGCCATACCTTGCTACCAATAGACCAATAAACCCGTCTTGGGTTTGAATCGCGGGAGACGAAATTTCGTCAGACAGGTTGTCTCTCGGTCGGGATATACCAGGAGCCCATAAGCTAAGTAAAGCACACATTACGTAAATACAACTTCACTGCGTAGTTTGTAAGGAAAATATTTATCGTAAGTGAAAGACGTGCTCATAATTACGTTTGATTGAAACCAGTTATTTCTAATACTACGAGTAAATAGTTGATAAGCTTATCAATAATATTTACTCTTTAGAAGTTCCTTTATACTTTGTTGCAATGGTTGAATTAGACTTTATGAATGAAGACGAGGGACGAATGGATTCAATTATTAAAAAATTAAATACAATATAAGACCAAAAAGCTACCCTTCATAATTATTTACAAATTGTAAATTGTATTTTTAGCTTCGATGATCATATAAAATATTTACTTCATGTTATATGACGTAAGCTTGTTCGTTTAATTAAAACTTTAAACGGTTTAAAACGCGAATTGTAACAGTTAAACATGTTACCAATTTATTTTAACTACAGACTATAGTCAGTATTTAAGAAATAGTAGACAGTATAACTAGTTAAATACTGTCGTTAGTTTAGGTCACACAGTGGTCACGGGGAGGCTGCTGCAAAGCATCCGAAACGTTAAAATAATTTCCAATTAAGGTTAACTCAAATATATCGCGTTTTAAAACGTTAAAGTGTTATATGTGCTACAAGTTTGTATTCGATTGGTTGAGCTTATATCATAAATAAATTATTTTTTATGTAACTCTGCAATCATTTTATTTTTGCTTGTGTTTTTATTATTTATATCGAG